TGCTGTTGCCTTTGTGCTTATGTATAGTCCTTACGTTGAGGAGAGTTCTTCCATGGAAGAGTGACATCTGTAGCAGCAATCAAAGGCATAGGGACTAATCTGAGCAGCAGATTATTTGGATCCACTGGGCTGAGAATTCTGCTGTGAACAAAATGTGAGTGAGTAGTATTTTAGCCATGGCGACTCCCTGAAGGGGTCCTTCTTTCACCAAGGACTGAGCTGAAGAGACAGGGTTCTTTTCAGATCCCTAAGGCTCTTTTAAAAATGTTTCTTGCCATAAAACCACTGCCTACCTTCCCTTCTTTCAGTGCAAATATCAGAATGTTAAAATTCTGACTAGTACCAAAACAAGAAATCTAGTCAGTATGAGAAGGTATGAGGAAATGGAATGAAGGTGTATTAGGGATGTTCAGACTGGACATTAGGGAAAGGTTCTTTACTGAGTGGATGGTCGGTCACTGGAATAGGCTCTCCTGCAGAATGGTCACAGCATCAAGCCTGACTGAGTTCATAAAACATCTGGATGTTACTCTTAGTCATATGGTTGAGTTTTATTCAGTCCCGCACGGACAAGAGAGTTGGACTTCTGATGATCCTTATGAGTCTCTTCCAATCTGGGATATTTTGTGACCCTCCCAGTAGTCTTTGTATACTGCAGTAGTCTTTTCCTTTTTGTTGCCATGAGAATCAAGCACATAATGTTTTTAACAGATGGGTGTATATATAAAGTAGTATTTTTAGTGCTGTTTATGTATGAAGTAATTTGGGGGGAAAAAAAAATAGAACCCATATTAAAGTATGCCTGTTTCATAAATGTGCATGAGTCAATTTCTGCAAGTCTTACTCCAGCGACATTTGTACCAGTGCAGCAGGTGATAGGGCATGCAGCATCTTGGGCTGCATGACGATGTAGCTCTGTTATGTAAAAGGTTTTTCACTAGAATCATTCAGACAAGTGGGTATTTTTTCCTGTGTAGCCATGCTCTTGGCTTGTGCTGTTGCCTAAGTGGGGCTTGAGTTGATTCAGTGAGGACTTTGTTGATTAAGAATTCTGGAAATTCTTATACATGATGAAATAATCATTAATCTTTCAAGAGGGGGGAAAAAAAGTCTTCTCAAGTACCCACAACTTTCAGTAAAGTTATTTTGAATATTCCATGGTGCTTCCATTAGAGTGATTTTGGTAGAAGTGAAGAGTTTGTCTTAGTGCTGAAGCCAGGTGTATTAAGCCACACTGAAGGTCTGAGAAACAGAGGTCCTGACCTGCCCCAGTGGTTTGTTTGGGGTCACTTGAATAAGAAAAGAAATGCAGCTCCCAGCTGCTTCAGCAATTCCAAGTCCATTTACTTTTACTCTTCTAGTTTTTCAGCTACAAACTTTTGTTGACATTCTCTTAATACTCACTTGCACAGAAAACATTCATTACAACAGTAGGCTGGATGTATGCTTCATAGGTAGTGTGATCTATCTGGTATGTCTTGCTCTCAGTGGGTAAAGTGCCAAGCACACAGGCTCAAACTTCCTCTCAAACTTCCGTCATGAGGAAAAGAGTTTGCTACCTACAGATACCCACATTTTGAGGGATTTCATTTTGTACATTCAGGGACAAGTTGTCCCTTGTACTGTGGTCACAGATGACTGTATAGTTTTAAGCCTTTAAGAAAGGCTAAGCAACCTGTTTCATAATGTCTGCATTTGTACTGCTTATTTTCTGTAAATTATGAAGAATCAGTATGTTTTAAGTACGTTTTAATGAGAATTGGGGGGGAGCTTGGACAGCACTGTACAAGGTACTGATTTTGCTGCTTACGAAACAAAGGGTAAGTGGCAATGAAAGCGTTACATCATTCTATAAATAGATTAGGATTGTTTCAGAATTGTTTTTAAAATAAAGAGAATAAAAGCTGTGGGAATTCCACCTTCTAAATAACATCATTTTAGAAATCTGGCCATGCTGGCTTTGAAGATCCTTAGGCTTTCTTGTATCTGTTCTATGGAAGTGGTGACCCGACACCTAAATCCTTTGGTTTAAGTGCATCTTAAAGCAAGATGTTATGCAGAGATACAAATACAGGCTTTTGCCCCAGCATGCCTGATGAAGGTAATACTCAAGACATCACCTGTTTTCCTGTTTATGAAATTTAAAAATTATTACGTATTTTTTGCTTTTCAGCTTCCATTACAGCATTTGTCCGGAGTAGTAGCTTCCTTTCTACATCGTTATTTTTAATTACTCATGATTGTTAAGTATTGGGTAATTTTGTTCGCTAAGGAAATCCCCTTGCACTGGCCTGCAGACTTTGCCATAATTACAAAAGAAACTTCAGGCCTACCATTCAGATTTTCACTTTGTATTTTACTCATGATAACCTAGTACAAAATTCTCTTCTAGTGCTGCATTAATAGTTTCCTCATCTAAAAGCTATCTTAATTTATTTCCTCATTTTATTTTTAATATCGTTTTGGACAGAGCTCAAGATAAGTACAGAATAATTTTCTTTAGAAATAATTTAGGTATAGTATTTTTAATAATATTTAGAAAGAACATTTAGAATAATTTTCTTTAGAAATCCATAGCTGGAGAGCTCCCTGCATCATATTGTCTTTACTCCAGCATGGAGAGTAACTGTCCTGCACAGTGGTTCTGTTCTGCAGATGCAGTCAGAAAACAGAGGTCTGGAGTTATGTTGAGGAACTGTGGGGCCTTCTTATGGATATTCTGTGCTGCCTGAACATATTTACACATACAAACATGTATACACTAATATTGCTGCATCCGTAGAAAATTCCCTAAGTTAGAGCATCCTTTAGTTGTTTTGCATCTTTGACAAATGGTCTGTGGTGGTGGTATCTGCAGCAGCACACAGGTACCAGAAGAGAGAGGGAGCATGCCCTGATATGGACTGCTGTGAACGCGTGTCCTGTTTGGCTTCAGAGGTGTTTACCTTCAGCAGAAGAATGGTACGGGCTGGACAGGTGGGGGCAGTAACATCTTAAGTACTGCATCCAGATCTGTGAGAACCTCTTTGTTTAAAACCTTTACATGAACTCATGGAACATGGATTTAAAAGTAGCATCAGCCTGTTGTAATGACAGAGATTGCTTAGCATTTGGAAACAAAGGACTTCTGGATTAACATGGCAGAATTTGGGCAGCTACAGTGGAACTACTCTGAATTTATTCTGATAGAGCCGAAGGCATGGTTTGCCTTCAGCTTTTTGTCTTAGTTGATGAAGAATATCTGCTTGCAGTATTGTAAAGTAAGAATTGTAATAGCCTCCTAAATTTGTGGTATTTCAGAAGGAGGGTTAATACAGTACATAGTAAAAGAAAGTACTCGGTTTATCTTGTTTTGTGTCTTAAGATTTGAAAAGATTAAACCACAGCCTTTAAAATTCCTATCTTGGAACAGCAAAAATGTCATATGTTTAAAAATACCCTCAAACAAACAAAAAACAAACCCTAAAAAGTGGGACATGAAAATGAGACATGATTTAACTTAATTATAAGCCTTGAACAAGGAAACAGCATGTTCTCAGAATACTTAATTAGAGCATTGTTTTTAGGTTGAGGTTTTTTGATGTGTGTGTTGCTCCAGTCAGTTTTAAGCAGAAAGAATAAAAGGCAAAACACGGGGAAGTGCAGTAAACATTTTGAAATGCAGTTTCCTTCTTACTGGGAACCTATCATGTGACTTGCTGGAAAAGATTTCTTTAAAAAAGAAAAATTGCAATTGTTTTTTGATAGCTGTAAATCTGCTTCTTGAGAAATAATACCCTGTAAGATCTGTCAAGCAGCACTACAATGTTTAAATGGTTTTAGTGTTGTATCAGTGAATTTAAGCAAAGAACACTGAAATGTTTGATTGCCCTTGAAGCATTACTCATCAACAGATAAGGACAGAAACAGAGTAAGGCTTTCTACTATTAATGTATAATCATTTTATACTCTGCACTATTAAAAGAGACAAGATACTAATTTTGACTGAATTCAGCATGCAAAGCCAGTTGGGGTAACTCAGTCTTGGATGATAGCCTTTTTTGGCAATCTCACTAAAAGACAGCTGAGAGTTGAACTGAAATGGGAACGGCATTTCAGTTAGTCAAATGTATTGAATGTGGCTTATTCTGTCTTAAAATTACACACACATGGTAACTTTTAACAGCTAAATTTCTGCATGCCCTTCTGCTGCCCAACACTGTGGGTCCCAGCTACCCCTTTTTGAAGCTGACTGCAGAATTTTTTTATGAGAAGAAAAGATCAGCTACTGTCTTTGAGTCAGTATTTCTCAGATCTGCACCCCCTCTTGTGATCTCAGAGGTGAAAATAATGACTTGTGGCTGGATTGTGTACTTTTTAAACAGAGCATGAAGTACCATGGGTGTTACATCTGGAGAGTAGAGTAGCTAAAATCTTCCATAGAGCTGTTTAAAAATTTGTTGCTTTAATTGCTGCTTTTGGGCTGTGAATGAAGGGATTAACCTAGCAATGGCACATAGGAAAGCTACAGTGTGATTTGAAAACCATACTTCTTGTACGTTCTTCCTTGGGAGCGCTGATGATTCGGTCCTTTCGCAGATGAATTTACTGAATTTTTATAAACAAAAGCCACAGCCCTGCTTTATGAGGAAACCACAGTACTTTGAGCAGTCCATGACGTTTGTTACGGTTTTATATGCCTCTGTAATTTTATGGAAAAAAGAATGTATAAGTCTGAGGCCATATAAAAGCCTCAGGACTCAAGGGAACCAATACTGACAGAACCCACTGCGGTGTTGCCACAACTCTTCCTCATCCCTTCCGGCCTCCCTGCCGTTTTCTAGAGCTCCGAGTGCATTTGCTGCACCTGAAAGATTCGTAACCGTATTAGAGCTTCTCCTATCACTGTTCCGCCCTGTCTCTTGGAGGCAAAAAGAAACACAGCTCTCCCCTTTGCCGACGTGCTCGGGCAGGGCTGTGAGGCGGCCGGCAGCGCTCCCCGCCCGTTGCCCCTNGCCCCAGCTCGCTGCTCCCACCGCTGTCGCCATGGGCTCTGCTGCGCTGCTGCTGGCGGTGCTGCTGTTGCCGCTGGCGATGGCCGCGGGCGGCCCGGAGGTGCGCAGCCTGCGGGGGAGCTGGCGGCTCCGCAGCGGGAACGGCTCGGTGTCGCTCCGAGCGGAGGTGCCGGGCTGCGTTCATACCGCGCTGCTCCGCCGGGGCCTCATCCAGGTACGGTACTCCGAGAGCCGGGCCCTGGAGCAGCCCTTCCCGCCGTGGGCAGCCCGCCTCGGAGCGGAAAACCCGGCCCCCCAAAACACAGCTCCGTCCCGGCAGCTGCCCGGCCGCTGCAGGCTTGGTTGGCATCGCCGGGGCAGCAGCCAGGCTTCGTTTGGTGGCTGCACTGTCCTCGGTCCCAGGCCGAGGATACAAATGGAAGCTTTTTTGTACGTGAGATTGATTTTGATACGTAGCCAGGGTGCTGACACCGGATACCTGTAACACCCTCACAGCATGTAAGTCATGCTTACCTACGCTGGTCTCTCAAAAGAATGAAAAGTTAAACCTACCCTCATAAAGTTTGACTTGTTGATGCAATAAGCTTAGGGATTTCAGGCCATTAAAAAGCTCCTTTAAAACTTGCAGGGAATATCAGAATAGTGGCGATTACACGTATACTCATTCTGCCTGAAGGAAAGTACAGTCTGAAACAGAAGAAGTTAAATTTAAAGGACTGACTCCCGTCTTAAAACTTTGAAGAAGCTTTTCTGCTTCTGTTTGCACTTGCCTCTGTTAAATTTTTAAATTTAAGGAAACACAGCAACCACTTTCTTGCACAAATTTTCAAAACTGCCATGGCAGATGGGTAACAAAGTATTCTAATACTTTGGCATAAGGTGCCTGTGACTCAGACCTGGCAAGAAACGTGGCAGTAACCGGATGGTTGTTGAAATAAGATGTCTTTTTAAAAGGAAACAAAGAGAATGAAACGTGTACCTGGAACAAGGAAAGAAATAAAACACAGTGAAGTTAACAAAGTAATCTATAAAGGTGATAAACACAGTTCTGTGCTGGAAAATACACTGTTGTATGCTGTAAGTATATTATATTATCACTCCTTTATTGTGGGCCCAGTGGTGCAGTTCCTGTGCATCATTTATTTAAAAAACACATTCCGGATGTACGCATTTTATATTTTCTATTTCTTGGGTTTTATCCTTCAACTTATTACTCTGTTTAAAGTTAGAGAGGTAAAAGGAGAAAGTGACACCCTTTGGGCAGGATAATTTTAGCATTTTCTGTGTTGGCACAGGTTGGGAATCCCGGCACTAATAATAGATTCCAAAGAGTGTCACTGCCAGATACAAAGCATCAACATTGGAAAAAGAAATATGCTGTGAAGGGATAGGCAGAGATCTATGATCATATATTTTAACATCTGTGTGCTAAGTGATGTGACATCTTGGACATTGAGAATGAAGATTTCAGAAGGGCTTTTTTATAGTTTTCAAACATGCAAGGGGCAGGGAGGCTTTATCTGGCGGATTGGTGATGGCAGCTGTGCTGGTTTCTCTGATGCAAAAGTCTCCAAGGTGAATTGAATGTCTGGGGTGCTTGGCTGTGCTGCAAGAAGGGTGAATAATCATTCAGGAGAAACTGACCAGTGCACTGACTCAGGCACACAAGGCAGTGATGTGAAGAAAGACTCACATTTAACACTCACACGAAGTACACTTACGAAGTGAGAATATGTGATTGCTAATTTAAATGCATTGCTGCAAACTGACTTGTAATTTAGCAGTATATTTGGAAATGAGGATCATGAACTCTCATGTGCCTGGGCAGAATCCCAAGCCTGCACAGAGGCATGAAAGCTTAGTCAGCCAGCTGGGCAGCAGTGGGTGCTTGGCTAATTAAATCGATGATGGTTGGTTGTGGTCACTTAGAACATGTTTACTTGAATACAAGTAAGAACTTGCTCCAAACACGTGCTGGTACAGCTGGGTATGAACCTGCTGTGGACTGGAAGCTGTTGCCACATTGGTGGAGTTGCTGTTGAAGTGCTGAGTTAACCAAAATGGTTCACTAGTGTTGTTGCTTGACCTCTGGGCTGGATCCAGCTGGTGTCTGGCTAGTTCAAGCTCAGAATCAGATAACCTGTTTCTATGTATAGGTGTGTACAGGTAGCTCAAGGCCAGCTTAAACTCATTCTTACTCAGTTTAGCAAAGCTCAGTTTACAGAAAGAAACATTCACACAAATTTGCACCAGGATATCTAAATTGTTTTAAAATCACATTTTTGTTTAAAAGGTGGAATGCAGACCATACCAAAACAGGGAGCAAACTTAGCAGATCTGAAGGCTATTGTGGATGGTGTTAAATGTACTCAATCTGTGTCACCATAGTTGTTGCATTCTGCAAAGCAGCAAGCCTGGGTTGTTTGGAGGGAGTCAGTGGCATCATTCATTATTGCAGTGTGAGGCTTTGTGCTCCAGAGAGGGACTCAGCTGTTTGTCCTGAGGTTTCTTCACCGTGGTCAATGTGACCAAAGGTTTTCAAGTGCAGCTGCTTAAAATCATGTTCCTATATTGCTATTTGTACAAAAGTATGCACACTGCCCTAATTGTAGAGGCATAGAGCACTGGTTGCTCCATTTTTTCAGAGTTCATTATCTCTGGTAATCAGCCCTATTTCATGTTTCAAGTATAGAAACAGGAGATTTATTATAGACACCTAAATACAAGCTTTGGTCTTAAGTATTTTTTAATTTGCTCCTTTTGCTCTTTGCAATAGAATATATGATCTTTATTCATCTTACAGAGGATGTCACTAGATCGGTAACCCAGCTTGTCATCAAAAGTGGAGATTGATCTGAAAAGCTGTACTGGGAAAGAGGAGAACAAAGCTAGTGGGAACAAAATCACTCTGGATAGCAGGACCCCCTTCCTTCAGCGACCTGGTGAAATCTACATGCTGTTTTTCTGTGTGATTTGCAAGTGGCAAATAGCACTTCATCCTTTGCTTTTGTAACCCTGAGATTTTTCAATGGGTTAGCAACCAAAACAGAAATTTAAAGCAAAGGGGAAGGGCCTATTCCAGCAATGTAGCTTAGTGGGCATCTCACAAGGAGGGGAAGGAGGGCAGCAGGGGTAAGCTGATAAATATTAAGCCTTCAGAATGTGGCTTAGATTGCAAGGCTAGTCTGCACGCAATTTATTTATCATTGTGTGTTTCATTTCAAATTTAGGTCGATGCACAGTCTGGTTTTGCACAGGGATGCTCTGGCTGATTGCGTGTCTGTAGCCTTACTTTAATCTGCTGTGCAGGCCATACACTTGAATTGAAAAACATCTCTCTGATGCTGAGGGTTCATTACACATCTCTCTGGATCCTCTTAGCATTTGTTCTAGAGACATCTTTGCTCTGGCTCATAAAATATACCTTGGAGGGACATGTCTTTCCGAATGTGCCAAATGCACGTGTCTCAAAAAAGGCTCTTGGTGAAGACACTCGAGTTTCCTACCAAAGTATTAGTTTCTTTCATGTTCAATCAGCATAGTTCAAATGCTGGATTAACTATGATAAAAACTTTAGGGCCAAGAGAGTGCATCAGAGTATGTGTTTGGCCTGATTGTTTTAATAACATTTCATTAAGGTACTATATCTCTTACTACTATTTACATGTGAAATTAAAAAATCCACACGAGACATGCACATGGAGAAGGGTAATAGTCACTTGCATAAAGTTTATCACAACTTAGATTTTTTGGAACAAGTCAGGTAACAACTCTATTTGGTATCCTATGGTTCTGTTCAGGTTAGATGGCATTCATTGTTGGAATAGTTGATTATTATATTTTTTCCACTGAAATACAGGTGCTCTGCTCAACTGTGAGAACATATGTGCAAACATTCAAAAGCCTTAGTAAAACTTAGCATAAATATTAAAGGACACTTAAGTTTTTCTTTCAAAAGCTTGTGATGTTGAAAGAGGTAGATTTATAGTGGTCTGTTGAATACATCAGAGTATTCAAGTAATATTAAGCATTACTGTGTTAACCCTTTAGTCATATTTAACCTAGTGTTCTGCTGTGACACATCTTGAACATTGTCAGTGACATTCTGTTTACTGCTTTCTGAGAGTAGCTACTGAAATTTTGTTACTTTAGGAGGAACTTCCAAAACTCATGCTCTGAGAATATGATCATTCATCTTACTACTGTTAGTTCAGCCTGACTTCAAGCTGTGAGAATTATATAAATGTTCTGACTGTCATCACTTGTGATGTCAAGGAGCATGTGGGTATAGATAAGTATATGTTAACTATTTAGCTTTAGTCTGAAGTTGCCCAGAGCAGAATCATTAAACTGTATATCATGAAATATCACTTGCAAATTTTATTTTGGTAATCTGTTACACCATCAGAATTTTCTTATGGTGTACATGATAAAACATCAGCTGAGTTAATTTATGAGAGAAGATCATGCAAGGTGACTTCAAATTAGACCATAACAAAAGCAGTGTAAGGCAAAAAAAATCTCTTTATTAAATTTTGTTTTATTACATGCAGATCTTCCACCTGGGTACAGCTGACTGTGTCTGGTATCATTCAGGTGTTTGTACCATGCCCCTCAGAGCTCCTGGAGGGTGCAGGAACCAGGAGGTGTCCCTTCAGTGGGCCAGGGTGTGCCTGGTGCCACTCGGGCTTGGAGCCTCACTCTCATGTGTCCATGTCTCATCCATTTCCTGCCTAACAGGAGAAGCTCTGAGCTTGTATCACCGTAGCTTTTCAATATCCCCTTAAAATCATTGCAAGGAGAAGCTTCCATCTGGGCGCTGGCAGTTCCGTCATTGTAGTGCTGCCAGTGCTTTTGAAGTCCTGCTGGTGTCCTGTCAGCCGACCTGGAAATTGCTTCCTTCTGATGATCTGTAGCAGGGCTTTTAACCTCCTCTTAGGAAGTGATTCGCTGCTTGCATACAGCATGGAGGTTGGGAGCAGGGAACAAACAGGCAGGCGGCTTGAATGCTTCAGATTTTTCTCCCAAATTGCAGGGAGCAGGAAAATGCAAGGCTGTTATGTTCGGTGGGATCTAAAAATAGCTATAGTTTACTCCACCCCTTTATGAATTGCTTCCAGGAACACACTGAGCTGTTGAGCTATTGAGCATGAAGTGTATTTAATATATGTGCACTCTATTTCCTCCATCTTTCAGTTTCTCCCTGTGCCTTTAAGTGCTTTAAATTTGTCCTTTTTTTGCAAGCACTTTTCTGAGCTAAGCCTTAAATTTTGATGTGAAATGATTCAATGTGGGATGAAATTGTTTCAGAGAAATCAAAAAAATTTGACTTGCATGGTTAGATCTTCCAGCACTCAGAACAGTTGTATTTAATAATGAAATAGTCAATAACCTCACAAGTGTATTGGCAAAGTAATTCTGCTTTCTTAGAGGACTTCGTTGTGATCGTGCATTTCTCCTGAACCTTGACAATTTTTTAAAAGGCATTGCTTGAACGTTGCCAAGACTGATTTTATAACGATCATTTGTGATGGTTAAAATGGTTGACCAGTTATTAGCATTTAACAGCTTTTGTGTGTAGTGTATGAGCTGTCTTATTGGTTAAGTAGCAATGATATCAGTAAACTGTTAAGTTTTAGTGAAGGTACCTAAAGCTTTGAGCTGGAGCTGCGAGCTTTCCATGGGTAGGTGCCTGTGAGTCAGAAGGATTGATTAGCACCTTCTGTGACACCTCTTTTAGTAGTCAATGCATTTCTTGAAGTTTGAAGGCTTTACACTAGTAAAGAAGAAAGCTTCTTTAGGAGAAAGGATCTTTGTACATTCTGAGAATTAAACATGCCACTCTGTAAGCTGCTGTAAGAGCCCATTTGGCAATGATTTCTGCCTCTGATAAAATATTCCTGCATTTCTTCTGCTAGTCAACCAGTTCTGTGCTTTCCAGAAGTCAGAACTTTGTTCATTAACATCTCAGTATCTGTGCTTTTGTGGGAGAAATGGTTCAGATTTCTTTTGTGCATCTTACTTTGCTGTTGGTAGTGCATTTGCAACTTTTCCTCACACCTTTTGTTAAATATTTCACACATACAAGTGACAAAGATTGAAATTTAACATGCAAATTTTTCAAAGCATAATGTGAAATAAAATAGTATGTAATGTTAAATACGAATATATATGTATATATAAGATGGTATATAATGTTAAAGCAAAACTCTTGTTAAGAATGTGCTTTTTAAAGTACATATTGTGGGGTTTCATGGTCTCTGACATTTGATGCTTGCCTCTCATTATGTCAGTACAATGATCTCAGTGGAGTTCCTTTTATAAGCCTAAATTTTGCATATTAATATGCATTTCTTGGCTTTAACTTTTGCATCTTAATAAAAGTCTGATATATATTCCCCAAAAGTAATGGAATTAATGTCTTAAAGTTCAGTAATAGTCCTGTAAGCTCATAATGATTTAACTTTCAGAGAATACACAGTATTATCATTGCAGAGCTCACAGTTTTACTCAGGTGACAAGGCTTTTCCATTTTGACTCTTCCCTTGTAGTAAGAAAGTTGATTGATAGAGCATAGCCTGTAGAGGCAAGGTGACACCTTTCCCTCTGGATGAGCCCGAGGAATGATGTTTGTATTGCTGTAGGACTCTGGAAGGGTCTGTGCTGCTGAGGAGAGCGACTTACATATTATGATTTTGTTCTGCTATGCAACTAGGCTTATGTGTTTATTACAGAGCCTGGCCTTGTTAGTTGTCAAACAAATATGAGGTATATTTCTTTCTTTTTCAGAATATTTCAAATCCCAAATGTTGTTACTATGCATACTTGACTTCTGAAATGGAGAGAAAAATTAAGTTCCAGCAAGTAGTGAAATAAAAAAAAGCTGGGCAGATTTTTTTCAGTGTGACTTAGGATATTCAGGGCTGGTAGTTAAGTGTGCTGGTATTGTTAGCACAGTCCTACTAAAGCCAACCTTAACGCAGCCCCTCTCTGGGCTGGGGTTGAGTCATCCCGGCCAGAAGAGATCGGTCTTTGTTTCGGGGCAGCAGCTCGGCCGGAGCGGGGCTGTCAGGCAGGGACCCGGGTACCTGCACTCTGACCTCAGGTGGGACACTGCCTTTCTGCTCTCTGACCTCAGGTGGGACACTGCCTTTCTGCTCTCTGACCTCAGGTGGGACACTGTGTCCCTCTGCTGCCTTTGTGTGAGGTGCGAGGCTGTGGAGTGTCAGGTCCTTTAACCTGGGTGAGGGACATGGTGACCTGCTGTTAGGTAATAAATACAGCATGATGCCAGAAAAACCGAAGATGCAACTTAGACCAACTGTGCCTTCTATTCTTTCTAGGTAGTGTGCTTGAAGGGAGAAAGGCACATTTCGTGTAAGTGCAATACTATTCTCAAAAGTAGGCATTTAGTTTTTTACCAAAACCAAAATTGTGTTGTTTCTCCTTCTCTTTCTCCATCCCTCCACATACAACAGTTTAATTTATCCTTACCACAGCAAGTCTAGCTGACAAGAAACAACTGGATTATTTGCAATAACTTTAAACTAGAGATTTGTTCACTGCTGTCCCTAGAGGCCTAAAATACTATTTCTTTGCCTCTTAAAATCCCATTAGTCTTACTTTCTCCATAATTATGAGGGTGATGATGTTTCTGTTCCTCTCATTAAGTCACAAGCTCTCTGGATTTATTGGTTAATTTCCAGACCAGTAATTTCTTCTGTAAAAACAAATCCTGCTACTTCTAGTTTGGGTGATTATAGCAGACAGGGTTTTGACCTATATAAATAAAGTCAAATAAAAAAAGCTTTGCTTTCACATAAAATTTCAAGGGTGAAAAGGAATATCAGGACTAGCTAACTAAGGTATATATTTCATTTGCAGACTGACTGAAATAAGAAGTGTTCATCTAATGGATATTGTGATGCTTTTTATGTAGTAACACTATTACTAAATAAATCTTGTAATTTTCTTTTTGTTGGTCTGTTGCTAGGATCCATACTATAGGTTTAATGATGTGATGTACAGATGGATCTCGCTAGATAACTGGACTTACAGCAGGACGTTCAAAACTCCTTTTGACGTCAGGTATGCAGTAACAATATGTCTAAAATAGTTCTGTGCAGTCTTTCATGCAGAATTGCAAGTTAATCCATCGTTTCAAAATCTGCTTAATACTTTTGTATCTGATAAAACAAATTATGCAATTGTGTGCAGATGCAAAGCTGTTGCTACAGAACACTTCAATTGTTGCTTTTTTTCTTTTTTTTAAATTGATTGTTAAAAATTACTTATGAATTGTCAGCTGAGTAAAAAATAATACTTAGGCTAATTGAAATCCCATTTAATATCTGGTGGGTATGTGAACCTGCTGTGTTCTTGAACATGTTGACTTGAACTACTTCAGCTCTCATCTTAATTTGACTATTTAAAGGTAAAATGTAGCTACACTGAGTCAAATGTTTTTGCAGGTAGCTGAGGCAACCGCTGTTATAATAATTAATATAATCAAGTAATATATTTTTAAAATAAATTATTTTAAAATTATTTAATTTAATGAATTATTTTTAAAAAATTACATTTTCTGTCTCCTGTCTGTGTTTTTAACTCTAGGTATTCTGACAGTTTTTCACACATATGTTTTCTTCTGTAGAAAGTGGCAGAAAGTGAATTTGGTTTTTGAGGGAGTAGATACAGTAGCACAGATCCTGCTCAACAATGTCACTCTCGGGACAACAGACAACATGTTCAACAGATATGTAAGTAATGTGTTTATTTCTGAAGGTGCTTCTGTGTTTTCTTCAAAGCCCTTTTGTTCTGAGTACTTCCAGTGCATTCAACTACCCACAAAAGTAGGTGGTTGCATGCAGAAAGTGTTGACCTGAGGACTGCATGTGGAATCAGGTAAATGTTAGAAAGGGAAGTGTACTTACCTTTTCACTAGCGACGGGGTCATATGTAGAGGTGAATGTGCCTTGTCCTAAATGAGAGGACCAATGCAAGAGGATCAATTCAGCTAATAATATGTCTTGCTTCTTGGAATCTGTCCCAGCTCTAAGAAAACGTAAGCTTAAATCTGTTTTATTAGCTGTAAATCTGCTTACTAATTGGTATTAGAATGGTTTACATGCCAATACTGCAATGAAAATGCACGTGTTGTAAAGCCTGTGTGTGTTTTCATGCTTTTGGTTTTTAAAGAGGGTGGTTTATTTTTAACATGGTAATTTGGGTAACATTGTCTTGCATTTTTGAGCTTTTCTTATGTCAGTGTGAGAGTATTAATTACAGAATGATCCTGAGAGTGGCAAAAACATTAAAACTAATTTTATAGCTTTAAAATACAAAGTTACTCTGCTGTTACCATAAGGGACAATCCTTGCTTTCACCTTAAAAGAATCAAAAAAGCTGAAGAATTAAAGGAAGAATGATACTGGAATAACTGAATCACAAATGAAATCTGGTGTCTCCATATCTCAGCATTTACCATTCTGGCAGGTTTTATTGCAGACACACTGGACTGAGACATAAGACATTCTTCCACCTGGGTCTGTGTGACCTAGGACAAACCACTTAGTTTCTCTTTGACTTAGCTTAACCATCAGTGAAATCAAAAAATTTCGTAGAGCTTTTATGAAATTGTAATTATTTACTGTTTGGAGAGTATCTAAAGTTTTGTCAGTAGCGGGCTCTGTAAAGTTAGGAAGTGGTATTATTTTGTCCATGTTTCTGCAACTTCATTTTGTATCAGATTGTAACAATTCATGCAATGGCCTTCACTGTGAAACCAGAATGTACTGCATTAAATCGAGTTTGGGATTACTGTGACCCAGACTTGTGCCTTGTTCACCTGTTCCACATGGCAACAACATCTGCAGAAAGGACTCTCTGAAGGCTCTGGACTGGGGAATGGTATTTGCTTTCTAATTTCCTGCTGTATGCTACAGAAATAAATGATTCTAGCTGGGCTGCTCCCAGACTAGAAAAAATTGCCAAGACTTGGCTTTTCACAAATGTGCGCTCTGAGGAATAAATGAGTATTAGCCATTGGAACCATGTCTTGATAGCACAGAATAATTCTGAAATGGAATATTTCTTCTTTTGTCCAGCCACACTGAAGGGGATTTTGTGACCTGGTGAGGAAGCCCCCAAATACTTCATTTGGAGCTGGCATAGAATGTGTGTCAGCTCAGTGCCTTGTGGTAGATGAGCTGGCAGCACAGTGTGAGCTGGAGGCACTCCTGTATGGAGCAGCTTTCTGAATTGGAATAAGGTGTCTTCCCAAAGATGCAGATGAGTTCTGGATGAGGAGGGAGAGTAAGGATTCTCTTGCTGTCCTTGTCCTTAAAGCAGTTCTGTGTGCAAGCAGAGTGCTGCAGCCTGCAATGAGAGCTTGGTGTGAGGAGAGCGGTTTGCCCAGAAACATCTTTTCCTATCTAGAACATTCCTGTGTAACATTTCTGTGTATTTTCAGTTTACAAAGTAGCTTTTCTTTTCCTTCAAAATCAGAGCACACTGAGACTGTATTTCAAAAGCTTTTGAATAATATATGTATGGTATTAAAATCCCCATGTAATAGTGATTATAAATCTTATATATAAATGTCAGCACTGTAATGGTTTTGTTCTGTGTTTTGTCCTAGAGCTTTGATATTACCAGCGTGATCCAGGAGGTCAATTTTGTTGAAGTCCGTTTCTTGTCAGCCATTTTATATGCAGCAGAGCAGAGCAGATGTCACAAAGCACACAGCATCCCCCCGGCGTGCCCTCCACCTGTGCAGAAAGGAGAGTGCCATGTTAATTTCATCAGAAAGGTAGGGGCAGAACTGTCTCTGGCTTCAGGCTGGGGAAGAGGAATGCACCACAAACTGTCCTACCAATACTGTAGTTGTATTCTGAAACCTGCAATGTTGTTTTATAAGTAGGGCATATTTTTCATTGCAGCTTCCTTCTCCCATCCCCCTAGAAACCCATAATCTTGTATGTTGACACTACAAGAGGCATGAGAAGGCCAGGCTTCTTATCTAAGTGATAAGAATGTTTAAAAGGCTGTTTTCATCAAAGAGTCAGCAAGGAGACTTGCTACTAAGAGGGCAGGATAGCACTGGGAAATGTGTAATCATTACATTTTGATCCACTGGGTGGGTTTAGCAATGTATGCAGACAAAAGAGTTCACTGTTGCAAATACCAGTCTGTATTGCCAAGGCTGTAAAAAATCTCATCCAAGTAGCTTTGTGTTTGCTGTTGCTCATGTGCTGTGCTGTTTATACTGGGCAGCTCTGGCATGTCCCAAGAAGTGTTAGTTATCTAATAAGGGACCTGTTCTCATCTTATTAGTGTTGTGAAGTGTGACATATATGTACATATTCAATGAAAACACCAGAGAAATATAGATGAGTGAAACTTAGGAACTTTGATTTAAGATATGGCTTCTTTGCTGTTAAAACTTAACTCAGGACAAGCTATCATTTGAGTAACCTCTCGTGTATTTCTGATAGCTTTGCAGCAGATAGAGGCAATGTCTAGATGATCTTATTTTCTAATTTCTTTTTTTGGGTGTTTTTGCACATTTGCCTCCACTTAAATGCCTTTCTTGTTAATTATTTTCAAACTTTCTGATAAAGTCCTTCTAGAGGCTCCCCAAAAAATGACTAGGATCTTGTAAATTTAAACCTGGATATAATTTCCTTTAAAATTCATTAATGTAAACATGGACTCCATGTTGTCCTGGAAAGATCCTTTAGGATTAAGATGCTGTCTTTATTTCTGCTTGCTGCTAATTTTATTTTCTCTGCATTTTAGAAAGTTTATTCATTCTTCTGAGTGCACTGTGTTTCTCAGAAATCAGTGCAAGGAGAGTCTTGGAAAAGACATGAAATGATTTTATGCTTCACTGAACTATACCTTTAAATTTGTAGGAAAATAGTGCTTTTTCCTTAAATTAGTTTTTTGACTGTACTTGGAAGCTGCTCCAGAAATTTCCAGAAACATTTTGAGTTCCAAGTATATGGCAACAATGGCAGCTATGTCACATTTAAAAGTAAACAAACGTGCTAGGACATTGCTATAAACTGGCTGCTTCCCATCTGAAAGTAATGGAGAGCTGTTTACACATTTCAGGTGCAGTATTAAGTGCAGTAAACTTATCTAAATCTGAGTAGGAGTTTGTGGCAGAACAGAAACCTGTCACTGCCAATGAACTCCAGTGATACAGGCATATTGTCCTTGTGACATACTGTTTCTGATAGCAGTTTCTGCAGTATCTTCAGTGAAACCTGCCAATCTGTCAGTGATTAATTTATTTTTATAAAGGCAAAATGACTTTCAATTGGACATGTTTTCTAAGAATACGTTATCCCTAGTTTTCTGTTTGAAATAGGTGCAGTGTTTGCTTCCTGGAAGGCTCTTTTGCAGTTTGATAGACAGGGAGGCTGACTGGCAACGCAAGGGATAGGCCAGGCTTGTGCAATGTGGTTTGCCCAAATTAGTATGCCTTGGCTGTAAGTTATTAGTCTCTAAATTTAGAACTGTGTGTCACTGTACAAGACTTGAGGAGATCTATTGTATTTGCTTTGGGGGCTGGGGCTGTGTGAAACTTGGAGGGCAGCTGAATAGATGTTGTCAAGGGATTTGTTAAGTAGAGGTCTGACCAGGTTTGGAAACAGCTAAATGGAAATTAGTGTACTGATCTCTGCCTGAGCAGCATTTTATAATTCTGACAGTTATTCTGATGTTAGTACCAGAACTAAGCTACCTCTCAACCATGTTTTTGTTCTCTTTGTTTTTGTATAAGAGAACCATAAAAAGGGGAGAAACAGTGAACATGACTGAACTACACAAATACACATATCCATTTATTTCCTTGTATTAATTACTCTGTGCTGTTAAAACTAAAAATAGGAGACAAACTGTTTCATATATGATTTTTAATTTGATACTGTTCTTCTAGAATGCTGTAGCATTCCTAACTGTCAGTTTTCTGCTTAGTTTGTCATTTAGGTATACAATTAAATCCTGACATTACAAACTAAGATAATTCACAGCTGAACTGAGAGTAATCTCCTGGATTGTTTTTTTTGATTTTTACTGTTTGGGGTTTTGTTGGCATTTTTTAAAGTGGTATGCTAAGTATTGTTTTGTTCTTTCGGTAATACAAAATTTCTATGTACGTGGATGTTTAATACAAAATTTAATTTTTTATATAATACAAGTAGTAGCAGCAAAGTTTTGGTTGAGAAGTAAGAAAGAAATACTGTAGGCTCTTCTGGGTTTATGGAAACTGGAAAAATTCTTTCAGTGGATTGTCAATATTTTATTCCCAGATAGCAAATGTCTTTTATTTCTGGCACAGCATCAATGTGTGAAAAACAGGCAGTTGTAACATGATCATTCTGTTTTCTAGGAGCAATGTTCATTTAGTTGGGATTGGGGCCCTTCTTTTCCCACTCAAGGAATCTGGAAAGATGTTAGGATTGAGGCCTATAACTATTATCACCTGATTTACTTTTCTGTCACTCCTTTCTTTGGTAAGTATGTTGTTTCTTCTTTTTATTGGTTTCACCTTTAGAATACAAACCATTTATTGTTAAGCCAAATTAACTGTCAGTTTAGGAAATGCTCTATGGGCTTTTTATGACTTTGTGTGTAGCACTTTCCACAGCACACCTTTATTATGTATTGAAACAGTACTTCAGTATAAACAATACCTGTTGAAAATGTTAGAATTCAGAATCCTTTTTGCTTAAAATCCCCAAATAGCTGCAAAAATAAATGTAGTATAATTGAGATTAGCACCTGTTCTCCGGTTTTGGAAAATTTCCTTTCTATTGGCATGTGTCTTCACTAAGACTCCTTGTAAATATGTCTTATTTTTGTCTCACTTTCATTTAAAACGAAGGCAAAGCTGCTATGGGAATTTGGTTTTGTGTTGGAAGGAGAAATGCACAGTGAGCAGAGTTCGAAGAGTGCTGAGTTCTCAGGACACAACATGCAGTCTGAGAGAGAAAAACAGTTGTGCTATGCAAGGATAATTGTTAAAGCTGCTATTGGAGAGGATAACCTCCTGCATTCTTGCTACCTAACCTGCCAAACCAGTTTCCTCTCTCGAAGTGGTTTCTGATTTTCCTCTCCTTTGTCCTGAAGATCATTGCAGCTGTGCAAAAGCAGTTAATTTTCCCTTGAAACTTTCTGCAAATGGTGACATGCCCTGTTGTAGACCACCCACATGCTTTTTTTCCACTGCCTGTTGATCCCAGTCTTCAGTGAAGTAAAGGCTAGCACGTGGGTCCTCTGCACTGGGGTTATTTGTTGTGTATGAATAAAAGAGGAAGACATCACGCCACGGCTGCTTTTAAAGCATCCTGAAGTAGCTGCAGGTCTTAGCTAGAATTAACTAATGACTGGAATTTCCATGGAAAGCCCCAGCACAAACCGTGTGCTTTCTAAAATTTAGTTACAGTAAAAATCTTTTCTGGTCCCTTCCACATTCCCACAATTCCCCCTTCTAGTAGGTAAAGTCTTGCCCTCTGGATAAGTGGAGAGAGCAAACTTCTTTTATTCAGCAGAGTGGCTTGGAACCAGAACATAAGCTTATTAGTATTCAAACTTAATAACATTTGAAAGAGTAAATGAACAACCTAAATTTAAGCTGCATATGTACTTTTATCGTTCATCAGATTTAGTGTCATAGCCTTTGGACACTGAGTCTGTAAAAGATTCATTTTTCTTGGTTTCTCTGCCTAGATCCCACAGTTCATGCAGTTAAGAATGGGTTGTAATTTCTATATGCTTTGTAAGGGAGGAAAAATGCACTGTAATGTCTAACTGTTGTAGGGTGGGTACTTTTTAACCATTTCCACATTTCAGACAATTGGTCTTCACTGGGTAATGCTGGGTGTAATATAAACTTGGGAACTCAATCATTGCTCTTCATTCTATGAAAACAGTGAAAATCACACCATAGCTGAATGCAATTCTTTGTTTTTTTGGAGTAAGCTTTCTTTCTCTTGTGGAGGAAGGAGAGCTAGACTATATAACAAGACTACGTAAATGAAAAAAGCAAGTAAGTTATTAGTAGTTTGGGTATACAAAATGTGCATTAGTTCTAGTTCTCCTTTTTTTCTGTTTTATTTGCTTTTGCTTATATGTTAATCTTTAATATTTGAAGTATAGGATTAGCCAGGCTATGTTAGTAGCTAGGCAATTCAATTGCTGAAGTTAGTGGGAAATTTACACATAGATCTTGAGTACCCTTGACCCTGGCTCTCCTTATACAGTAAGCTCTGTAAAAGAGAGGATGCTCTGTGGTAACTTCAGAGAGATCTCAGAGAAGTCATTAACTTGTTTCTTTCACAACACATGGGTGGAAGAAGGGACATAAAGATATAGCCCATCAAGTCTAGACACAGTAGGCCAAATTCATCCCCAGTGTAGCTCCATTCATTCTGTCCAGTGAGTCTGGGATGAATTCAGCTCGTTTTCTGTTAATACTGTTTTTGTTTCATTGACAAAAGTGATTGTACTGGCTTGTGATTACAATCTTTCCCAAAGAGTACCATGTTCATATGAGTGCTGACTAAAAGCAAATACAATGTCTATAGGAATTGGTGGGAAAAAATTCCTTCCTAATGAAGTGACTGGTTTCAAGGTCTCTGACTTTTGTACAGAACTCTGAAAAAAAAGCTTGGATGGCTTTGAATTAAAAAAAGAATTAAGAAACATAAATCATACTGCATTTTTCTCTTCCATTGGACTTAGATGTCAAAACACACTAAATAAGCAGATTAACTATGTAGGCTGGTTCAGACACAGCCTGAAAATTGTTAAATTTAATCTTAGGAATTGGAATTTTTTCTTAAATAAAAGATCATGTTAACTAGTAGCTATATAAACATAATTCTTAAATTCCTTTTTTTTTTTTCTCCCCATTCACTTAGTAAAGAGTGCTCAGCAGTGGTGTCTTGAAGTCGAATCTATTTTTGATGTAGTCAGCTTTAAGCCAATTGCAGGTCTTGTGACTGTGAACATTCCCAAGTTACAAACACAGCAAACATTTAGTGTGAAGCTTCAACCTGGAGAAGGCAGCATTGTGCTGCCTGTAAACATCAACAAGGTAAGGAGGTATGTGTGGAAAGCTAATTCAGCTACAAAATGTTTCCCCTGGTTTCCAGCGTGACTTTCTGCCTCCGTGCCAGTTTTAGGTCTTCCTTCCATTCCTTACTATGTTCCTGACTTTTTAACAACAGTTCTGTGTCCCTTACAGGGTAGGAGAACAGTTCTTTTTCTTTTTATAATCTGATGTCTGGGGAGCTATGTAGCTCACTGCCAAAAAGGCGATGAAGCCTTAGGAAAGGATCATGTAGTCACTGACCACTGTTAAACGGCCTTTTTTGAGTTATTTAGGTAAATAACCTTTGGATACCCTGTGTCACTTCACTTAACTGGCAGCAGTTATCTCACATGCTGCTGTTTACTGGACTGACTGGGATTGGAATATACTACAGTACATATGGTTCTTCCAGGAGAGAGAGGAAACATTCCTCAAACCTCTCAGTAGATACTCTTTCAGGTAAATAAAAGCCAAAGAAAATTTTGTGGAGTACTACTCCTTACATTTGCTTATAGTGCTTTGAATAGGCAAATCTCAGGAGGAATTTTTGACTGGTAGAAGGTGCTCAAATGAGGAGTGAACTTAATTAAACAATCAGGCTCCAGGAGCATGGGAGCCCTGGCAGGTGCAGCAGAAGCCACACCTGATGGAGTTCTCCATGGAAGCTTCACTGCTGCAGGACACACACTTGTGGGTGGGTGATGTGCTTTGAGCAGGAACTTGGGGCTTCTGACAACTGACAATGGCAGTTAATAGCATTAGATGGTCTGCCTTCAAGCTCTTCTGTATTTTACTGTCTCTGCTGATTTTCTGCATTGCTGTGTAATGCTGCATCTGTTTTCCCAGTTTGACTGCATTGCCTGTGTGTGTTCTTGAGTTCACTTGTCAGTTGTTTGCATGGAGAGAAAGTGAGCGGGGTATTTATGTTCCAGTATGCACACTCTGTGGCTTGTGTACTTAGATGCTTTGTTTTATTTTGACACAGAAGCATAGAAACATGCAGTTTTTGTTACTGTTGTCATCTGACATGCAAGCTACTTGAACAATTACCAATACCCACTTTCATTTAAAACAACCATTAGTGTCTGCTTAACTTTTTAATGGATTACATTAAACTGGCACTGCAAAGTCAAAAAATTATTTTTCTTGTTTAGTTGTCTCACCCTAGCCTCAAAAGAGATCTGTTAGTATAGTGCAACTGCAAGTCTGGAAGGAAGCACTTCCTTCAGAGCAGAGGCAGCAGGGTTTCATTATTCTTTGTGCACAAAAGGCTTAGCTGCATGAATTCACGTCAGCTGATTTTATGAGAAGCCCTGAAATGCATTCTCATGTATCGATGAGACTAACAGAGCTCTTACTCTGTACACAGACTTGCGTGGTGCATGTTAGATACTGAGATCTCACCAGAAATTTATTTCTAGTTAAGAGCTTATTGCAGATTACATTGTGGAGTCAGTAGGTGTTCGAGTGGTGCATATCTCTGAGATGTGTATCGGCCTTCCTGCAGTTGCCACACAAAAGTGCTGTGCTGCCAACATGACAGCATTTTGCTTATCAGCTAGTGGTGAGCAGAAGGGTGACATCATTAGTGGCCAATGAGACATCTAGTCGTTCCAGGCAGCTGCGAACACTCCCTTGTTGTTGAGGCACACTCTGAGTCTGTGCTTCCGTTTGTATCCATGCAGCACAGAGATCAGTCCTTCCTCACAGGCAGTTGTGATAATTCTGAATCAGAGAAACTGGAAGATATATTCATGATATGTTCATGGTTGTGTCTAAGTATAGCTACAGCAAAACAGATTGTTGGGCTGCTTTCTGGCCTTAATTTGTTTGAAATGATTGAGGCACTCCTTGCATGACTGTATTCACTCCTCCATTGTTTGGTTGCATGCATTATTGCTTGCTTTCCACAATTTCTGTGTTATGCACTCAACTGGCAAATGCTGGCAACGGGAATGAGTGGCAGAAGTAGGCTGTTAGAGTGAAGATAAATAGTCTGTCATCTTAGCAATTGTATTTCATGTTTGTAAAAATTATGGACTACTAATGATGTGATTAGGAAGCATAGAGACACAAAGCAAAAAACCACGGAATGAACGAAAGAATTTGGCTTAAAAGCTTGACATAAGTACGGGCATCAGATATAAGTATGTATCACCAGAGTCACAGCTGAAAAGTGTTACTGCTGTATATTGAATAGTCCATGGGATAGATAAAAGAATCAATGAGAGGAGGTGTAGGATACAGAGCTCAGTGAAAAATGGCTGCTCCTCCTGACACAAGTATTTGGGGTTTGGAGGAATAGCGTGTCAGTGTACCTCAGCTGAGGAATAGCAGCTAGATGTGTGCATACATGTCCAGGCGTGATCATGGCCTGTAGTGTTCACAAAATGAAGTGACAGCCTGGGCTTCAGCAGAAGAAATCACAGTTCTCTTTTTAAATGATTTTCACCTCAGAGCTGCAGCTTGACAGAGAGTTAGCATATCTCAGCTGAAGCACAAAACCTCGTTAGGCTTGTGATAATTCACACAAAGATATCTGAGCTCCAGGTGCATTTGATACCTCTTGTTATACATGTTGCTCAGACTTTCTCCCTTGTATGTTCAAGAGTGCTGCAGTGGAGGCTTGGTGGCCAAATGGACATGGAAAGCAAACTGGATACAACATGACAACAACTTTCATGATGGAGGCAGGATGCCAGATTGAGAAGTTTTCAAAGGTGAGCCCTAAATTTTAATTACATCTGGCATTGCACTGTTAGTGCAAGGTTAGCAGTGCATCGGCTCTGCATAGCAGATATCTAGAGCTCTTACATGTTTTGCTCAGCTGTATTATGCATGTGAAAATGCTAATGAGAAATGAGTGTTTTTAATGTCACAACATATGGCTACCTGTTTCCTGGTAGTCTTAGCTTGTGTGGATGCCTTTGCTTATATCGTGGCTGCAACATGGCTTACAGTTAACCAGAAATCTCAGAAGAGAAAAGATGTTTACTTCTTAAGTTTTCTAGCTTATGAAAAGGAAACAGCACTTCTAAACTTGATATACCATGCTTTTGGTTTTGTATCATACATTGAAAATCCCTTTTAGATTTTTATAAGATCACGGAAAGATTTATTACTGAGATTTTTCTTGCTAATTCAGTTTGTAAAAATTTATGGGATAAACACATTCCTAAAAACCTAACATACCTTTATTTATTAGAATGTGGTAGATGTGCTTCAGGCTTAAGAAAAGGTAAGGTCTTAAATACGACCATAGAAATAATATTTGGGTTTTTTTTGCATAAGGGTTCCCCTAACACAGTGGCTGTTTAATTATCTGTTTGATTTTACTAAGAAGCCTAGAAGGGGTAATTTCCAATTGTCTATTAAAAAGAAAAATCATACATATTAGACTGGCTTCCTTATGCTATGAGCATGTGGAAACAACCACATAAATGTATGCATTTATTAGATGTTTCTGGTGTGTATTGCTTTACTAAAAAACTAATCTGGTCACCAGGCATCTAAAAATAATAATAATAATTCTTTGCTATTATTAGTGTTCTAATTTTGAAACAATAAAAAACTCCACACCAAGTTAACACATGGTATGTTTTTTTTACAACACTTTTTATGGTTGGAAAAACTGGTTGTAGGAAATATGACTATAAAGCCTCTAAAAGGAAAATTCTGTTATTACTGTGTGAAAACTGCACAATGATAGGAAAGCTAATAATTTCCATTTGGGTGCTTGTGTCAGAATATTTCATAGAGTTTTTTAGCCTGTGATCATAGGGACTTGGTCTACAGCATTGGGTGATCTACAACAGAAGCCTATTATTTTTTCTTCTTAAGGGGAGAGAGTGGGGGGAAAAAAGTGAATACACCACGTAGTGAGCATTGTGAATTAACCAGCATATGAAGCCTTTCAGCTTACAATGTGAAGTCTGGTCATCCTTCCTACGTTTTTGAATCTCTGTCTTAGATTCCAACCGACACACATGCACACGCACACCCCATCACCCCCCACTCAGAGCTGTATGAGTGGAAAAAGGCTCTGTATGCAGTTTTTTCATGTTGTAGCATAATTTTCTCTCATGTCAGCAGGACTGAACAGCAACATTCATATAGCTTAATAAGAACTTTGAGTATTTCAGGAGATACAATCAGGGATTAATGTTCCTGAAAGTTGTTTTGTTGTCAGTTCTGTTGTACATGTTGTACTGACTGTATTCAAGAACAATAAATTTCCTATTTCCACCCTTTTTCCCCACTTCCCCAGAAAAAAAACAGTGGTGAGACATTTCACAAGTGGTTTGTGTCCGTATGAGTATCTGCTTAACTTTGGACAGGAGAAAACTGAACTATGAGAACTGTACATGTGAGAAAGCACAGCTTGATCTTATGTCAGATTTGGCTACTCTTAGCTTGAACTACTTTCTGGATTCTGACATGGTAGAGTAGTCTTCAAAACATTAACTAATCCTTTGGGAATATTTCTGGGTGGCCTTCCAGTATGTTCTTGTATGAGCTCTATAGAGCTCTAGCCAACAGTGCTAGGAATCCTTTTGGCTCAGAGAAGCACTTAATCATTCCTGTTCAGAGTAGCAGAAAACCAAAGCAGAATAAAAGCCAACATCCAGAATGGGATGTGGTTTGGTTTTGGTTTGGTTTTCCATTTGAGTGTTTTGTTCTAGAGTTTGTTTTTCAGGATAATGTGAAACAGTCATATCTGACAGTGACATTGGTTTTCTTGATGGAGGGTCCTGTTTGTTATTGATAAGTTGCTTGTTTCTTGCCATCCCCTACATCAAGGAATTTATTACCTCTTTCATTGCCCCCTGAATCATTTGTTTCCTTTTCAGTTTTATTTCCCCATCTTTGTGTATGCACATTTCTCTGGCACTGTATGCAGAGTTTTTTGGGTTTTAAGGCTTTTTTTGTACTTTGGACATTGTGGCCTCTAGCTGTCTTTCCCTCCATCCCTTTACACACTCTTTTCCCTCCAGGCATTTTAGCATGACTTCCAGAAGTCTTTCCTTCTGGCTTTGTGGTTTTCACACCACTTTCATGCTGTGTGCTAATTTGTTAGGTTGCTGGGTTTTTCTGTGATCTTATTTCAGCTCTAGGCATCTTCATCCTTATTACTTTTCCTACTGCTAAATATGGGAATGCCAAATTTGATACACAGGTCACTTAAGTATATACAAAGCCTTTGTATGTGCCTGATAAAGGCAGGTATCTGTTTCATAATTATGCCCAGAACCAGCTGATTGTTCTGTGGTAGTCAGAGAGCCTCTTGTGCATGCCCCGAGACTGAGAGAAATGTTCAGCCCTCAGGCAGCAAGCTCTATCAGACAGATTTCAAGCTGGCCGAGGTCTTGGTAGCCAGAAGGGCATGTAGCCAAGCATGCCAGATGCTGGTTGTCTCCCATTGCCCTTCTTTTACTCCCCAAGGAAAAAGGAAGCTGAAGTAGGAACAGGAAGATGTGCTGTTACCAGCTGGCCCTGGGGGAGCAATGGAGTTGCACTGAATCTTGAAGGCCTGGAAATGTGAGCTGAGGCTAAGGAGCTCTTACTCTTGTTCCTGCTGTCTGGGTGGTCCTGGCTGAGTGTTTCAGCCTCTCAGATTGCCTTGGGTTTGGCCAGTTGCATGAGTTCTATTCGAACATGAATAAAGCAGTATCACATTACTTCTGTTAGTAAGATAAATACTCTGTTACAAATGCAGTCTGAGACAGTCCCAACCTGCCTGATGACATCCATTAATATGACATCCCAAATACCTTGGCAGCTCCAACTGCAAGTCCTGTTCCACTTTGTGCCATAAAAAAAAGAGCTGCAGTGGAGACTGAGGAGTTTTTCTCAGAGTAATTGAATTCACTGTAGGAAGGTCAGAACTTTTTTGTTAGTGCAGTACTCATACTGAAACATGAAACATTGGTTATTATTTAAATTCAACTTCTCATGTTAAACTAAGTCTGCAAAATTCTAGAAATGGTCATTGCCATGATGCAGAGCTGTTCAGGTTGAGCTCAGTGATCTGTGATCTCCACTAATGTATCTGATTTGTCACATGCACCGTCTCTATCCAGGTATTTGGTTAATAATTGTCCAGTTAACTTAGAAGCACCAAGGAGGAAGCAAAAAGTGGTGATTTTCTTCCCTACGCTAGAAATAGTTTTCTGTCTATATGTGTGATTTTTGATTAGCTGAACTTTCAGAAAATGGAGTCCCATAGTGGGATTAATCATTTCCCTTTTCAACTACAGACATGTCTGGTGTGTGAAATAAAGAATTGCATTTTGTCTTAAAGACAGGTGTATCATTTGCACTTAACTAGGTTAATTTTAGCCTGATTCACTGACAGATACTTCCCTCAGCTGAAGCTTGTGGCAGAGAGAGAACAGGCTGTTCTCTACAACCTGACCTTTTGAAAAGGTAAAGCAAATAGTCATCTGAGAGAGGAGTGGTTGCTGTCTTAGGAGTAGTTTAGAAAAAGTTAGGTTCTTGCCCTCCTGACCCAAACCTGTTTTGGCTAAAATTTACTATTAGGTTTCCTTCCCTTTATTTAATTTTCCAGTTTTCTCCCTATGATAATGAGCAACAGGCACAAGAAAGGAAAAGTGTTTTCTTTCTGACTTAAAGAAATTGAACTGGAACTAGGATGCAGGAGAAAACATTTAAAGTCTCCCTGAAAGAGCTGGTTTCTGGAAGAGTTTGGAGGTGTGCAGGAGCAGATATGGCAGGTGGGAAAGGCATCTGTACAAATAAAGGGTCAGTGCTGTTGCAGTGCATTAACTGCTCCCTCATGGCTGTTTGTGTCAGTGCAGTCAAGATACCACTCAGAGCAGCGTTGTTGCTTGTAGTGAAGTCCCAGAAAATGTCTGGAACGACTTCCTGAGAGCTTTAAACCCACCTGCAACAGGAAAAAGGAATGTGTTCTTGTTTAAGCATCACAGTGCCATATATTAGGCTAAAAGAGCAGCTGTAAAAGTTTGGCTTCTGCTTGAGATGTGCTTTATCTTTAGTACTTTACTCAGGGTGTTTATTTAGCTGAAATAAAGTTCAGAAAGAACTGATCTTTCTGAAACATTATTGCTGATTGTGCTGTTTCAACGCAGCTGTGATGGCCAGAGAGCCCTTCACTTGCAAACTGGCATTTGTGTTTGCATGGTTATTTTTTGCTCTGTGTTACACCTATTAAAAAGGTATAATTTCAGAGCAGTAAAAGGAGGAGATCTTACTTGTACTACCTGAATCTGATGCTAGGCATTCAGGGACAAGAATTAAAACTGAGCTGCTGCAGTCTCCTGGTAGAAAAAATTGCAGATTACATGGTGTTTCTGATCTGGTGCAACTACTGTGTTCCTCTTTCTGGCCTTCAGCTGGACTTCTGACTGAATTCTGCAACAATCAAACTTCATCTGTGTCTTCTTACATACTTGTGTGCACATGTACAGTTGTTTGCTCATGCTTTCTCTTAATGTGATAGCAACTTTATAAAGTGAACAGGCTTATTGAAAGAATTTTTTTTAGTACTGTTCTACTGACCCAAAGTGTTTCATGCAAGGAGGAATTTAGAGATGACACCATGTCTTTTGGCTCCTTGACAAATTCTAAGCTGTTATTGTTCGGTTCAATCCCTTTTTGTAATGGCTTCCTTTATTTATGGCATCTTAATTCCCTTTTTTGTCACCTTTAAATCTAAGTTTCATGTCTTCACAGGTTTATTTTCGGACAGTAGAACTTGTTCAGGAGCCTATTCCTGGCTCACCAGGTCTGAGTTTCTACTTCAGAATCAATGGCCGACCCATTTTTATTAAGGGCTCAAACTGGATTCCAGCAGATTCTTTCCAGGACAGAGTGACCTATGACACGTAAGCCACATTTGATGTTCTCTAAGGATAAAGGGTCGTGTTTTTTTCCTCCTGATTCTCTCTATACCCATTATCAAAGGTTGGTTTTAATGGGTAGAAGTTTCAAGGTTGTTCAACCACTAATTGTTGTGGGTTGGAGGCTTCAGAATTAGGGCTAAATTAACATGAACAGATTTGAGTGATGTTCAAGGCATGTAGATGCAATTTCTGGTGGGAAGGTGATTCTTTGCAGTTCATAGTTACTGGCCTTTCAGGTATTTTTAGGGATGATCCTCAGGCTGTTTGACCTTACTGTCTGGGCACATCCCTTGGTAGTCAGAGGACATGCACTTCATCCATGTCCTAACCCATGTCATGTAGGGGTACAGAGGTGCATGGTAGCCTCTCCCCTTTTCCTGATCTCATCTGGGCTACTTGGATTTCAGTGCATGGCACGCTGGAGATGCAGTTGGGCTGGGGGCTCCACTGTACCTGGTCTGAGCTTTGCTCTGGGTTATTGGGGAACCAGGACAACAGGGCATGGTGCAGTGTGCACACACATGCAATTTAGAGGCTGCCAGTGTGATTCAAGGGGAAATGACTGGGGCCTAAAACCCTTAAAATGAGATTCCCAGTCTCAGTCTTTCTCCTCACCCTCTCACTCCTCTATTCTTGCTATTCATTATGGAACTTAGGAAGAGAATATACATTCCTGATTTTGTTTAAAGAGAATTTGAATTCAAGTAATTACGATACAAAGCAAGTAATATCAGGGGAGAAAAGACCAACATGATTAATAAAACGTAGTATTTCTAAATCTGGTCCTGCCAATACTTCTGTAAAAGCATTTACACGTGTGTTACTCCATCTGTTTCTTAATAGTAACAAGCAACTTTTTCTGCACAAAAAAATTGCTTTTTGAGAGCTCTGTCCAGACATGCAGGTTTAGAAACCAGAGTATTTTGATACTTTCTATTAGAGTTGTAAATCTAAGATTGCCTGCTAATGATTTAGATTTGGGGTTTTTTTTCGGTAGGGGCATTAGTTTCTTCGTTTTTTTTTATAAACTTAGAAACTCTTAACTAATACTTTACAAAACTTGTATATCTCCTTTTTGTATTTGACAGACTAAGGCTACTGTTGAAGTCTGCAGCAGATGCTAACATGAATGCCCTTCGGGTTTGGGGAGGAGGAGTGTATGAACAAGATGAATTTTACGATATTTGTGATGAAATAGGAATAATGGTAAAAACAATAAACACAGAATACTTACTTAAAAACTGACAAGAACTTGTTGTAATTTGAATGGTTTCTGATTACAGAGGCTGTCTGTTGAATCTGGAAGTGATATTTTGGAAACTTTATAGTAGAAGGTCACCATTAGGTAGAAGGTAGCCATGCTTTTCTCAGTTATGGAAATGGATTTTATTTCTTCTAAAAGTATTTTCCTCTTTTTAGCAGTAGCTGTAAAGGTTTGGGTTTTTTGGTTCAAACTTTTCATTTGGCCCAAGGACAGACATGGAAGGCATTATCCAAGGGGCCATTTTGAACAAGCTATAATTGAATATAAATGTAGCTGTAAGGTGAACACCTGCTGCAATCACTAATCCTAGATGAGTACCTTTGATTATATAAACTTGGAGCCATGCATTAATAAGTTTTGATGAAGTAGTGACTAGATGAATGAAGGCCAAGTTACATTTGGTATTAAAAATCCTGAGAAGTGTTTGGTCTTAGTCAACACCACAAGAAGCAGGGAAACGGAATTCATACCTTGCTGCTTTCAGATGTATGTACTTGCAAAAAAAAAAAATTCAATCTATTTTAGTCAACTGAATGAGTGTCCTGATTTTCAAGGCTTCTGAGCACTTACAGTTCTTTAATTTTTGACATTAGGCACCTTAAGTAGGCCACTTAGATCTGTGTCCGTACAGTGCTCAGTGCAAGATTTAGATCCTGTTTAACAGCCAAAATAGCAAGTAAATGCAGAAAATCAGACCCTTATTCTGGAGGGGGCAGTGGGGGAGGTTTTTGGTTTTGTTTCTTCTGATGGTCTTGCAAAGGCTTAAAAGTGTATTGAAGTCAAACTGTGCTTAAGGAAAACTAGTGATAGCTTGCTGAGGGAAATAGTGAGAAAAAGTTTCTTTCAATGGAGAGTTTTGACACCAATAGTCACTAAAGGATTATGAGTGATTCTGCAGCAATAGCTTTGGTTTTTCTTTACAGTGTTAGGTCGTAACAATTATTAATGGCTCCATTATTCCCCACTGTCCTATTCTTTATCTTCAGTTTCCTTAGGGAATGTGTACTGAAAAGAGACATGGAAAAGCATATTCTCACAGCAAGGAAAATGCAATTGTATGAGGAGCTGGTCTCTGTCTCTCTCTGTGTAGCACGGCATTTAGAAAAGTGGAGTCTCCTACAGACTCCTTTGGATTAAGGTGCTCCTTCTAAAGGTCTTTTCATTAACGTTTGAGATAGACTAGAAGGAGCCTCAAGGTTTTGACAATTCAAAAAACAAAACAGGTAAACAAGAGATCTTATCCATGTCACTGGGCTTTCTTTCCCCTTTTTGTTAATTCTCCTGCAAGGTACAAATGGAGTTCATTGTTCTTGAATTGAAAGGATTGTTGTTCTCTAGTAGTATCTACTTGATCTTTCTTTGAAGAGAAAGACAACTCTATTTTTAAAGCATCTAGTTTGTTTCTGCCCCTCTTAGGTCAGATTTGCTGGTTTTAAGATGATTTTCTGTGCAGGTGTTTTCTTAACAAGTACACATTAACATCTGTTAAGTGTGCTCAGTACCACATCAGAAGAATTGTCTCATTAAGTAATGGGGATTTGATGTTACATCTGCAAAATAGTAAATAAATATGAAATTGTTCTGTTCAGCTGCAAATTGCTCCGTGTTTATATTTCTGATTATTCTATTGGAACTCACAGAACTTCATCTACTGAGAAGTATTCTGCTCCTCAATGTAGGCTGTCAGGATCTCATTCCTGAGGGTAAATATTTCATTACCCTGATATCGAGGATAACCACAGTGGAGTATGCACATACTTGAGCCCCATGGTGAATGTGATTTGTTTTCTGTCTGAACAAAGGATTGTGCATCCCAATAGCATATATTTTTCAAGTATGTAAAGTAACTTGCTGACAGTTTATTTTAATCTTTCTTTTCCCTTGTAGATTTGGCAGGATTTTATGTTTGCATGTGCACTGTATCCAACCAACCAGAATTACTTAGAATCCGTAAGAGCAGAAGTTTCTCATCAGGTATTTTATCCATGTGTCAAAGCTCAATTTCACATTATCTGTTTTTCATTGACTGACTGTATAAGTTAGCTTTCCAAAAATGGTTGTTTGGAAGTGTTTGTTAGTGTACCTTTATGTAGCAGACACAAAATGTAACCTTGCTAAATCTTCTTGAACTCTAACTGCTTTTAGGAGTAGTCAGTCAAGCAGACTGTGCAGAATTTATCCTTCACACATGGCTGAGTAGAGGTGGATGGTACATACGGGCATAAGGCAGATGTATGTCAGCATATTAGAATTTTTCCCTTCTGAAAGTGTATATTACAAAACTTTGAGCCTAGTGGCAAGCTGAGGGAATAGTGAACCGTATGGCAAAAAATGGGAATTGTAGGCTTAGTATATGTAATGTACATATGGACATGTAATTCAACTAGTAATAGAGTGATTTTGAAAAAAAAATTCATTGTTAAGATAAGTAATTTTGCTTGACCTTTGAAACTGTAAGTTGTGTTTCAGGTACGACGTTTAAAATCTCATCCATCAATTATTCTGTGGAGTGGTAACAATGAAAATGAGGCAGCAATTGCAAGCAACTGGTTCTCCATACCTTATCCTGACATAGGAGTCTATATCAAAGACTACGTGACCCTTTATGTGAACAACATACGTGAAATAGTTCTTAGTGTAAGTAATCTTAAGAAACTGTAGGAGGATATGGCTTGGCAAAAGGTTTCAATGTTTGAGCAAGTTGGGATTTCCTTTTTTTAATAATTTTAAGACATGAGAAAGAGCATGTTGGGAAATTGCCCTTTCCCAGCTCTCCTAAACAACTCTCTAAACTCAAGAGTTATTCTCAAAGGAAAAAAAAAAATTACTTGTCTTTAACATTTTGTGGTGTGTAAAGTAAGACTTGAAAGTGTAGTTGATACTGCTTCTTTTTTCTTTCCTGCTTTTAGTATGTCCACAAGTGCCTTCACTTCCAGTGGACAAAAATCAACTTGCCCATTAATTAATTAATCTAGATGATCAGGTTTCCTTTATCCTGATTTTGTTGAAGAATACTTTTGTTGTGAAAAGCATTTAACAACCCTCAGGTCTTTTAATAGCAGTTGAAGAAATCTATAAAGATGTTATTTCTTCAGTATGTGACTGAATATTTTTTCTTCTAAGCAGGTAAAGCAAAAGAGATGCTAAACATTTAACTCATGCTGTGTAGTCATTATATTGATTTTGTAAACAAAATATTGGTATTCTACAGTATATGCAGGCAAAGTGAAATATTTTGATCTAAAATTTAAGTGGCAAGTATGCAATCCACAAACACCTGTAATCCTTGATGAAGTCTAGTGTGATTAGGCACTACCCATTTTGCACAGGTTTTGTAGGTTTATTTCTCCTCTTAAGAGATTCTAGATTTCTGTACTGTGGAGGCATGCTGTGGTGGTTTTGTGATTAGCTACACTAGTTGGGTGACCAGTGTGTGTGCAACAAAGTGAGGTGTTCTGGCTTGATACTTGTGCAGCATTGCCATCCAAGATGGACCCATTTTTATTTTAAATCCATAGAATAACTATTTTGAGTGCAAAAAGGAACCGTGGAGGGAGATAGCTTCAGGTCCTGTGTAATACAAGCCAACTGAGGAAGCCTGTAACTACTAGTAGTACTGGACTTGGTAACTTGAAAAGGCTTCTGCCTTTGAGTTGAAGACTTCAAGCAATCCAGGATTTCCTGCAGTAAATTGTTTCAGTTAATTTTTACTTACTCAAATCGAGAAAAAAAGACGAAGATGGGGAAGCAGGACTGTTGCTTAAAATGAAGCACATGTCTGAGTGCATTGATGTGTTTGAGCCAATTGCAGTAACTTGTTACTGGTAACTAACTCGGGCCCCTGTCTTACTAGAAGTAGGGTGTTAAATGAATTATACCTGCAAAAGGATTCCTTCAGTACTTTGTAGGCTACTCTTAAAAGATTTAGTATTCTAAGTCTACTGAGGCTATAAATAAAGGCAGCTCTGAGCAATTTGAAATGTAACCCTTCTTGTAGTCTCATCTGTCTTAGCATGCAGAGCCAGCTAAAATGACAATAACCTGTAATGATACCATGCAAGCATTAAAAGTAGAATAGCTTGGATTTTTTAGGACTAAATTTAGGTGACTCTTTAATAAAAAAGGAGAAAATCGTGGCCTTGTTCCTGCAAAAACACTGCAAAAGTAATAATTTTCCATAAAGAAGTCACAGTACTCAAATATTAATGTTCCTTGAGTATATATTTCACAAGGCACACTTTAAATAGCCTTCATTAAGAATTTAGAGGCATATAAAGATAGAGAATCTCTTGATGTGAGGAGAGAATCCCTCAGAACAGCAGAGCAAGCAGAATCATGCCCAGCTGTCCTCCAAGAACATAAGTAAGAAGCTAATTAAGCAAGTAAAGATGATGAATGTTAGGACATAAAAAGGGAATGTTTCCTAAGTGGTGACTCAGAAATTTGGAAAAAGCATGGTCTCCCTGCTCCCAACCCCCTCTTTTCAAAAAATGGTCTATTTATTCAGATGGTAAAAGCCAATCACTTTGTAAGAGGGTTGTAGTTTTGTTTTGTTTTGTTTTTAAAATCCCAGGAAGATAAGAGTCGTCCTTTTGTTGCATCCAGTCCCACCAATGGCTTGGAGTCAGTTAAAGAAGGCTGGCTTTCCCGGGATCCTTACGACACCCATTATGGTGACACACACTTCTATGACTACAACAGTGACTGCTGGAACTGGACAGTGTATCCTAAAACTCGTTTTGCTTCAGAGTATGGATTTCAGTCCTGGCCTTCCTTCAGTACAATTGAAAAGGTAAGGCTGGGTTCCACACCTTCCTGTCCCTTTCGCTCTCATTTAGTGAGGGCGATGAGTCTCTTCCAGTCCAGACTTTGATGTTGCAAGAGGGACCTCATTTGGATGAGAGACTGTTATGAAACTGTTATTTCTAGTAGTAATTCTATTTAATGTATAGCTCAGTAATGATTGACTTACATCTGTTTACTTTTGTGGCATCTAGGGACATGTATTTGAGAAAGAGAACATGACAAAAGCTGAATTGTGCTGGCTTTTAAAATATTTTGATTTTTCTGTATTTTACCAATTTCTTACATTTAAATCATTTGTTTCTTAATGTATTACAACCAAAAGGAGTTTGGAACATTCGTTTCAATTTGCTGGGCAAAGCATATTATCTGAAGCATAATCAGAACATTCATCTATATGAATAAAAATAAAAATTATTCAATCCAGCCTAAAAAGAAACAAATTTAAATAAGATTAGAGAGAGTAATTACAATGAAAACTTGGCAAAAATAACTTAATGAGTTATATTGTGTTGTTATCCTTAGTTGAAAAAAGCTATTTTATGATCATTTGTTATCAGAGGCAAGTTGTGAAGATATATATACATATTATTAGAATTTATAGCCCTACTAACTTACATAACTTTTATACCTAGGTGTGTTTGACTAGATTACATTCTTCCACATAAATCTAATGTGTTTCTGATTTACTGTGAATACAAGCAAAACTCAGGTCCCTTGGCCAACCCAAACCTTGACAAATAAGTTAAAAGCCACTGAGACAAAAGTTGCTCTTCTGGGTTCAGCAGCTATGTCTGTTTTCATTTATTTGTAGGAGTGTCAGCAAAGGGTGTTAGGGATTCAAAATCCTTGCGTAACTACATGAGGCAGTGCAGAAATAAACTATCAGTTTTAAGGTTTTGGATTATGTCATTAGGCTGTAATGGATATCCTTTCCTCAATATCCTGGCTGTCATTAAATGTAGATTCTACCTTTTCATTCAGATACCTTACTTTTGTGGTTTTTGAAAGGTTTCCTCCCCTGAGGACTGGTCCTACACAAGCAATTTTTCTCTCCATCGGCAGCACCATGATGGTGGCAATATTCAGATGCTTCAAGAGATTAGGCGTCATTTCAAGCTTCCCCAGAGCCCAGATCCTGTAAAACAATTGAAAGATATTATCTACCTCACTCAGGTAACAGTGATGACTTCCATAGAAGTAGCTGTCAGTATTTGTTCCATTAAGTTCTGTCAGCTGTTAGAACTGCACCTGGTCCCTTAGGCAGTGTTCCATCATATGGAAGGTTTCCATACTGAAGCACTGGAGAATCCAGTTTAATTTGGAGCTAGCATGTCTCTCTTTTATTGTAGAGAGAATCCTATTTTCATGATAGAAGGACTGGAATAATCAGGGAATTACTCAGAAACTGTCTCAACTGGGAGAAAGTCTGTCATTATGTGCTGCCTTGATCCTTGTCCCCAGCTGGGCTCATGTAGCTGTGGGAGGATACAGGCATGTGCTGGGCTTTCATGGTACAAGAGTATTCCAAGTGCTGCATGTTACTCCCTGTTCCAGGGTGGGGATGTTTTGCTCTTCATGTGGCCCCTGTAGGCTCACTGCTTTGATTTGTGGAACACACAAGCTTTGGAAACAAGTTTTTTTTCCAAAGAATGTAGTTCTCTATTAATTAGGTTAGTACTAGCTTACTAGCTTTGGGGTTTTTTTTTCAAAGCAGAAGGGTATGTTTTACTCTTTATTCATAGTAGTTCCACATCATGCTTCCTTCTTTATTTGTCATTTCTGTGCAACTTTTAAAAGATGCTAAGTAACTTTCTAATGCTATTAAGGCAAATTGAAAGTGCTGTTAATTTTTGTTGTGTTTCAAGAATTTCTGAAACACTCTTGATGGAAATAGCTGCACACTCACTAAGTTTCTAATGTTTGAGAGCTGCTGTCAGCAAGTTTTATATAAAAGCAAAATAGCTTGAGAATTTTTGGCACTCTTGACAAGAGAACAAGGATAGATAATGCTGTGAAATTGAAACCAGGGGCAAAGCTTGCACCATGAGGTCCTGACTCAAAAAAGCTCTGAGAGTTTCTTTAAGGCTAGGTCTATCAAGGCCTTACTAACAGCTTAAACAATTTAATACCAAAGTAAGGATAGCAAAAAGGCTAAAGAAAGCAAACTTGCTTTAGAGGTTAACTAGAAGTAATATCTTTACCTTTTGGACTTTCCTAAAGGCTTTTAATTTTATTTTAAGAATTTCTTTATATTTCCCCAGCCTGATTGTAATAAACTGTGTGAAGAACATAGCAGCCTGTTTAGCATCCATTGAGAGTTTGGCCAATGAAAAATCTGAGAAGTGGTTTCTAGATGACATGGAGAAGCAGAAAAGGAGTGGGAGTGCAGCTGAAAAAATAGTTGCTTTTCTGATGTACAGTTTTGACTTGTATAGTGAAAATGTAAGTTCAGAGTGTAGGGGTTTAGACACCAAGGTAATGTATGTTGAAGGTAATGCAGCTTAACATCATTTTGCAACTCTGGAGGGAGTTATTTAAATTAATGTAAAAAAAATACTTATTTTAAATTCCATTTTCTTTTCCTTGTCTTTGATTTGCCTTTCAAAGACCATCTTCACTGAATAGAAGTAGCCCCGTATGAGATTCTTGAAGGGTACTGCTTGCAAAGCTGTTGGGATCTGCTAGGAATAGATCTTTTTCCAGCAGAGATCCACTGCACTGCAGGTGGATACTCCTCAGGGCTCAAGTTTAAAGTTATGTGCTGTTGCTGTGAAGTCTGTGTTGTGTATCAATATATTCAAACATGTTTTGAAAAAAAAGTAAAATTCAATATACCTAAAATATTTTTTATCTCTTTGCTGACCAAGGTGATGCAGGCTCAGTGTGTAAAGACAGAAACTGAATTCTATCGTTTTAGTCAAAGTGAAATAATCAATGGAGAAGGACACACAATGGGAGCTCTGTACTGGCAGCTCAATGACATTTGGCAGGCTCCTTCATGGGCTTCCTTGGGTAAGTTTGTGACAGTCTGGTAAAATGCACCAGCTACCAGTTGTGTTTTCCTCATCTGGAAGTATCAGAATAAGAAATATAACTCTGCCCTGTCTCTTGGGTAGCTTTACAAACTTCGAACATATTTCTGTCCATTCTTTAGAAATTCATTCCAGGATGGGATTTATGATGTAAAAATTGAGCATCTAGATTTTTTCTGTAGTCAGTTGTGGGGAGAGATGATTATCTCCAAATGTGATTCATTGTGTCCTTAGCTGTCTTAGAACTGGGAAGAAGAATTATCTTCTCCATGATGAATTTGATTTTCACAGAACTTCATAAGATATCTCTCACCCAGCATAGCTTCTGAGAAGCTTTTTATAGAAGGTGACTGGCAGAGATTTGATGTCTAACTTGGTGTCAGATGGGGTGAATCATTCCTGTTGACTAAATTATTCTGCTAATATGCTATTTACACATATTATTTTTTCCTCTTAAAACACAAAAATAATCAGACATATAAAGAGATACTGCCTAATCTCTTAGGCAGTAAGAAGTAGAGAGGAATGAGCAATGTGTGGCATGAGGGAAGTGTCTGTGTTTCGTGTTCCAAACATTTTGCCTAGAAGTAGTTTTGAAATGGAGAAGCTGTCCTATGGCAGCTGTATAAGGACTTGGAGAGATTCTCTTTCAATTTTAGTTATTTCTCATGTATTTTGGGTTTGAAAGTCTTTAATTAAGCATTTTACATGTGAAAAAACACAAGAAAACTAAAAAAAGCTAAGAGAAAAAGTAAGACTGTCTATGGGCAGTCTTGATGTGTCCTTGGAACAAAATGCTGTTTTAAGAAAAAATTAGCCCACGCCATCCTCCCTCTTTTTTTCTGGGAGATGTTTATCCCTCTCCTTTTTTTTTTTTTTTTTTTTTAATTAATCTAAGCAAAATAACTGCAACAACAAAGGAAAAAGCAGTGCAAGAAAGAGACTAATTTATTTAAATATTAAGGCAGTGGTCCAGCTATGATGCTTATCTTTCTGGACTTTCTAGACTTGTATTAGGAAATGGAATATCACAATGTTCATTTTTATGATTCTAGCAGTGAGTGATGCTCTTAGGCTTTTAGTGCCTCAAGAGAAAAAGATGCTTGGAGAAGTGTCCATTTGTAAAGACAGGTGTATTGATAGATGTAATGGTTGTGGAGACCATAAATGTCTTTTTGAGTACAGAGATGACATCACTTTAGAATATTTATCAAATACTTGAATTATTCATATGTTGTTGAAGTTGGTTTAGAAGAAAGAAGCTCAGCAGAGATACAGCTGTCCCTTTGTTTTGTTGTATTCCCTCTGTGAGATGAGGAAAGGTTTAATATTCATTTAATTAGGCAGTGCAGTAGAGGGATTTTGAAATGCTAATGTCTAAAATTATGCAAGACTTCGGAGAAATTAGTTTTATTTGCACTTCAAAAACATGTTTCTGCATCTTGTTAGATGGCACAGTAGTATCAATCACCAATGAGTGCTTTTATTTAAATCTGTTACTTTGCAGAAAGTCATGGAGGGGTTTACATAATTTCCGGTACAAAGCAGAAATGTTTCCACATGGTGGGGAAGGAAGAAGGTAGCAAATGTTTCTCCTTTTAACTTTTACCTTTAAGATGTTTCCTTGGGTTGAATGAAAACACAGCAGGGCCCTTGTATCATAGTACTTCTGCCTTCATCTCAGAAGTAAACAGGTTTTATCACAACTGGGTTCTGACTGTTAGCACCTAGCTGTGAAGCTGGCTGTGCCATGTTGGATGCTTTAACATCTCTGCAGTATGTTTTGGTGGAGTGCTGTGACACTCCCAGACAAGTGTCACCTTGAGGTACCCAAGGTTGTCATGAGATTTCCTTGAACAGATAACTGGCTTTTATTGCAGATTCAAAATTTACTGCCCCTGGTGAGCCCTGGTACAGGCTGTTATGAAGAATAATTGATCTGAATTCATGAGGCTGAGGTGAGGAAAGAACTAGCAGCATGTTTCTCGGGTTGCATTTAATGGTGCAAAGTGATTAATTTAAAATCATTTCAGGGAGATCTGTTTATCTGCACTCCTGCCATCAGTGTAGAAGGCTTCAGGGAAGAGTCAGATGAAAGGGTACTGGAGTCTCATTACAAACCTAACTTTAGTTTCCTGTTGTGAAGTTTAATACTACAGAGAGTGCAAACCCCTTGTTATTGTCAGGAAAAATTGAGGAACATGGATTTCTCTAAGAATTTTTTAAAATGTGGTGAGAGAAGGAGAAAGCCACCCTAGGGCTATTTTAAATAACTTTTGACTGTTGCCTTGGGCATGCATGTCTGTAACAGGAAAGTTTAAACCCGGAGGTTTCTCATGATAACTTCCTGACCTCCAGATTTTTTACATCCATTTTTGGGCATGTGTGCATGGTGTATTTGATATGCAACTTGCCTGTTTTTAAATAAAGGTATCTATCTAGCTCTGATCTTATGGAAATCAAGACAACAGAAGAACTGAAAAATATGGACTTTTAAATTAGCTTCAGTTTTCCTTGCTGTCTGAAGTTACTTTGACAAATGTATTATCAAGATCCTGATGCTAGAAAAGTTGTCTTTGGAAAACACTTCATGTGTGAAACTGCTACAGCAGTTGAGTTTTGGTTCTTCAAAATGGCCGTAGTATTTTTGGGAAGGGAAATACCAGTCTTAAAAGCTGATCAGAGTTAAGCAGACTAATGATTTTTCAAACATTCCAAAACAATGGATATCATAGTAATGGAGTGGGTTTTGAAATGGTCCAAACTTTTAAGTGTGTGGTTTGTTTGATTTTGTTTGTTGGCTGTGGTTTTTGTTTGCTTGGGTTTCCCTGTGAAAGTTTAATGCCATGTTCACTGAGTGTCGTCTTCTCTGCTGTAAAGGTTTTCTGAGGAGCTCTGCTGCCTAGGTAGCAAACCTCCTCTCTTTCCCTCTGCAGTGTGGCTGTGTAATCCAGTTGGAAATCAAGGCACAGCAGAGATTGAGAGAAGGACCCATTCAAAAAGAAACAGGATTTTATATTACACTAAGTAGCAGAAACTTCTCTACATCAATTGTGTTATTCATTTCACATATAAGATAGCTGAAGCCTAGATTTTCATGATGTGAATTAAGCTCAGGAAAAAAAAAAGTGAACAGGCACTGAAACCTCAGACCATGATGGGTAACTTGTCTGAGCTTGTGGTGGACTCTGCCTGGATTCTGCAGTGAGCAACATCTATTGCACTGGCAATTTAATTAATTGACAATTAGAGTTCCAGGAAATTGTGCAGCAGTTTTGAGGGCTTTAGAGATTTCAACCCCTCCCAGACTCTCCCTGCCCATTTCTCATACAAGGCCCATAGCTTTTGTTTGTTGGACAGATACTGCCCCCACTTTATTCTGTTTCAGATAATCCATCCCCAGTCCAAATCTCCCATCTTCTCAAGTTTAATGACTGAAGAGTAATTTGTTAGCACCCCCCGTTTTTGGTAGACTTGTTCTTTAAAGCACCAATGTTTTCTGTCAGTAAGTGTCCTTGGAATGCCAGAACATTCCTTTGTTCCTATCACCAGGGGATCAGACCCAGCCAGCACAGGTTTGTGAAAGGCAGGTCCTGCTTGACCAGCTTGATCTCCTGTGGCAAGTTGACGCAGTTGGTGAATGAGGAAAGGCTGTGGTTGTTGTCTGCCTAGACTTTAGCAATGCCTTAATGCCATTTCCCACAACATTCTCCTGGAGAAACTGGCTGCTCATGATACGGCTGGGTGCGCTATTCACCACAAAAACAAACTGGCTGGAGGGACAAGGGCGAGTGTGATGGTGAATGGATTCACATCCAGCTGACAGTGGGTCACTACTGGGATTTCCCAGGGCTCAGTACTGGGGCCAGCCCTACCTAATATCTTTATAAAGGATCTGAACAAGTGGTTCAAGTGCACCCTCATCCAGTTTGCAGTCAACACCAAGTTGGGTGGGAGTGGCAGTAAGGCTCTGCAGAAAGATCTGGACAGGCTGGATCAGTACACTGAGGCCAGTTTTATGAGGTTCAGCAAGGTCAAGTGCCAAGTCCTGCGCTTAGGTTACAACTCCAGGCAGTGCTGTGGGCTGGGGCAGAGTGTCTGGGAAGCTGCCCAGTGGAAATGGACCTGGGGCTGCTGGTTAACAGCAGCTGAACATGAGCCAGCAATGCCCAGGGGGCCAAGAAGGTCAGCGGCATCCTGGCTTGTGTCTGTGGCCACAAGGAGTAGGGAAGGGATTGTTCCCCTGTACTCTGCACCGTTGAGGCTGCACCTCAAATTCTGTGTTCAGTTCTGAGCCCTTCACTGCAAGAAGGAGACTGAGGTGCTGGAGCATGTCTAGAAAAGGGCAATGGAGCAGGGGAAGGGCTGGAGCACAAGGCTTACGGAGAGCGGCTGAGGGAGCTGGGGGTGTTTAGCCTGGAGGAAAGGAGGCTGGGACACACAAACACACATACCTCCACACCCCCTGCTTCAACTACCTAAATGGAGGTCACAGTGAGGTGGGGGTTCACCCCTTTTCTCCATTAACAAGTGACAGGACAAGAGGAAATGGCATCAAGTTGTACCAGTGGAGGTTTAAATTGGATCTTCACCAAGGTGTTGTCAAGCTTTGGAGTGGGCTGCCCAGGGAAGTGGTGGAATCACCCTTCCGAGATGCACTTACAAGATGTACAGATGTGGCATGGGAACTTAGGGACATGGTTTAATGGTGCACTTGGAAGGTGAACAGCTGAAGTTGATCCTAGAGGTCTTTTCCATCACAGATAGCTCTACAGTTCTATACTGAAAGGCATCAATATACTGAGTATGTTCATCAGTTTATCAACTGTCTGTTTTGAAGAAATGCAGCTGCCTCTCCTGAAGTTTTCCTCCAGCCTTATCTCTTTGGTTTGCTTCAGTGCAGTTAACTTGAATGCCAGTGGTGTTTTTGCTGGCAACAGACTGATCTCATAGCACAGTTCAATCTTGTGTGGATTTTCCAGGCAGATATGAGCTTCTCTTGTTCTCCAAGCTAGCTGGTTGTGAACTTGCTGAGAACAATGTGATGTGTAATGTGCTAAGTTGGAGCTAATGCACTTATTCTTCACAAAGTTCATTCATGTTTATGTGGAGTGCAGACAAAGCATGTTTGAGTCCCCCTGGGAAAGCCACAACAAGCCTTTAAAGGCTGCTCTGGATAAGTCTTTAATTATGAGATGTTTGAAAGTGCTAAGAGCTTTGCAAAAGAACCAAAACCAAGAGAGTAAATACTAAGAGAGTTACAAGAAGAACATCGCACTGAAAATATTCTTCATACATCATAAAGCATACATCAGCTTTAAACTTGTTGTATAAAATAAGGAGCCAGAAACAAGAATGAAAACCACTATCTAACTTTTCTTTCCTTGTGAGATGGTGCAGCTGACTTGATACTTCTTTTTAGTGCCATTTCAATGACTGGATAATGGTTGAGCAAAGACAAACTTAAAATGCAGGCAGTGGATGCTAGATGGAATGTTAATAGAGGAGGAAATGGATGCAGCTTCTCTTTCAAAATTATTACATGGCAGTGTTGCAAAGCGAAACAGCAAAATTGCTTTTTTTGGAGAGGATGCAGAGTTTGATGGCTTTTCCAGTTTAATGGAAGACTTTCAAAGTATTAAAAGTAATGAGGTACAGCTTTCCATTAAAGAAGCAGCGTGAACTGTTTGTCATCTGTCTGTCATGGATACTAACTCCCATGGAGGAGGTGGAGTCTCTAGATCTTGGCAAATTTGTTTTGCTGAGCTCACTGTCTTTGGTTTGGGAACTTATTTTTGTCTATTTCCATTGATGTTCTCTAAGGAAGAACTGAAAGGAGGACTGAAAAAGGAGAAGAGAGCACTTTGTATAAGTACCTTGTCTCTTTTTATAATAGTGGTAGTTTGTGGCAATGCCAGAGTGTCTGGATTCTCAACAGCACGGATGTTCCAGCTGCTAGTTTATGTGTGGTACACTGTGTCAGCCTTGTCACTTGTGTTTAAGGTTTCCTTTAACTGAATGACAGTATAGCAGTGATAGGACAGAGACACAAAAGTACAAGCTTTTGGGAAAGCTTAAAGTTTGAATCAGATCTTTTCCAGGGCAGAGCCTTGCCTGGAAGGAAGCAAGAGTACCTTCAGTCACTCTTTGAATTTGATAGAGGTGAAAAAGAGTGGAGGGGGATGTTGCACTGCCAATAGCAGGACCAGAAAGCCCGTACAGAGAACGTGTGATGAGGCAATTTTGGATTCAGTTTCAGTCTTTCTTCTTTTTAACTCTTTTTAGAGTATGGTGGTAAGTGGAAACTGCTCCATTATTTTGCCCAGAACTTCTTTGCACCACTGCTGCCTGTGGCCTATGAAGACAAAGGGATGTTGCACATTTATGGTGTCTCAGATCTTCATGAAGACCACAAGCTGACTTTGAGGGTAAGTGACAGCTGCCTCACCACTCTTGTGTGCCTCCTGCAAAAATATGAGAAGCTGAATTGAACACATCTTTATACAGACAAGCTTCAGTGAGGCCATGCTCAAGCACCATGAGATGCAGCTCTAGTGTTTAATCTTAGGGGCAGCACTATTCTTTATTAAAGTAGTGTGTAGTGCTTCAGAGAAGAAGTTCTTTTGCTTGTAGCCTGTGGGTATAAGGCTGAAATGAACTATTCTGTTGAAATCTTAAATGGATGGCTAAATAGAACAAAGCGTGAAAAATGGTACCTCACTACTTAACAGAACTGTTCCCTGGGTGTTAGAACTAGATAACCTGATTAAGTAGGGGGCAAAAAAGGGATTGTACCATTGCTTACCAGTACTCAAACTACATGGCTCTGGGAAAAAGGACTGGATTATTTTTTGAAATATGAATGGCACATCTTTAATTGGAAGGTCACCTATGCATGTCACTGTTTTGTAATGGATGCCTTAACTCTTTTCTGAGAATGCTATAGAAACTGATAGGATTTTTATGTCAGTGTTTGGACAGCTGTGTTTTCTTGTAGACAACAGTCTTCTTTTTCAGCTTGTTACATTTTGTTGCTGTTAATCATATGGCAGCATATAACAGATCATCAGATAACAGATGAATTTAGGGACCATTTTCCACTATGAGATTTAGCTCCTGACATCAAGTCTGTCCTATGTGAAAATAGTGTGAAGGATGGAAAAGCAGAGCTTGAGATCTGGAAACAGTAATTTTGGAACTAGTAGTATGAATATGCCAGCTCCTAGATCATTGCTCTGTCTGGTGGGCTTCCATGAATTTTCAGATTTATAAGGTTGCTTATATGGGGTAATATATGGTACAAAAAATCGTTGTAAAGTCAGTTCTTGGAGTAGGACTGCACTTAATGAAATTGTTCATTTCTGGTCTGAGTTATTCTAACAGACATAAATTCTGATTTTCTGATAGCATCAGAGAAGTGTTGGCAGTAGGATAGTTCTGATGAATACTGTATATTGCTCTTCAAGAAGATTTGGAACTTAACTCTTGAAAGGAGTTAAGATCAATTCTGGTCTGCACACTCCTGTTAAGGCAAAAAATAACTGAAAACTTACAGTACAGAATATTGTAACTCTCATTAAGTGCTTAATTTTCAAATTATGCCCTTTCTAAAAGGGTATATTCATAATGCATGGATGATGTCTGGGAATGTATTTTGCTGTATTAATATAACCTTCATAATCCCTTTCAAGATGATGGAGCTTGCTTCTATGTAGGAGTGATTATGCAGAATCTCCAGCATACCCAGTTGGGTTACATCAGATAATGCTGAGCAATCTCAAGAAAATCCTTCATTTGAGTTTTTTTAATCAAAGAAGGGAGGAAAAAGAGTCATCAAACTAGCCACACAATAATTCCATTTCCCAGCAGTCCCTTGGCAGGAATTGGCAATCTTTTCTTCTCAAGGAGCCTAGAGAAAACAAAAAAGTCTTGCAGATCAAGAGCAGCTCCAGACTGTTAGAAATGAACCTCTTGTTAGGTTTTTAGAATGATCTAATTTTTATGCCATATCTACTGTGTTGTTTCTTGCTAGGTGGAAATCAGCTGGTGCTGTCAGAGAAACATCTGTTGTAATGAGCAATCTGAAATCTAGGATGCTGCATTGTTTTCATAGGTGTAGCCTTTCTTCTAATCTTTGTGCTCTCTCAATGTGCGGGATAGGTTGTTGTGCACGCCTGGAGCTCTTTGGAGCCCGTATGCACCCTTGCCAAAGAAGGTGTGGCTGTTAAAGCTCAGAGTGCTGTCCCCATCTACAAGGAGTCCATCAGTGACCTTCTGGAAAGATGCAGAAATTGTACCAGGAAAAGCTGTATTATAACTTTCTGTCTCGTGGGAGAAGATGGGCTTCGGAGTCCTACAAACCATTACTTCCTTTCATCACTCAAGGATGCTGTGGGATTAGAAAAGACCCAGCTTAGTGTAAGCATCAATCATGCTAAAATGCTGTATTTGATTTTGCTAATCTTACTGTTTTGAGTTGTTTGCCAGCTATGCAGTGTCTGATTCCACTGAATATTCTTTCTCCTTAGTTGTTGCTATTCTGGCTTCCAGGTTGAGTTCAAAATCAGATTTTTTTTTCTGGTGTCACTATATGTGTATCTAAATAAGACTGGTGGGGTTGGTTTGTCTGTGGTTTTTTTTGTCTGGGCTTTGTTTTGTTTTAAATAATGAAGTCTCCCTTTCATTTGTTTAGATTGTCTTCCACCTTGCAGCACTGCTCCTTTTTTTTCTTTGTGTCCCTAGAGAGCAAATTGCATCATGACAATTGTTGTGGCTTGAAGACAGCACTATATGTCAGGGTTAGGTGATCCTAGTTCAGCTGAGTGTGGAGTGCATTATTGTCAGCAGTATTTCCTCTGGAAGTGCTCACACTCTTAGATCAGTGTAACATTGCTAACACACAGTATTTCATGCTCCTTTCCTCCTCCTTCAAATCCCTGCCCTCCAGTAAGGATTCTGATTTGCATAACAGTTATTATTTCTTAATAGCTGGCAAGCGTGTCAGTCTCCTAAAAAGGCACAAAAAGCATCAGTGTTGCATAACACTGTCATTTAGTCAATTTGCTGTTTTTTCCTAGATTTCTTCTGTTCCTAGCAGGCTTTCTGTATATATAGAGAGCATGCATGCCCTGTGTGTGTGTGCTCACACATTTTGTTAAGCCTGACTTCTTAGCATGTACATCTTACTGGAAAATTCTTAATCGTCAGACGGGCAGGATGGGGACCTTTGTGTTCTCACATTTGGCTTTCAAACTGCAGCTTTGCTCTTTAGTGCTAAACTGAACAAGGGGGAAATAGAGGTCTAATCTCTTTGAATCTGGACCAGCATAATTGCTTTACAGAAAGAAAATGGGCCAGATTTTTCCTTCTTATCTCTTTCACGGCAGCACAGCCTGCCTCCTGAGTATACAAAGAAAAAAATCAGCCTTTTAATTTTTTTTTTCATCCGGTGGTACAATCTGGAGTCTGAGTCATGCTGTGGGGAGTTTGTTTCTTTGTTTTGGTTTGTTTTTTTTGGTTTATGGGTGATATCAATTAAAAAAGCTCTGCAACTGGAGCATTTTCAGAAAATTTCATTCCTTTATCTTTTAACTGTTGCCTTTGCAATACGAATTAATAGGGGTAGCTAGCAAGGATAAATGCAAAGCGGTCATTTTAAGAAATGCAGCTGGGATTTAAAAAATGTTTTGCAAGAGGCTGGTATGTCTATACTTAGTTACTAATAAACTAACTAGACTTTCAAATACATTGCTAATCCAAGAGCTACTGTTTGTAGCATAGTTTTTAAAAAGCATCAAAAGCATTAGTATTTCTTCAGGAAACAAAATGTGTAGAGGATGTGTGCTTTTTCTCAAAAATGAATAGTGTTGCTTTTCTTGTAACCAGAACATGATGCCTGCACTGACTGCAATTTGTCCTCTTTTTATAGATGTTAATTGGTATTTGAAAGTTATGTAGCATGGTCTTTCATTATGGTGAATGGGGAGTGTTGCATGAAAATGCATCCTGGTTGGGATTTTAAGTCTCTCTGAGATTTAAGTACTGATAGAACTTAATGTAGAACATTATACCTTGACCTGATACTTTACTACTATTTTTTTTGTATTTTACTAAATGAACTATAAGGACTTCACTGCCATGATACATTGAGATGACTTTCTGTCCTACTGGGATTTTTATCTTCTTTTGCTTCTGCGTGTTTCTGTTATGTATATAATTGAAAGGCAAGCGTGAATTGATAAGTTGAGTGAAGTGTTGGTGAAAGCAGCACAAATCTCCCTGCAATAAAAATGGAATACCAGTACTATGTAGAAGTCAGATTACCATTTATTCAGTTAGTCTCATAAGAAGATGGCAAAGTGATAATACTTCTTAGCATTTTCCCAGAATCTGTAGTAATTCTGTAGGAATGCTCTGGTAACATTTGCAGTTTTTGCATGATTCTTACATATGAGGAATACTAATTTTGATTAAATGTGGTTGTTCAGCCTGTTTTACTGACATGCTGGTCTTTCCCAGTTTGGGTGTAACTGGGGTCTTCTTTAGGATGTATTTTTTTTTTAGTAATACTTTTTTTTTTATTTCTCTTTCAGGCCTCTATATCCCAACAAGATGATATTTATATATTTGTTCTTCAGACCACTGCAATTGCTCCTTTTGTTACTCTGGATGTAGGGAGTATAAAAGGCAGATTTAGCGATAATGGTTTCCTCATGACTGAAAAGAAGAAAATGGTTGTGTTTTATCCTTGGGAACCTACCAGTGTTGAAGAACTAGAAAGTTCACTAATCTTGACGTCTCTACTGGATGTTGTCTGAGAATACTTCATTTCCTTACAGATAAAGAGTGAAAAAGGAGGAGAAAAAAAAAAAAATTAGAAGAATTTGACTGAAGTTGCAGTGACATACACTTTGAGCTGGCTGAAGAGCATACTGTCTGTTCCTGTCATGTGAATTTTAACTGCTGGTTCAATGTAAAGATACCAACTGCAAAGCTTACATATAATATATGTGATGTATTGAAAGCACAGCCGTATTTTTTTTCTAGCTTCATTATGCAGTAAGTGGAAATTAATTTTAGGATAACAGAAAGGTATGCTGGGGACGAGGGAGAGGGATGGGGAGTGAAGCTGGGACTACTGCCAGTAGGCCAACGAGCCACTTCGTGGGCAGGTTGCTAAATGTGGGGCTTGTCTGTCAGACATGGTTTGAAATGCAGCTGGGATCTTGCTGGCATTCCACAAAGATACTCTGTCCACCCAAGCAAATACTAATTTTCTTGCAAAGCAGAATCAGCATCACAGCAGGTGGAGTTTGAACAAGCTCTGCTACTGATGTCCATTGGTGTTGTAAAAGCAGCATGTGGGTGATACTTGCTGCTGCTGGTGGTGGGGGTCTGGAGCACGTGGTGGGGAGCAGCTGTGTGTTCCATTGCAGAACTCAGGCTGGGGGTCAATCTCAGTTGTGGTCATAGTTTTAACAGGCAGAGAGATGAGCATATTGACTGATACTTTGGTGTTAACCAAAACTGACATACTCTTTTGCAAGAGGAAGAACTTACAGAAGAAAGGGAAATGATAAATGAGAGTTTCTTACAGATGCTTTATCGGATCACCAAAACAACTAACTGCAGTTGCATCTGATTCAAAGCTCTAGTCCTAGTTAAAAGAAGACATTAAAACAATCACAATATGGATGTGTATGTGCCAATGTTTACAGATTTTGTAAAATAAATAGGGAAAATGACAGTCATGAGTACAACTTCATAAATATAGGCAGTGACAAAGGAAGTTAAAAGCTATTCTGAGGGGAATCATGGGCCAGCAGTACCAGAAAAATTATTCAGTTTCTTTTGTGTTCTGGAATCAAAGTAGCAGTAAAGTCAATATAAGGTAAGAATGAAAAAATGGGGAGAAAATATGATTAATATGTACTGCTGCAGTGTATTACAAAAAGGGCAAGTTTGTTGATGTCTTTCTTACATTGATGGAGAAATGTCTCTTCCAGCAACATCCAGGTAGCATTTCAAAATGGCACTTAATAGTGTTAAATAAATAAAACTTTGGAGGAATCACTTGTTTAAAGACAATCACAAGGCCTGTCTGGAGGTTGGTGATATTTGTTCATCCCAGCAAATGAGTGAAGTTTGAGATAGGTAGAAAAGAGCCTTTGGATTGCTAGAAGAAAAACCCACAAATTTGTATAACTGACTTTGTTTAGCCTGTCACAACTTTTAGGCAAAATTATGAAAGAAGCTATGTGGTACATGATTAGTAAGTGATGAAGTGGCTATGCAGCTAATGTCTACCAGCACTGTTATATAGAACACCATTCTTTTATTTTTTTTTCTGTTGCTTTCTGCAATAACCAGATTGACATAGCAAGGTTTGGACAATTTTTTAAATTATCGCTGTTTTTGAAGGTCAGAAGCTCCCTAAGGAGTAGATCCATTCTTTTTCACTGAAAGTCTTTAATTCAGCACTAGGTGCCATTATGAAAGATTAGTAATTGCTTAAGCCAAATGCTTGAACTCAAAACAGAATTTGAAGGTGAAGGTTGACTTCCATTATTGTTTTAATATCCTCAATATGTTCTTTTGGTTTCCTGGTGTTGTAATAGATGTGTATTTATAGAAGTTCTCCTGCCATGCGGCAGCGATTGTAAAGTGTGCTTTGGTTAACCATTTCCCCTTGGTAGTTTCACAGTGGTGTCCTGTGCTATACTTGGTTACATTGTTCTGCCTTTGTCTCAGATCAGGCAGAGATAAGAAGGCAGCACTGGTACCCCCACACTCCTGTGGACACGTCCATCTTGCCAGCTGAGTGTTGTTACAGCTACAGCAGCACCTGTGCTGCCAGTTCTATCTGATGGGGCTCTGGCAGCAGGAGCATTTGGTAAGTGTCGTGGTGCTTGTCCTCAGTATTGGTGGCAGCAGTAGAGGGGCCTGGCCTTGTCAGTGTTCTTTCAAGGTGCTGCCTTGCAATGTCTTGTTAAGGACCAGTGAGTTCTCTTGTGCTGATGCCCTTTGTTTGCTTCTGAGCCCCTCTGTGCTGTTCTCCACTGAGGGCAAAAGTGGCAGCCAGAGTGCCCCACAGCCATGACAAATGCCCTTCCAGAACAGAACTTGAGAGCAGGTGTGGGAAGAACACTTCTTTGGTTTTGGCTAATCTGTTGTCCTAAAACCATTCTCTGGCTGAGATTTGGCTCTGAACTCATTCTGGGCTTGCAGAGGCTATTCTGAGCTTTAGAGGGCACCTGTTCCTACTTTCTGTCACACAAGGAAGACTTTTTTTTCTCCAGTATACTGGAGCATATCCTTGGAAGCATTTTCAAGTTCTGCATCTTCTCCAGGAAAGAAGTGTGCAAATACATGCAGAAGTTCCTATCTAAGTAAGTGTTCAGAGTTCTCTGCCAGTCTTTCTTTTATCTGCTGTTTGCATACCTTGTGGCCTGGACAGATTTTCTGTTCTAGAGGCACATCTTTCTTCAGTACTTTCACTTCTGTTAGTTCCCTTTTGGTTTTGGAGCTTTGTAGCAGAGCCTATTTCAGTGACTTGTAGCAGTGTCAGGAGGAGAGAAATGGGCCAGTAAGTTTCTTACTTTCAGTACAGGAGGAGCATGGTTTTGAAGCTTACAAGCCAGCCTTTTCATTGTCAATATCACTGTTCTCTTTCTTACCTGCTTAGGGAATCAGGAACACATGGTTTTTAGAACAGGTTTCAATTCAAGTTGTGCTTACTAACTCTGCTTTCCAGTCAGATCCAGTTACAAGATAGCAAAACAAAAGGCCAAATTTAGTTCAATTAGCATGGAAAACCAAAACTTAAATGAAACAAGGCCATCTCTGTAAGAAGTAGTCAGTCAGTAGAGACCTGTAAGTACCTGAGCTAGTGCTCTTCTGCATTGTGCATATGGCAGGAGTGACTGCATAGCTGAAAAATCCTATAGCAGTTACATTTAAATGAGGCCATGGGAAACTTCTGCAGCCTTGGAAAAACATACTCCAGGCTGGCTCAAAGTGGGACATCAGGCTGCTTTATAATGCTGAATGGAGAAAATGAACTCCTTGGTAATTAACTTGTGTTGTCTTTTGCTGTAGGAATCTTTTGAAGCCGGCAGAAGTTTGGACTGTGCCATTGGCCATTACTCTAGATGCGCTTTATTTCAAGACATGATCATCCAGAAGCTGTGGATGGTAGGTGAGTATTGACCACTGCACCTTGAGCTAGCAAATGGCCACCACCATTCCTGTCACTTTACTTGGGGGAAGGACAGTGGCTCTTCTTTCTTAAGTGCATGAAAAAATCATTTTACTTTCCCAGGCAAGGGAGAAGACACTTCATACACCACTACATGCAGGTAAGAGTCTTACTCTTCCTGTAGTCCACAGAATCTCAGAATGCTGCCTAGAGCTTCCCACTACCATTGATTTCCAAGTTTTTAAATACATGCCAAGATGATGCCAGGAAACGTAGAGCTGTGGCAGCCAATGTAAACTCAAAGGCAGTTTAACTTTCTGAATCATTAATTTTATATCAAATGTAGAGAAGATCTGTAGGGATCTTGTCACAACTTCTGCTGCATTCCACTGGTTTCTGATGTTTATTACTGCGGTAGAGCAGCAGAATAACGGAGTGAGCTCTATTTCACTGCACCTGCAGAATAAGTTTGGAGGTTTCTCTATATAAGCCAGGTGTAGACAGACTCTCAATAGTATTTTTCTATTTCTTAAACAAATGAAAAAAACCTAAAAGGATTAAAGCCTTTTTTTATTAAATACACTGAAATTGAGAAGCTGCCAGACTGCTATTTAAAGCACTTCAGTACACAGGGCTTAGGGGACCTGCTGTGCATGATCACTAACCTGATAAACAGCTATTATGCAACATCTAGTCATGAAGTGCTTTAAGGAAATACAGATCCAGGTGTCTTCTGGTGGTGTAAAAGCAGAGCTGGTCAGAAGTAAAGCTAAAAGGTGTGAATAACAGCCAGCGTGGCCTGGTCACCTGCAGGATTGTAGAAAGCTCAGTAAAAATCCCTGTCAGCCCCCTGAGCTGTGCTGGAAATTCTGTGGAAGCAGAAGGTGTGTTTTACTTGGACAGCAGCTCTCCTAGGGCTCAAAAAGTCCCTCCACTCCTCGAATATGAGAACCTTTGCCTTTTTCTATTAGAGCTGGAATAGAAAAAGAATGCTGGAGAAGTACATTAATTGAACAAAAATCTGTATGCCTTAGACTATGCCCTATATGCCTAGACACTGCCTAGGTGAGGGTTTTACATGTAAGAACTGAAAGAAAGAATGGCACTTTTACTATTATTCATCTTCACTGGAAGTAATTAATGTTCTCAGCGATTCAGCTGGATTATAAAATTAATTCAGAAGTTTTTTTTCAATACTCACAGTTTAATTCATTACAGCAACTGCCTCTCTAAACATAACCATTCTCAAGGTTTATCTTGATTCATTTTCTCAGGAGTGACAACCAGGTTACTGAAGATTGAGCTGAGCCAAGAACTACCCTGTCAACACTCCGTCTTTGTGCAACAAAAATTGGCTAGATGTGACAATGGTACGATGCCCCTCTTGGCTTTTTCATCTTGAACTCTGATGCCTGCTCTGTTTAGTTGGACCAGCATCAAAAACAGGACACTCACCATCTCAGAACTGATGTCAGACAGGAAGAAACACCACTCATGAACCCAGCTACTACAGGTGATTCTAGGTAGCCCAAAGAAGAGATATCTCATCAGAGATTTGCTGAGACACTAAGTAGTTGGTTTCAGTGTAAATTGATTCTCTGCTGTCATAATGATGAGAACTAAAACATGGCAGAGGCTTTAATTTCAAAGCACAGCTGCTCAGCAGTAGCTGATGGTTCTGCTCTCCCTCCATAAAAGATACTTTAGCTTTCAGACAGGTGGCTTGCAACCTTTCATTTATTTTAGTGCTTGGAAATCAGCATGATCTTGTATCAATGCCTAAACCTGAGATGCTAAATCTTCAATAACTCTACTTAAAAAGTAATGTAATAATCACAACAGGCACAAGACAGGAGAATTAATTTTAGGGTTTTATTATAAAAGTAAAATAAAAATAAGCATTTAAAAAGCCCACTTTTTCAAAAAGGAACAGATATAAAAAAACTATTTACAAGTAGGAAAATGGCAAACTTGAAAAAATTTTTGAATAAGAGACACCAAAGTTAAGTTTAAATACATTATTTGAAATATACAAGATTCTTTTAGGATTCTCTTTTTTCTGAGTTGTTACTGCTGTGATTAAAGTAATGATTTTTCTTTGCCATCTATTTTATAAACTGTTTTCATACAACCGTGCTGCAAAAATTATGAAGAGAGCAGCTAGAAACTGTATCTTCTGATTGCTCATGAGCTTAACCTCTTTAGTAAGTTTGTATTATGCATTAACAACTTCTTTTCCATCTGTAAAAGAAAATCCTCACAGACCAGGAAAGCTCAGACAGTCTTTCTCAAGATCCAGTCCTGTGTATTAATGCAGCAGTGTAGCCCTGGTTATTGTAAATGAACACAGTTAAATGTACTTGAGGAAGGAAGCAGTCACATGCTGCAGTTGCCATTTCTTTGGGTTTAGGTGAGATCCTTCCAGTGCACTTTTGGTTGTGAGTTCCCTTCCCTCTGGCCAGGATGACACTGATACAATTTGAAATGTCCCACTTGTTCCTGTAACTGCATATTGCTAATTGAAGATCGCTAGTCAGCTATATAATTGCTTTGCCCTGAATTTTCATGTCCATAGCCCAGGGCCATTTTGCCCAGTGTTAGTGAGGACTTGCTGTTCAGAGAGTCTGAGTAAGTGAAACTCAGCTTGTGGAAGGAGGTCTCCACACCGCTGTCACACGTGCTTTCAGTGTCTTGAAATCTGCTACTATAGAGCTCACCTGAGGGACAGAGAAAAGGGAAACATCATCATTGGTGTGGCTTCAGCAAGGGTGCTTTAAGAAAAACCTAAGGAATACAAACCAACAGGGTTAAGCTCTTCTATAGGAAAATAACTCTGACATGAGCTATTATAATAGGAAAAGCTGTGCTGAATGTTTCCAGGCCACCAAAGCATGGGATCTGATATACTGCTGGCAGAGGTCAGCTTGCAGTTGGAGATTGGATGGGATGAGAAGCCTGGTGTTCTGCTGACACTAATGCTGTCACTACATTCAGGTCAGGACTCTGATTCTGCCCACCTGTGGTGTTTGCAGGGCAAAAGATTCTCTGGTTCTCAGAGTCACACTCTGGGCAAGTGTACAGCTCTAGGCTGAGGCTCCTAAAACTTACAATTCATGTTATTTCAACTTACAGATTTCTTTTTGAGACAAACACTTGAAGAGCTTTCATCTAGCAAGTGACCCCAGAACAGGAACAAGTCAGTAGCATCTATCACCTGTGCAGGATCCATGGCTGGAGTGCCTGACTGCAAGAGCTGAAACTGAAGGTACGCTGTGGGATCAGTGTGACTAAAACAGCGGTGGTATCTTAACAGTTCAGTGTTGTTCTAAACAAACATCTTAAATAAACAATGTGATGCACTCCATGTTGCAGAGGGAGCAGAACCCCTCTTACCCTTCAAGATGACTCTAAAGGTTCAATATGTGCAATATGTGTACAAGCATATTTTTGGGTGGGTGTGAAGGTTTATTCTATGACTGACCAACAGTTTTCTATAGAGAATAAACTGGCAATGTTAGACTGGAATGGAGTGACTGTGGAGTTTTTTTTAATACGAGAACTAGCCTACAGTATTTTTACACAGGGTACAAGTTTCCACATTAGGCTACAGGCAGCACTACTGCTTTTTGAGCAAGAAAAAACAAAGGTTTTTGTTACTAAACCTAGCCAGGCAATGACTGAACAGCCCCTGATGACAAACTTCTCACAACCTCTCTTTTTCTCTTAGTAGATTTTCCTGCCCAAAACCACTTCAGGACCTCCATCACTGAAGATGCTCAGAACTCAACTGGACATAACATGGGCAACCTCATGTCATGTTCCACTGGCCCTGCTCTGAGCGCAGCTCGAGGTCCTGTGTAACCTAAGCTGTCCCCAGTTTCTTTGCCTACAGAACACTGAGCCGTTTTAGAGCGCTACACTTTGTGGAAGGAGAAATTTAATACTGAAGTCTTAATGAGAAGTTTAGGAGCCCAAAATATTTTTGTTTATCCAGTGATGGGGAGAGGGGAGTGGGGAGGAAGCCAAAAGCTAATGGCACTTGTGTACACCTAGAAGATAATTCCCTATATTCCCAGCACATCCAAGGCATTACCAAGGCAAATGGCAGATGTATGGTTTTAGCAAAGGGAAGTAGTATAATGAATATTGTGCTGCAGGCATGCTGATTCAAATGGTCCAGTTTTCCTCTCCTGTGCCTAGCAGATGCCTATGATGAGATGGGTCACACTGTAGTAAAATATTTCTGAAACCCGTAAGCAGGTAGAGCAGCGTGTGCAAGAAGGCATGCAATCTATCAGCAGTCCTAAATAGAGTGGGGAGGGAGAATTGAAAAAAAATCTAAAATAAAGCTCTTTATATTTTGCTGTCAATTTTACCTGTCTCTCCATTTGCAAAGGTGAGCAGTGATGATGGAAGAGCTTTTGCTGTACTGTCCTCCAGGGGAGATGGTCTGTGTGAGATGGATAGTGCTTCCTGAATTATTTCTATGGCTTCTGTATGATCCATCTGTCTCAAAGCAGTGATCAGCTCTTGAACTGTACCACCAGAAACCTGAAAGGGCAGACATCAGATACTCACCATCATCCAGGCTGGCTAAAACTGCAGGGCTGCACTGTCTCACTGTGTGCTCTCAAGGTTCTCTGCGTGTATGAATGTTCTGTATCACCTGTTACAGCACATTACCTCATAGTTATCCAGCAGAGTCTTTGATGGGGAAGGGCTCAACCTGAAGGCATTATTAAGTATGCCAAGACCCAATTTTTGTGCTAGGGTGGACCAGTTTTTGGTTGGATCAGGCAATTCCAATAGTTTGTAAAGCTGCATCTTGGAATTCTCATTCAGCTCTCTCAAATGTCCTGGGGAACAGAGAAATATATTAGTTTATTATTTATACAAACCATACACCAGTTCATTTTTAAGCAGAAACAAAGCCAAACTGAAGACTATTTGAGAGTCCAATCCCAGCATTTACAAATGTATTGCTGCAATACTGTAAATGTACTCCTTGTCCTTGAGACATCTTAAGGGAATCATGCTCATTCTGTGAGTGAGGGGGTGGGAGGGCACCTCTCTTCTCTCACCAGCTCAGTTACAAGCTGCTGTAGGGCAGTGTATTCTGCCAGTATGGTTTCAGTACTCAATTACTAGAGGGATATTGTCAAGTCTTTATAGGTGTTACCTTGTGTGAGTAAGTCCTCCAAAACCTCTGCTGACTCGTAGGGTTTGCCATTTAGTATGTCATACACCTAAGAGAATACATTAAAGTCAGTATCTAGTGTCCATGAAGTTTCAGCAGTATTATATAAAACCCTAATTCCATCTGTAAATCAGCATTTTTTTCCTCTCCCAGGCTCAGTATGACTAAGGATAGTGTAGAAAGCCTATGCCAAACTTTAGGGAGAAATTTTGAGAAGTTAAGCTCCCTTTATTTTAAGCTGTGTCATCTGGCAACTATTTTGAAGACACAGAGGAAGTCTTGGCAGTAAATAAATGGCAGTAGCAGTGGCTAAGCAAGGAGCTGCTGCCTGTCTGAAATTAGTCATTTTAAACAAAGCCTGGGTTAGATTTTCACCTAAGACTGGTACCACTCCCCAGCTCCAGATGATTAGAGATGCTGACTGCTTATCCTTTGCACTCACACCAAGCCAAATGCACAATAATCAGCTTAATCACTGCTTGGGTAGAATGCAGGAGTGAATTTTCTCATCACACACAGGCTGCAATTCTGAAGAACACTCAGCAAAGAAACTCACTGGAGAACTGGCCTTCAAACATAAGCTACCCACCCAGCTAAATACTTTCCCACACTGAAGACTGTAGTGCAGCTACTTGAAGAACTGCCTGGTCATTTCAGTTCAGCAGCATTAGTCAGTTCAGTGGAGCTTTCTTCCAGTGCTGTTTCATCAGGGGGGGTTTATGGCTTAATTAATTTTTAATAATTTAATTTTTAATGTTAATTTTTGATGGCAAATTAGATTAATTAATTGAAATCATTTTGGATGCAGTGAAAGGAGTTGGCTGAGAGAGCTGAACTATCCCTTTTAATTAAGAAAAAAAAAGCAGCAAAAAAACTAAAAGAGAAAACAGACCACATACCTCACTATTGGCTGCCATATCCAGTGGTGTTGTTCCAGGCACAATCCCTTCATCATCACCTTTCACATCATCTAGATCAAACAATGGCTCAAAGTTCTCAATATGAGGATTTGCACCTAAAAAACAAGTTGGGCGGGGCAGGGAAGGGCTTCAAGTTGCTTCTCAATAATATTTAAAATATGCAATCTATGTACTGAATCGCAAATCAGCTAATTTAGCTACTCCAGGTAAATAATATTTCATATTAAGCTAGCAAGTAGCTCTTTTTATCAATTACATTTAAATGCTATCACATCTCTGCACAATGCTACTTTCCATTATAAAGAGGGGAAAAAAACTGGTGAGCTGAGCCTTAGGGCCCAAAGAAAGAGCTCTGTTTGTATCAGCTGACTTCCAGTCCCATCTCCCCTCACACAGCACAGCATGCATGTGATGAAGGGATGGTGTGGTGCTGCTTTTTAGAGTGTCAGAGAAAGTGTGGGTGTTTTTAAATGACCAAGTAGACAGACTCAACAATGGGAGGCTTGAGTTTCTGTTTCAAAGGACAAAAATTAGGTTTAAATACAATTGACAAAATGTTCCAATAAATACTCCAACCTAATCCTTCCAAAGTGACAGCAGTAGGAGACACTAATAAGCTCATGCTTCAGTGATGGCATTTTTTACTTGGCTTTTGGCTTCTGAAGCAGTCCAACACTTATTCCAGATACATGAAAAGAATCTCCACTTCTTCAGCTACAAGAGATACTCATAAAATTTCCCAAAGTCCTCATGAGATTTTTTCTTTTTGACCAAGATAATTTGCCTTTCTAGCCATTAGATGGTGCTGAAGAGTGATTAGTATAGCACTTCAGAGCAGGACTTTCTGAGGAAATTCAGGCCTTCTTGCTTTTAACATCTGACTTCCTCCAACCCATTAAACAAGTTCACTGGCACATTCTTTTCTGCTTGCAGCCTTCTAACTTGAATTGTCATCGTGTAAGAAAAGTCTCCAGCAAAGATCTATTTCCATACCTGCTGCTTTGAGAACTGCTGCCAATTTTGTTGAGCCCCTTCCAGCTGCTATGTGAAGTGGAGTTGTCCCATCATATGTAGTGCTGTCCACATCTGCATCACCCTAAGTTATTATTGAATGGCAAAAAAGAAAAGAAATCTGTACAATGCAGCTGCAGAGGCTCATGCCAGCATAAACACAACTACTGTGCAAATAAGCACCAGTCTATGCCTGGTTGCATAAAATCTCTAATTGTTGCCTGAAAAGAAGGAATTAGAAAGTAACTACAACTGTCTGCATGCACAGGATGGTAGTGTGCTCCAGTGTTAGAGCAGGATGCACAGTGTGTATCTCCAAATAGGTCAGGTAGATAAAAGCCGCTTTGCATCCCCTGTAAAAGTTCTGCCATCTGATTGCTTGTAGCCTTTAAAGTCTATGTGGTGTGCACAGAATCCTGCCCTCCTGTTGCTCATCAAAAGAGCAGCCAGGCTGGTGGCACATCCCTGCATGAACACAGAAGAAAGCTACACAGCCAGCTGGGGGGTGTAGAATTAAGGATACCAGGATCAAGGTGTTAGGATGAGACAAATATTTATAGATTACACAACTACATCTCTGTCCACGTCTCTATACATGTTGCTCTTCACACAGAAGAAGGGATGAACTTGTTCATGGTAACTTCAGTGCCTGCCAGGATTAGTCAGTGCAAATTATACATGGCATATGCAGTCAGGTTAGGATCACAAACTCTAAATGCCTCAAGGCAAAAGCTTCACCAGCAGTGAACAAAACAGTAACATTACCAGTAGCTTTGCCATTATACCAGTTCAAGTAATCTAGACAATAAACAGGAACCTCCCCCCTTCTGTTTTTCTGAAGCACTCAAGGATTGCCAACAGCTTTTAAATATGTAATTGAAAAGACCTGGAAGAAAAATTCTGCCCTTACCTCAAGCAAAAGGCAGCCTGCCAAGGGGATGTTCTCTTGTTCAACAGCCAGATGCAATGCAGTTCGTCCAGATTTTTGTTCCTGAGCATTGACGTTAACTCCAGCAGCAATCAGCTGTTTGAGGCAGGACATGCTATTTGCCATCACCACCATGTGAATTGCACTGAGACCTACACAAAACAAAACCCATCCATCATCTGCATTAATATTTGTAAAATTCAGAAATGTCAGAGTAATGAGTTTCAAAGTGAGAAAATTGTAAAATGAGTTACAGTAACTGTAGTTACATGAGCAGAAATAACATATTTTGCCTGCTTATGGACTAAAAGATGACAGAATCATAGACTTATTTGGGTTGGAAAGGACCTCAAAGATCATCTAGTTCCACCCCACTCCTACTGTGGGCAGAGATACCTTCCACCAGACCGAGCTGCTCAAAGACCCATCCAGCCTGGCCTTGAAACTACTTTTAGGAATGAGGCATCCACAACTTGTCTGGGCAACCTGTTCTAGTGTCTCATCATCCTCACAGTTCCATCCTCACAGTGAGGCATTTCTGTCTTATATCTAATCTAAACCCACCCTTTGTCAGTTTAAAGCCATTCTCCCTTGTCCTATCCCTAAATGTCCTCATAAAACACCTCTCCCCAGCTTTCCTGTAGGCCCCCTTTAGGTACTAGAAGGTGCTGTAAGGTCTCCTTGGAGCTTTTTTCTTCTCCAGGCTGAGCACCCCCAGCTCTCCCAGCCTGTCTGCACAGGAGAGGTATTATAGCCTTGTGAGCATCTTCTCATCCTCCTCTGGCCCTGCTCCAAAAGCCATGTCCTCCATATTTATGTTGGGAGCCCCTGACCCCAAGGGAATACTCCAGGAGGAGGCTCAGGATGAAGTTAATGGTGTTAATAAATATGTTCTTTGTGCATAAAATGGAACTTGGAGAGTCAAAACCATGCAAGAAAAAAAAAAAAAAGAAAATCAGATTACAAGGTGGAACAGAAGGCAGGAACTACAGAGCTCACCTACAGCATCTTTTTTGCCACAAGAGAATAGTCTTAAAAAGAAAATCTGGATATTGGTACTAACAAGTAGATACCCCATACTGGCCCCATCTGCCACTGATCACCTCTTCTAGAAAATGGTCTGAAGAGTTAACTGGTATATTTTAGTATGATCTTTCTGTAAGGTGAGTGACCTTACACCTCAAGAATACCTGCACCAGAAAGATAATAAAGCCTTTTATTTAAAAACCAACCAAAACCCAACCAAAAAATCCTCTCTCTGAAGAATTGAACACAGTTTTCTGAATCCAAAATGACAATTTTAGGTCAGACATTTTACAATCTATTAGAGCAGGAGTACTCAATTGAAGTCCCCTGTGCACTGAAAAATGGGAGAATTGTCTCTTTGTGGTTATTTTACAGGCTCTAATTCTGTATGGTCACAAAGTACCAGATATGAAACTCAGTACTAGTCCAGAAGCTATTTTTAAGGGAATTTCATTCACTAGACAGGAGGAAACATTTTCTTCTGGGGGATTTTTGTTCAAAACCAAAGGTGGCATAAGGAACTAGACAAACACAGTGCTTGAGGTTCTGTGACATTGAAGAGAATGTACAGTGACAAAAATTCAAATCCATACTCTGTCATGTGACCATTACCAATCTTTCTGTTCTGTATAACCAGAAAACTGACACACCTGTGTTCTCTCATCTGTGCCTGCAGGCAAATAAAAACCAAGGACAGCATATGCAAAATGGGGAAAGATGTTATTTTCAGGGTCTGTATCTACCTGTGTAGCAACACAGTGTTGGCAGGAATTGTGGTGTGTTTTTCTAGCAGGGGAGTGTTAAATACAGCCATTATCTTTCCATACCTTCACCATTGGGGAGGTTGACCATCGGAGATACCTTCTCATGCTTGAGGAGTAGACTCAAAATCTTGTCATCTCCTTCAGTAGCAGCTAAATGTAAGACAGAATTGCCGTGGCGATCCAGAAGGCTGACATCTGCTCCAGCCTTTAGCAAGTCTTCCACCACCTTTGCCTGCTTTGTGATTACTGCCAGGTGCAGGGGCGTCTGCAAGTGACAGAAGCAAGCCATGAGAAGATAAGCAATAGCTACATCACTTGTACAGAAATCTCTGAAACCCATAAAAGCTCTTAGCATGAGAAGATTGTACGCATATGCAAACTTTTAGTTTGTTGGCTTTGGAGTGGTGTAACTTCTTTTCCACTGAATACTACAAATAGGGTTTCTACTTACTGGAAATAAAAGCTGCCTTGCCAGTGTCAGCAGTTGGACTTTGGGAGGAACAAAGATGTTGCCTACTCTATAACCCAGGGCACTGACCTGGCTATTTGAGCATTGCAGTGCAAGGGACTTGGGAAATGAGATAATCCCTGTGCCCCACACTGCAAACCAGCTTCCACAGCTGCCCCATCACCAAGTTCATGCCACAGTGGGAGCATGTGTGCTTTCCAGGACCTACTCAGATCCTTTAGCAATGAACCATGCTCTCATTTTGCTCCTGAATCAGAGATTTGCAGCCATGGGCATAGGAATTCCTTAGCCCTCAAAATGGCTGCAGAGAAAAGAAGAAAATCCTGCAGTTCTGTGCACTTGTCAAACTGCAGAACAATTGTGCATTTATGCCTTGTGTGTTGAACTAGCTAATCCCATTTGCACATTCCCCATTTTTGTGCACCTGCAGCACCGAGCAATGCTCAGTCTGAGAGATTTTGGAACCTTCCAAATGTTGGTTGCAGCATTCTTGTCAGTTCTGAGCAGCATCACACAGAACATACACATGCATGTATTTAAACATTAAGCATTCTAATGAGGTCTGGGAAATGGTATTTCCAATACTAAAATAATTTAAAAATTGAGTAAGATTCCATATCTAGATTATACTGACAGAGGACTTTAAAGAAGGACTTAATTCCAGCTCTGCACAGTAATCTTGTATTTGTCAATAGATCTGTGAACACATTTGCAATTAATTACTGCATCTATAAGGTACATGTCAGCTTTCAGAATATGTATAGAGAAGGAAAATTCTAGCCCAAGCCTACATTCTCTTCCATCAATGGCTTAAGGTTTAAGTTGAAGGTAGGAAGAGCTGTAGAGGTTCTGGTAGCCAGGGATTTATTTCCTGTGTAGAGCCCAGCTCTGCTTCTTGTTTCTGTTAAACACAGGGAAGAGAATTCAATTCAGAATCTTCTTACTTTTGGCAGCTTCCACATTTCAAACTTGCTTTATAAGAACATAGAAATGTGAAGGAAAACAAAGAAGTCAAAATATATTTCTGGGACTACCTGTACCGAATTAAAACCTGCCTTTACTGTTCACAGCAAAACAAATGACACAAGTGTCAGAGTGCTGCTCAATGGCATGCACAATCTCTTTAAAACAGATTCTTTTCCATGCAGGTTCCCACAGCTCTTTTTAAAACTTGAGTTACAATACAAACAGGCCAGACTATAGTTGAGGAGACAGAACTGTACCTTGCAGTTCTTTTCCTCCTAGGTAAAAGACAAGGGGATGGGCTTTTCTCAGTTACTGAAGAAATGAAAGGGAAATCTTGGTGCTCACGTGATAAGCACAAATACAACGTGGGCTGTAGGAAGGGCATAGGTTATTATAGCTTCCATATGTGCCTACAAATAACTGATGACGCAGGAACTGACTCATGATCCCAAGTTAACCAGTGTCAGAAAGGTCAGAGGAGCCTGGAGCTGGCACACTGTAATCCATACCTCTGGCTTAGTAACAGAGAAGCCAGATACCGAAGCCATGAACTGCAGAATTTACTCTTTTTGGCCTGTTCCAGTTAACCCACGGAGACGTTTCTGTTACCGTCCAGGAGAGGTATGTACTAAACCAATGAAAACATGCTTTCTTTCCTCCAAAACCATCCAATATATCCTTGTTTCTAAACTTGCTTCCATCAGTCTGATCTCTTCCCACAGACAGCAAGTTGTGCAACTTCTTTTCTATGGGCTGAACAATCAGCAACACTTACACCCCCACAACTGCTCACCTGATAGAGGTCATTTCTCATGTTAATGATATCATTGTAATTCAAATTGGGCATCACTTCCAAGAGGTCTTTCACCAGCTCAGTATGAAGGTGGATAATTGCTAAATGAAGGACACTGAAACAAACAAAAACCAGATTAACAAATTCACAGTTTTCAAATTTATTACGAAAGTTTCAAGGCTTTGCTGTGTTCTGACTGCATTCTGATAAAAACACTTGGCTATTAGAGGTAATGATTCCAGCACTAAGTACCAACATCTAAAATTAATCCAATCGCTAAAAAAAGCAGGTCAGAAGGTAACTGTTTAACCCTTCAATCACAAAAGCAAACTCAGGATGGCTTCTGTTGGCCCTCAGCCAACTTTACTACTAGGCTAATATACGAAATGTCTGTCACAAAACAATTGTTTCAGAAATCCTCAGATTCTCTGGTTTGCTGTTTTCTCATATTTTGAATTATGCAGCAGATAAACACTTCTTACTGTGAAAACCTTCCTGCAGAATTTCCACAAGCCTCTCTGCTACCAAAGCAGATTTTCCCTTGGGGGTTTCCCCAGATCTGTGGGTTTTTCTTTATTTCGTTTTCAAACAGAAAAATGAGTAAGGACTCAGGCCCAGTGACTAACAACCACAGGATCTGCAGCAGTGCCCAGAGGCGCCATGCCAAAAAAGCACCTGTTTTGAGACATGAGTGACTGCATAGCAAGACACTTCTACTGGGTCTAATGGCCCTTCCTGTGCTCTTCTCCAGAGGCAGGTCCCTCACCACCAGCCTGAGTGGCTGGATATGCAACATGGCACCAGGAAAACCAGGTTGTGAATTCCATCATCCCTGTCCCACAGAGCTCCATTTGCCTTGCTACCTTAGGCCTTCATTTGAAAATCATGCCCTTTGTGTTGAAACATATCCTCATATCCTGCCAAGCGCTTTGTTGGCAGATGCTGGCCAACTTCTAGATTCATCTCTTTAGCAAGTTGCTGCTGACACAATATATTGTCACAGGACATGTGGTCTGTCTGTTACACCACTCCAGAAATACCTGAACAGTCTCAGATTTGCCCTTTTGACAGAAAAATAAAAAGAAATTCCATGCCATTCAGGGCAAGGAATCATCCTGAAATTGAGACGGAGAGCAGTCAAAACTAGAAGATATTTTAAAAAAGAGAAAAAGAATCTACAAACCAAACTCATCCTTAAAGGGTGTTTTTTATTGATTCTTTATACTGCCCCTGCCACATGGCACCTTCCCTCCTTCAACTCCCCTGTGCTGTGCAAACAGTCCCACCATTAATGGAAAAGTGCTGTTCCTCTGCTCTGATAGATGCTTTTTATTATTCTCTGTATCATGCTGACATTTTATTTCCAAATCTCACTAAAGAAACACATTTGTTCTTCTACTGCTTTTAGTTCTCGTTTCAGCAGCAACTAGTTTAATTTTACCTTTCCATTAGATGTGATGCTGCTGACTAGACCACAAAAGGTCACTTCCATTTCTTAAACATTCCCACATGAAAAAATGCATTTGAGCACCACTGTAGAGCCATCAGATATCTACGGAGCAGTGGTACTGGTATAAATACAGTCACAGCCAACTCAGTAGCAACTGAGTGTCCACTGTAAATATACTAATAACTAATAAACTAATCACAGGTTGCTGGGTTCTGTCTCAAAGCCCTAAATTGTTTACAGCAAAGGTTTTTGAAAGGCTTAAGCAAAAACTTCCTAGTTGCCATATAATTTTAATAATTAAAGTGAAAATCAGGGCAATTTATTACTTAATTTTGACCTTTTTCTTCTCAAGAGACCTGGAAGACAATCACCAAAACTTTACTTTGTTAAAAGATTGTGAAGTAATACAGATGTATATTATGCTCACAATAAATCCATCTCAGGAGAAAGGCAGCGTGAACTTAAGCCTCACCTACTTGCAGGTATTTCTTGATGCAGCAAGAAAACAACTATTTATCATCATTCTAAGAAGTATTTTAACTTAGTGAAAATGCCCTGCAAGTCCAAATCTGAGGAGCTCCTTCTTGATATTCAAATGCAGATCCCACTTGCTCAATATTGCTCTAACAATCCCCCTTCTTTTTTTTTAACACAAAAGCTGTACTGTCCATAGCACTTGCAGATGTTGTTGCTAGCTCCCACCTTGTTCAGATTCCTGCTTGTCTCGAAGTAGATATTAGGTTTACAGTTGGAAAGCAAAGCTAGTAAAATAGCTCTCTCTGATGATCAGAATCTGTGATTCTGTAATCTGAGGCCTATTTTCACTGAAAATGGAGTGAAAGTAGTAACCTCTCTCAGAGTACTTGAACAGTGGGATACAGGTCTCAGTCACTTGAAATTTTCCTTCTGGCTGGGCACCTTGAGACTTATCTGGCTTCTACTGTTCAAAACACTACAACTGAAGGAAATGTAGGTGATTGCACAGGACCTGCCAGCTAAAAAGTGAGGATGTGATAGTTTCATTTATTCAAGAGATTATCTTTGCATTTGTTCAGAGCCCCTTCTGCTGAATTTAATGTTACATAACTACTGATCATTAGTTCCTCACAGTATTTCACTCCAAGTTCCACAGAATCTGCATGGCTGCAGAGGAACAAAGCGGATTTCCACTCCAGCTCACATTATTGAAGGACTGGTATGCAAATATTAGCAGCCAAGTCTGCCGCAAACATCACTGCAATCCCTTGGAAGACAACAGTACAGTATAGACATAAGCAAGAGCAAATAGTTTTGCTATTGCTTTCCTCTGGAAAGAGCTTGGTGTCAGTGGGAGAAATGCATTATGGACCCTCCAGCTATTGTTTCTACATCTCCTGGTGAACCTCTTACTTGGAGCATCCTGTGAAGACCTTAAGGACTTAAGGGCACTCTCCTTCAGCAGCAAGCTGAGAATCCCCATACACCACCCGGTCAAGATTTTAAATAAAAAAGGGCAAAGAAACTCAAATTCACAACGTGCTTATCATACCCTCAATGACCAGATTACTTTCTGACAGGTACTGGATCAATGAATTTTATGGTGTACATGACTTCTTTGCAAATGAAACAAAAGTATCTAAATCACAGCTGTACCAGACAGCAGAAAGAAGAGCGATATTTATTTGATTAGAGCAGTGGTACCAACAGTGATTGGCACCCATTAGGGACAGAACAAACTGACTACACTGTTCTGCCTTCACACCCATTGGTTTCAACCCAGCAAGTGCAGTGTGGTCAACTCACTTGTCCCCATTATCATCCTGGACAGCGGTGAGATGGCGCTGAGGTGCCAGCAGCATCTTCACATCTCCGGTTACAGCATAATCAAAGAGAGCGTTGCAGTGGCGCCTGGCAAGCTGCATGGCCTTCTCCAGGAACAGAGCATCTGCAACACAAAGTTTCCTATTCATCAGCTTGATTGTTTTCCCGGAACACCACCTACTTTTGACAGGCATTTGTGCTGTCACAGAGGAACAAAGTGCAAACCACCAAACATTTTTCACTGCTTCACTGAGATGGTAGCTAATTACTTCTAAGACTTAAGGACGGAGGAAAGGAATGCCTGGGAAGGAAAACTAGGGGCATGCTGAGCATTCAGGCAGCAGGAACCCTGAGAACAGTCAAATCTGGAAGCTCCCTCTGGTTTGACTGGTACTGAATTAACAGCACTGATGTGCAGTTGTGTGTAATGAGACAAAAGGAGCAGAACTTGGACCTGGAACTTGCAGGTCCGAGTAGTTTTGCCTTGAGGAAGCTGAGGCACAGGAAGCCTAAGGGACCCATCAAATATTGCAGAGAAGCTCAGAGAAAAACTGTGGAATAAATGCAGGGCTTTACACTCCTCTGACTCAAATCATGCAGTCTAGCCTGCTTTACAGCAGCAGCACAGTCTGTCCTGTTTAAAACGTTTCACTTTTTACAATGCTTAGTATTTGTATCCTTAGATACAAATAGATTTAGAATAGATTTTAGAATTATAAAAATGGTCAGCCACTGGGATTTCAAAAAGCAGAAGTTGGCGTGGTGGGGAGGCAAAAAGGGAGAAAGAGGAGAAAAGAAACTAATTTGTGGAAAAGAGTAACTCTAGCTGCTTTGTCAATACCAGTGGTTCTGTATCAGCAAGAACCTAGTGAAAATGAAACAGATGAGCTCTGAAACTACAGGGTCATCCTGTGAAGCAGTATCATCTGAAACCAGCCTGTATTCTGAACAACTTCATGTTTCTATAAAACCTCGTAAGGTTGGGAATTACAAAGTGCAAACAAGTACAACAGACTGTGTCATTTAAAGCACACATGGGGAGACAATAGCCAGGATTTCCAGCTACACAAAACCAGGCATTTAGACAGGTCAGAAGTGTATCCCTGATCAACACGAACACCTCATTGCTGTAAGGCAAAGACTTAATCAGCTATCCATTGTTCTGGCCAGTACATCCCTGTGGCTGCTCTAATGTGTGCCTGGAATTATATTTGCTATTTGTCTCTTAACACTAAATGTGTTATATTCAGGGTAAAGGGTGTTAAGCAATTCAGTCTTTTCTTGTTATACACATTTCCAAAGATAGAGAACTGGATATTGAAACTCCCTGGTTTTCCACATCAAATACATGGGAAAGATGCCCTTCAAAATATTACATGCATATTTAAGTCTATACCTAAATGATCTAGCCTGCAGTAGCTACTTTATAGAGCCAGTTTGTCTGCACCAATTCTTTGTATAATCAGGAGTTAGAAATTGCCTCCTTTCATACCATTACAACAGGAAAAAAAAAAGTCAACTTCCTGCCTACAATATTAATTGCTTGGAAAACAGGTAAGCACTTCAGACATGAATTGTTTACCTCCTTCATGACAGGTAAATGGACATTATTATTTCTTCATATCAGCACAAGATTTTGTTCTCTGAACCAGTCACGGGATTGAGCACAATTGGAAAGGCAAACAGCAGGTTGCTTCAGCTTTTCTCAAGAGCACCATCCATTCTCAGATCAAAGAAGCTACACCTTGGAGGTGTTTACAACTACAGCCCATTTCCTGTGCCACTTTGGATTCCCAAGTCACAGCTTCTAATACTGTTAATAGCAAGTGTCAGACAGGGCTGACACACACAAGATAATGTGCTCTCTCCCTGATCCAGGGAATAACAAAAATGGTCTAGATCATGTTGCACTTGGTAAAAACCAGAACCAAGAAATTCCTTTGTGCTCAATTCCTACCACTACCATGTCTCTCTAGTCCAAGTACTGTTCTTTTTTTTTTATATTATGCTAAGCATGATTACTCAAATCCTTTAAAAAGTGTCCAGCAACTGTTTAAAAAAAAACAATCCAGGAAATGCACATCTTGCTGTCTGGGAAATTTTGGGTGATTCGTAGTCTTTATATATTCTAGAACTCTGCTGATAAACCAGTTCTGATGACTACTCTTGCCTTCCTCCTCCTTTTGTTTTTTTGCCTGAAATAAGGAGACAAAACCCCTTGCAACAGTACTAAAAGGTAAGATAAAAAAGCAGCTCTTCATTAGAAGCTTCGAGGTGTGTCCATAGTTACAAACTACGGGCACACCCAGTGACAGATTTCTACAGTTTTTGTAAATGTAATAAATTATTCTATCTAACAAACATTGTCCAATTAGGAGAGCAGTTGGTTAGGTAATATTTCCCCCAGGTACTGCCCCGCTGGAGGTGGTCCAAGGCTTCTTTGCCCCACTTCTTGTTATGTCTTCTAAGATTCTGATTGGGAAAAAAAATGTTATTCTTGTAGGTCCTCTACTTGAAAATAAGACTAAACAGTATTTCAGGAGTGTGTTAGCAGGTTAGCTTATTACTCTAAAATCTAGAAAGGGTAGAAAAAATACCAGGAACTATATAACCACATATTAATGATCTACAAAGCTACAAATATATGAAAAATACATAAAAAGCACAAATTTCTAGGCATTAGTTTGGTGTGTAACACATTGCTACTGCAGTTATTTTACTGTGTGTTTGCCAAATGGAAACAGGTACCTTTACATTTTAAATTCAAACTTTTAATGCTACTTTGTATGCAATTCAGCTGAATTGCAGGGAAGACCTGCTGCATGTCATATCAACATCAATTAGCTCATCCATTAAAGTCTCTCAAATATCAATAAAAAAAGGCCAAGTGAACTGCTGAGTTATATTCCCTGTGCCTTCACTGCTCAAAGTGTTCCTTCCTCACACAGGTTTATTCAAAGGCAGTGTTAAACATGCCCAGCAGGCAAAGCTGTCTTATCTCCTTGCATGACAAGCAGGAGCTCAAGTGTCCAGTGGCAGTACAAAGGTGGAAAGTTATCTACAGAACTAGGTGTGAGGAGGTCCCTTAGCTCTTGGGGAATGGAATCCCTCCTCTTTCCTCCAGGAGGCATTACCATGTTGTGAAAACAGCAAGCAGACATTTTTGGAGTTTCCAAACCTTTAATGTTTGCTCTGCAGTACTGCAGTTTGATTTACCCTAAATACAGTCACTTGCTCACTTACCCTGCCACCTGCAATCTGCTTCCCTTACTTCAGTTTTACAGGAAAAAACAGAATCCTCCTTTTTCTCATTTACAGCAGACACTGTGCACTCAGTCCTCTCCAGGGTTTCCACCTTCACATCACCTTTCATGTCCCATTCGTCACTTTGTTTATCACAGCTCTTTCTGTCTTGTCCAGCTGTGCAGTTTGATAGAGCTTCTAACAAAGAGAAGAATCATTAATGTCCAGTACTGTTGCTTTTTTTAATACAAATGATGAAACTCAACTAGACAAAACCAAACGCTGAAAAATGAATACAAAAATTTACTTCCCTGTAAAAGTTATCACTAAACTCATGAATTATAATATTCCAGATGCTAACACACATGGACAGACACAGTGATGTGACCTGCTCTAAAGTGATGTTAAGGTTTTGACAGTCTCTATTTTAGAAATAAACTTTTATATATAACAGCAGATTTATCTCTTTTTTCATGGTACCAGAATGTAAGTCTGACGTACTCACACAAAATCTAGCAGACTTACTCAGACACTTTTTTTTTTTTCCTAACAGCAGATTCATCCCTGAGACTCTGGAAATATCTACAGAGTAATCAACACATACATCTGAAATTACCTTCCTATTTTAGGAAGCCAAGAGTGTCCTTATTATTAACTTAATATTTTCCATTGATTTCTCTGGGCTATGGGGTAGTACCAGACTGTGGCAACAACAAAGGAAGATATATTTTCTGTGGTCCAGTCCTTGGGTCATCTGTAATCAGCGCATTCAAGCAAGCAAGAGGGATGTTGCTTGAAACAATACACTGAATATAGAAGCACATGGAGGGGTTTTGGTGACTGCTTCTCAGGACTGCACAGTAAGAAGGAAGTACACTTAGAGAGGAAAAAAGAGAAGCAGGGAAGTATAAGCTACACAAACCCTTCTGCCTTTTCCTGAACCTTTCTGCAAAGGTTCAGGAAAAGGCCCTCTCCAGCATGCTGTGACCTGCCATCCACTGACCTGCCTGACACTTTGGCTCATACTGTAGAAGAAAATACAAGTCAAACTCAATTCAACTGTTGGAAGAAAGACGTTTATGGTGTTACCATGTTTCATGCCAGCATTGGACTTGGTTGTGCCAGGATGGAAATGCATCCCTCCAAAAGCAGAGTATCCATATGAAGGAAAACTGAACCCTAAAGAAAGGAAAAAGATTAATAATTAATAAATTACATCCTTAAACAATGAGAACACCATCTAGAAGAACACTGAACCTAATGAACCAAGTTTTTGTTTTCTGCATGCCTTCAGATTTATTCCATCCAATTAATTTTCCAGGCTAAAGGTGAGCTCTCCTCTACCCCTTCAAAAATCCAAAGAAATTCTAGCTGGTTGGCTAGTGACACTCTATCCCAACATCCATAACACCATGCAAATGTAATATCGTTATATCTTTCCTCTAAAAATCAACTGAGACATCACAAGGTGCCTCTGTGCTTTTGAATCTTTGTGATTACAACACATTTGTATTCTGGTGTTATGCTATACATATGCTGCCAGCAACACATGTAGCAATTTGCAAACTGCTGCTCTATTCCCTGCTCTCAAAAAGGGCTGTGGTTCAGGTGACATTTATTGACCTATAGGTTTTTAATGCTCCACTGCAAGAATCAAAGCAATGCTCTCATCATCCTGCATATCAGATATACACAGACTTCACCAGAGCACAGCAGAAAATTTACTAAAGAGTATCTCCAATTTTTTAACAGTTCTTTGCACTAACAGGATCAATTTTCCAAATTCCACTCATGGTCCAAGAAACAATTCAGAACCTGTTTAATTTCAGACACACAAAATGATAGTTAACTGAGCTGTCTCATGAATTTCAGTGCCTCCAAGGCCCTAGGAAGCAACAAAGCTTCCAAAGTGGGAAGGCAAATTGGATGATGAAGTGTTTAGAATGAGGAGATGCTTGATTGAATTGAGTAACAGTAGAATAAAAGCAACAGAATAAGCCTAGGAGACAAAATCCTCCTTACATTTTAAAACTCAGCATAAACATCCATCCTGCTCTCAAAGTAGAACCCTTTTCCCTCTTTGCCCAGAACTGCTGCCTTACCAGAGCCAGCACCACCACCTGCCCCTCCATACATGCCACCACCTCCAGTGCCACTGCCTCCACCATAGCCATCAGAGAAGTTGGGCATGAGCTTCTGTCGTTTCCTTTGCACTTCTTCCTTATCTGGGATAGAAGGAACAGAATAGGGAGTCAATCTGCTGGTGGCCAGACACAGCGCAGGGTTTACATACAGAAAGCATCACTACAGTTACTAGTTCATAAAGGAAAATGCAGAATGTGGTAGAAGACAACTTTCCTCAAGCTCTAAATAGCAGAAAATCTTTGTATATATTGGAGCAGAGAGAATTCCTCTGAGAAACAAGCCAGTGCCAAGTCCCCAGTCAGACCAGCAGCATCGCTTGGACCTGCTTGGCCTCTTCAGCTGCATCATTGCCTTTGCTCAGAGTCAGGGGAATACACATGCAGAGATGTCCTGGGGGGCTCAGAGCTTCCTTCAGCAGTGTCTCATGTACTTAGAGCCCTAGAGATCAGTGGTCCAGAAATTCTTCAATGTCTAAGTTAAGTCATGAATCAGCAAAAGTGCTCCAAACCCCACATTTGTTGAAGAAAATTTGACTTTGGGGAATATAAGTACAGGCTCTTCTTCCAAGCAAATATACTTCAGAAATGGAGCCTTATCAGAGGATCACAAGGCACTTACGAGTTTCAGCCGTGAGAGTACCTGCAGTACCCTTTGAACTTTTGTTTAAGACATGGCAAGAAATGGTGAAAACCATGCTTGCTTGAAATGATTTACTTAAAATACCGTAACAGCCACTAGAACAAAGACAACTTTTTTCAGGCAGGGACATATTACTGTCAAACCATGCTGGGTAGCAGGAGGGGAAAAAAAAAACAACCTAAATTTATTTTATAATGTAACTACAAAGTAAGACTTAGTCCCCCTGGAAAGCAAAATACAAAGATTTAAAAGGACTATCCCAATGACTAGGGAAAGTGAAATGTCACGACAAGAGCTACAAAAATAGGGATACAAACATTATATAGGTTAAAATCCAGTAGAACTGTTTAGAAAAGAACAAAATATCATTTGTTTATTAAACCATCTAGTAGTTTTCAACAGCCATAAAACAAAAAGAAATTTCATGCACAGGCACATCAGTCAGTGCATCAGATGAGACAGCTGAATACATGAGACAGTACACTGACAAAGCCACGTGCATTGTTTCCAGGTACACATGATGTGTAAGTATGTATGCATGCACACATCAGGCATACTCACACTGACGAGGAGAGAAAACTCGAGAGAGCAATCTAGCCAGAGAAACACAAAAAAATCCATACATGTGTCTAAATTTGTGGGAACATTTGCAACAAGGGAAAAATATAGTTCCTAAATGGTAATTTTATGATGAGGTTGTATAGGGAATCTGAAAATGCACATGACGTTGAATGAATTTTACTTGATTAAGAGGCACATAAAAGAGGCTTGATTCAAATCTGGCAACTTGGCTCTGCAGCTGAACACTTCCCTTAACATTTGTGCAAGAGGTTCCTGAAATCATTACCAAGAAGAAATCCTCTGGCAGCTCTGGAAGCTTTTGTGAATTGATGCTTTCTGTTATTTTATTTCAACAGTTGTGAAGTAGACTCACTTGGACCACCATCTCCTCAGCTATCCTGAGTCTCTCACCACTAATACACATTTATTTTAGAAACTTTGACAGGGAATTTATTTCAATACAGCTCTACCTTAGGCACAGAAAACATTCAAGATTAGAATTCACTAGCGTAACCTGCAGGCAGGTAAGCTGCTAAGCAGAAAGATAATCTTAATACAATTAAACACCAATTATGACTTGAGCCTCAAGGCATTTCCGTATCATCAACATTATTGGTATTTAAAACCATGACTGCCAATGCCATTCCCGTCAAACATTTCAAATGCAGGCTTCAAAGGGTACAGATCTGCTGATTAGACTTCTTTTCACTGATAATTTAGAAAGCAGGTCCAATACTAACTATTCTACTTCTGCTAAGCAACTAAAATTTTAAACAAGAGACTGAACCAGCACTTTTCCTGCTCTCACAAGAAATGTCTTGGGCTTACTTAACTTGTACAGGCAATTGGAAAATTTGGAAACATCAGTGACACCGGCACAATCTTAAAAGGTAAGAACTGCAAATGTGAACCTTTTCCACCAGGCACCAAACAGGTTTTGGTTTAGGGTTTCATCTGAAAGTACTAACAGTAAAATCTCTTCAGTTATTATTTGGCAGAAACTCAGAGGAAGAGTGCCATCTACTGTATGGACAGGCATGCATACATATAAGGAATCTGCAAGGAACAAGCCTCTCTCGGAAAACACACATGGATTTACTGCCTACCCGTCCTACATCACCACCTACAAAACCCACTGTAAACCTACCACATTGCATATTGACTCTGCCCAAAACAAGGAGGCAAATATATTTTCTAAAAATGACAACTAAAACAAAAAATTCCTCACCCAACCAGTTCTATCTTATTAAAAACATTCCTAGGGACCCTACAGTTTCCACTCCCAATCTATAAAATGGGTTTAATAAATTACCTTTGATTTCCGGATAGTAGAGAAAAGGCTTTGGTTCACTTGTTTCTAGATCAGATTTCCTACGCAGTTGTACAAATACAGATGCTGGCTTTGTGATATTGACATCTCGGTACTTGGGTGTTTTGAACACAATAGCAAACTGTGAGGGAAACAAAGATAAGCATATCTATCACAGAACATGGCTTTTGACAACTTGGCTATTACATATGAGCTATTTTGAAGGCATTGGTTTAGGGCTTGGGTAGCAAAAGTTCAGAGCAAAGGACTGTTACAACAATAAATTTCCATTGTAGTTTTCAGTTTCATTTCAGAGGTTGATTCCTAAAGCCTTTTGGGAAAGACAGAACTGCCATGCTAAGTGCCACCACATCCCATATGTGACTGCACTGTTCGTCTCCTCATCCTTTAGCATCTCTTCTGTAGGTTTCTCAGTGTGCTCACAAAAGCTCTCAGAGCTGTTTATATATCCTATCCCAATTTACAGGGGGTGCATGTTAAAGCAATGGGGCCTTCTCCTAATTTCCTTGCACTGTATTCCTAGTTACTTAACAGATGTCTTTAAGGAACACTTAAGTTTTTATTATTATTAGGCAGCAACGAACCAAAGAGGAGGTCAGTACAGGATACAGATGCTTTTACATAATTTACAGACTATAATATAATCCTAGCTTACAGAAATGGGAGAATCATTAACAAATGATTCTGTTACTCTGTTTTGTTACTGTGCTCTGTTACTTACCTGTCTGTGTACATCCGTAGGAGAAAAATCTCCAAAGCCTTCCCACATACCACCATTCTCATCCTCTTCATAGAAACGTATTTGAATATCATCTGCAAAGGATAAAATAAACACTCTGGGATGTTTGTGCATTTGTTTAACCTTTGGCTAAGGTTATTTCAGATAAAAATCAACATGGTTACTTTTTGCCTGGATGTAAATACTACACGATACATCAATTACCTTTATCTGGTTTGTCAAAACAGCAGAAATAACTCATTTTCAACATCAAGTTTACATCAGCCTAATCCAAATGAGTTCACTGCAGTTGCTATTTACTGAGCTGTAAAAAGAGAACTAGGTTCACATCATCTTCCTAATTCTAGGGTTGTAAAACATTCCCGAGGAGCCTTATTTGGAACAAACATGTAAGGAGGGGAGAACTTGAAGCGTGAAATGTAGAAACCACCCTCTCTCCTCAAACAGTTTCAGTTCAAAAAACTGTAGCAAAACCTGAAGTGCCACAGTTCAAGTTCCGCTTGCTGCTGGCAGAGTGCCACGGTGGAGCTGCAGCTCAGAGACGTCCGGGGTGTGAGCCAGCAGCGTGTCAGCAGGGATCCTTCACCCTCCAAATGGCACAGAAACACGGCATTTGGCTTCTGCTCCTCTAAACAAATTTTCTTTCATTCTCTTTGTATTTATTTATTTATATTTTTAGGAAAAGCATCCCACTAGTAAATTCTTCCACAGCACTCCCAGTGAAAAAAAGTAGAAAAAGCCGACTGATGCAGGACAGGCCTCTGTGGTAGACAGACTGCTTCCCCTGGCCCCCCACCTGCTAGTCTCAAGACTGTGAACCATCACTTCCAGTCCTGCTGTCCTGCATGCTCAAGTTCCTTCAGGCAGGAGGTTTCTGAAGGCAGTGAGGTCAGGGGAAACCCCAATCTGGCTGAGGGGAAACCCCACCTCAGGGCTTCCACTGAGTCAGACATTTATTTATTTATTTTGTGCGTAAGAGTTATGTTTTATCTCAGTCCTCCTGATGGCAGAGCGTAGATGCACTATTAAAGGAAAATAGTTCTTTCAAAGTCCCTGAAAGCCCCCAGAGCTTTATCTCTTCCCTAAGTGGTCAAAGGGCATTTACAAGAAAGAGAGATGGAAAAGGACAGCCTGCACCAACAGAAAATGTCAGTGGTTTTAACAACATGTGCAGAGACTGATTCCAAACAGATGAGAACAGGGCACCCACTCTACCATGTGATCTACACCAGGGTGTCCCAAGTACTTGTAGCTGAAAAATACAAAGGACTCCCATCACTCCCATCTTTTTTCTTTTTACTTAACCTACATATAACCAACCACAGTTAGCCATTATCTTCCAATAAAAACCCAAAAGTATCCTAATCCACACTGCTGAATTCTCACACATTCAAAGCCATGACCAGAGATTGAAAATGAACCTGTGAGAAGTATCTGTTTACACTGAGTAACCTCTACCATAAGCACATACATAAAAATAAAGTTATTAGCAGCAGTGCTGAACACATTAAGCTCCCATCCATGGTTAGCAGAGAATACTCATACTTACCCTCTACAATCAGGAAATTAATAATAAATCAGAAATTTTAGAATAATTCAGAGCAGGTGTTACTTAATGGAGTCAAACATCACCCAGTACTCCCCACTCCCCAAAATTCCAGAAGAAGAAGGGTAGAAACTTGAAAACAACGAAGTTGATCACAGGGTCGCTCTGGAGGCAAGAGAAGCTGAATTTGCTTTGCAATAGACTTTTGACTTATTAAATCTCTGGACTGCTGCTTTGACTTCCAGAAAGCCCGAGTGCTTACAAATCCTGCTGCACTATCAGAGTGGGGTAACACTAACAACAGCACAGCAGGCTTCATGTGTACTCCAGATGAACTCCCTGGTGTGCCTGACAATACTCGTGACTCTTACCTTTCTGAACCTTGTCACAGAGCAGGTAAATTTCTTCCCCTCCCGTCACGCACCCTGCTGTTCTGTCCATTCTTACAATTTTTAGGTTGGAGGCATTGGGAGCTTCTATTGAAAGGCTTTTCATATGAAAGACAATCATATCTTCTAAGCACTGACTGAACTACAAAAGAAGGTCCCAGCCATTGCAGCATAATTACTGCACTAGCAAGGTAACCCAGCAGCAAACTGCATCCAGCACCCTGTACTAGTACTCATTTTATGACAACAGGGCCATACAAAAGAATGTAATTTTTTCCTCCCTGGTTTCTGACAGAGTGACACTCTTGAGAGCTGTTTCCTATTTGTCTCTATCTTCAGTGCTTTGCTTTACAATGTGGCTTACTTGAAAGCATTACTTGAAAGACAGGTTTTGGCCAGTGTACTGGACAGTGATAAAAAAGCCCACCTCCGCAGATCCTAGTAGAGACATCAACAGACAACTATTGGCCCTCAAGACAGAACTCTCATCTGGGAAGTGAAAGCAGCTGTGACAGGTAAGTTATGCCACCCCAAGTTCTGTCTGTCCTGCGAAGGCTTGAATGGTGCCAATGAAGTATTCAAGAAATCCCCAAACAAAACCCAAGAAAAATCTTCTGAAATTAGCAATCAAGAATTCACTTTGGGAGATCAGAAACTAGTATCTGACAGAAACATGCATACAAAATGTCCCCTTTGTTTGTCTCTTTAGTTTAGGACAAAATTTTTGACCTCATTATATTTGCCAGCTAACAGCAAGGCACAGACTATAGTAGAACAGTTGCATTTAATACCTTTTGATCTAGACTTTGTCCTTAAAAAGCAATAATATAGACATGACTGGTGCACAAATGGAAAAAAAAAGGTACTTTTTCTGAGTCATTACAGAATGACTATCAAGAGCATGGGAATCCACAGCCTTGGGAAGGAAAACTCAGGCAGCAGAAAGGGTTCAAATAAGATGAGTCAGTATAATTTAAAAGTACAGGGGAAAACACAAAGTGAAAAAATTCTCTTAGAAAAAAGACACAGGAATGCTCTAAAAAATACTGACAGATCTAAAGGAAATGGATGGAGAACTCTGGTTGCGTTATCTTTTAAAATATGGATAAGCGGATGGTCTGCAAAACTGAAAGGTGTCAAATTCTCAACAAAGATAGAGGCAAAGTAAGTTTTTTCCTCACATCTCGTGTAGGTCACGTGTAGGTTTCTGCTTTGTCACAGAAAGCAACTGAAAACTGTAAAATTCAAACCCTTCCTATGGATATAACAAGATCTTACAAAATCCTTATAATAAAAGTGGCAGGATAAAACATGCTGACAGCAAAATAAAATCTTCCTCTATGGCTTACATCCACCATCTATTTAAACCAGAATGATATTGTATGTACTTGGACAGACATGGGGCTAATCATCCATGGGCTACTTATTTGCTATTCATCAAATACCAGGCAGGCAGGACTAGGTAAGTCTGTAACTACCTGTCATTTCTGTGTGTACAATAGCCTGTCCCTTATTAAAAAAGTAATTAAAGCCAAATATACTTACTGCTGTCATATATCGCATCTGATATAACGGGATCGAGTTTCCGTGTGAAGCTGCCGTTGCTGTCGGGAAGAAAGGCTGTGAACATGAGCCTCACCACGCTGAGATCCATTTCCTTGGTCTGCTGTATGGCTGCCTGGCGGATGATTTCTCTCTCCCGTTCTGGAATTGACAGACAGTGGAATTAACACAAAGGGTAGGGCATCCTTAACAAAACAGAGAGAACAAACAAACATCCAAAGGCCTGGATAGTGAGGAAATGTCTTCTGTTACATTTAGCATCCACTGGGTTTTCCCTTTCTAAGTGGAAAGCTGCTGTTCCCTTTCAAAGTGGAGCAGCTGTTCAAATTATACTGCGTTCATCTTGCAGTTTGTGCACCAGCTCTTATTTAAGTTATATAATTTAAAGACAGACAGAAAATTATTATTTTCTGCTCTCAATTTATAAAGGTTGTGAAAAGGATGAAGGCCACCCCTAAGGACACCAGAATTCCTGGTGTTAAGAGTGGTAAGAAGACAGCTGGCCCCTCTATACAGTATGTAAAAGCAACACAGACCACAGGTTTCACAGCAATATGGGTGAAATGCAGCTGAATGAAACTGTGTTCTCAAAAGAAGGTTCCTAAGTTAATTAAGGATATCATGTCTTGCTGCAATAATGCAAAATTACTCTATTTAAGATCTTATTGAACAGCATAAGAGCAGTGGAATACAGGTGCAGAGGTTGGTACAGGCAGCTGTGGAAGGAAGTTTCTCCATTCTCATGTATGCATTGACAGCAGACTCCTTTCAGATTCCCTAAGCATGGTAACAATGCACCACCTCTTAAAAGCCCATAGACAAGGCTGTTGACCTTCATAAGGCCTTTTCCTAGCTAGGAATCTATGTTTTCAGAAGCTCAGCCTGTTTATAATAAAAGACCCTTTAAAACCAGACCATCATTTCCACATACCAGTTAGCTGTCTGTCTCCACATCCTTCTGCCTGCAGATAGCCCAGTTCTGGATGCACCAGGAGTCCCGGGTTGTATCCCTTCTTGCAAGCATCTATCATGCGTGTTTCCAGAGTTTCAAACACTTTCTTCTTCGTGACATGAAGTATTCCAAGATTTGCAAATCTGCCAAATTTTGATTGGGAGAAGTATTTTCTTAATGCTTTAGGCCAGACCTGCAGCAGGCAGCCTTCCTCTTACCAGAGGCAGCTACACAACCCAAGTCTACAGAAGGACTCTACAGGCTTACTTAGGCCCTATTAGTGTTTGAGGGAGAATTTTCCACCAAGGAAAATTCACTCAAGACCACAAAACGGGTAAAATGTGCACCATTATATGACAGCAATCGTATGGGTGCACTTTCATATGGCATAAGTAGTCATCTGTGAGATTTCAGACTTCCACTGGGAAAGCAACTTACAAAACATTGGAAAACCTGTTAGTCACACTTTGTTTGCTGTGTGTTGGCAATGACATCAGTATGTCATTATGTATGTCTGTTAAGCAGAGCAACTGATCAGAGTCTGCTCCATCTGTTGAAAATGGTTTGGAGAGCGAGCTAAGAAGCTGAAAACAGTGCAGTATTTTCCAAATAAAATGTTTTAAGCAAGGTTCTGGTTATTCTGCAAGATACTTTGGGTATCTATTTGAATGAAAATTTCCGTAATACAAGGTGTGCTTTTGTAAAAATCTGCTGGCACATTTAAAAATCAATTAGATTTGTAAGTATGAAAACATGACAATAACTCAATTTTCATGTGGGTCAAGTGAGGACAGGAAAGCTGGTTCTAAACATCTCATGAAAAACAAGACAGGTTAGAAAATGAGCCAAACTTTTCAAGATGAAAAGGAGTATTTGAAATAAAGCTATTTAAATTGATGTACGCGGTAAAGTCAGTGCACTGGGCTTGGACATCAAAAGTTACAGTTTAAAAAAAATCTCTCTCTCCCAACCTTCTCAGCTTTTTAAACTTCATCATCTTCACCAACAAAGACATTCTTGAGATCACAGAACTAAAACTCACAGCCAGCATGAAACCTGATCTAAGCTTCAAAACATGGTTGGGAGCTTCAGCTCCATTTACTGATATAAACAATTATTCTTTCAAATTAAACAAGAACAGGCCAACTACAATTTCACTACAACCTTTCTGCTTTAAACTTTAAAAGTTTGACTTATACAGTATTTTCACGTTTATACCTGTCCTGCATTAATTTCAAATTTACTAATCATATTTTCTTACTGCTTTTCATTCCATTTCTATTTACAGGTTTCAGTAAAAATAAAATATTGGCCGAAGAGGTAACGAAATGGTAACACTAATTTTAGCCCCTTCTCTGATCAAAATTTTACTTTTCCTTGCATTTTAAAGAATGGACTTACAATGGATTTACAATACAAATTTGGACTGCACACCAAGAGATTAAAACTGTACATATTCTAAATAAAAATTAGTTACTTAAATTTATTTAGCTTGCATAAAGCAAATTCTACAAAGGTGAACAGAAACCAGTAAGTTTTCTATTTATGATACAAAAGAACCAGAGATCAGAGCGCAGAGACAAGTGCTCCACAGAGTTGTCTCTTAGGAGTATTTCTGTATTGCTTTTTATAGTCTTGATGCTTTCCCCACAGCTCAGGTTTCCAGAGGAGTCCCCAGACTTACCCTACAACCATGTCCTTGGGTCCTGCGTTAACCGTGCACACTCCGTCTTCGCAGAATTTACCCACCAAGCTGTGAGCGTGTAAGTGGACATACTTCCCATTAGTTACTAACTGGACAATTACTTTTGCAGGTCCAACATAATTGCAGATCTGTAAATAAATATAAAAAATGTGGGATAGCTTGCTTATTATTTTTAAAATGGAACAAGTAATGATGCCAGGTGAGTATTTTCTGTCAGTTAAGTATAATCAAGTTTACATAGGAGAAATGTGTGTGTGCATTTCTTCAAGAAATACAAATGGCAAACTAACTGTACCAGATCATCACTTTCTTTTGCAATTAAACCTGACATGCAAATGGCAGAAGTACTGACCAAAAAAGCTAAAGGAAAGCCTCATCTGTTTCTTAAAACATGAATCTCAGTTTTACATTCTGGCCATTTAGTCCACATTGCTCTCCTTAAGTTTCATTCAGTATATTGAATTCACAATAAACACTGTTACCCATTAAGAAGCATAGAGAAAATGTACGTACTAAACTAAAAACTCTGCATTGTTTTGCCCAATCCAGAAAGACTTTAAAAATTATTTTTAAACATTATGATTGTTATAAAACATTTTGGCTACATTACAATGACTCTTCAGGTAGAGATTTTACAGTGAATAAATTCTATATTAATAGGCATTTTGTTAGTTCAGTGTACTTCATCAACACATACTACCCAGTCCAGTAAATACCTCCCTTAAGTGTACACAAGGGTATGTATAAAATTCCCACCTAAGATTTTACTGGACTAGAACTATGATAAACTGTGTGCTTTCTTTCATATACCCAATTCTGAAAGCCTACAAAGCCTTTTTTTCCTCTTGCCATAGTTTCTAACCACCATACATTTTTAACAGCTTTTAAATAAAAAACAATGCCTCAAAAACACATCTAAAATTACTAATAACATAACATACTGCTAAGTTATTTGCTTTACATATATTATTTAGAACTTTATTTTCTTTCCTCACTCCAAGGCAGCAATACTCCAAGGCAGTTATGGGTTATGCACCACTTTCAAATTAAGCTGAACATAAAATTACCCCACTTTTTAAAAAGCAAACATTACCTTCCCTTCCAATTCACTTAATTAACCCTTTTATCAATGTTGGGCTTTTCCCCCTCCTCCTCTAATTTTTCTTCTAATTTGCCTTGGGCCAAGTTCTTTGTATTACAGCAGCTTACAGATCTAATCAACCAAGGTATTAAAGGATCACGATAAACATTAAAGTGATGAATCAGTGATGAACTGAATATTTAAGGTTATATTGTTGATAAAATGCTGATAGCGAGGGATTGCCTCGATTTCACCACATTACTGAGTCCTGCTAGCTTCCTTCACTCCAGTTAACCCCTTTCTTGAACCCATTCCATCACAGCTGAAACACTTTGCATATGCACAATGTGTGCCCTCCCTGCCTTCCTATTCACTGCTGAAAGCAAAAAAAATCCCAACTATGAAAAAATTGTTCCAGAAGAAGCAGGTGTGCAAAAGCCCTCTCCTGATAGTTAACTGCATAATACTGCACAATGTGTGTTTTACAAGTAGCATTTTCTAAAACACAAGACATAGGGTGCTCATGGTTCCCTCCTATTTCCACATTGAAATCTGGACCAAAACAGTACAGAGATGCAGAATAATCACTGCTGGACTATTTCTGTCATTTACCAGCAAGGAGAAAATTCCTATGTACCTTTCACTAAGTCATTTGAAAATAAAAACGACTACATTTGGTGTTACAGTATGTCACCATCACTGCTACAATTAACTTTTCAAAAAGGTAGCTTCAAAAAAATTATTTTCATTTTACCCCTCACTCAATAAGCTTTTCCTTACTACAAAGTTCCCAGCAAATCTGCAGTGCTACATTCACTATGAATAACATCAATGTTCTAGTATCACATCAGAAAAGTTCAAGACAATCCTTCATCAGCTGTAAAAACCACAGTGAAACTGGAGGCAGGACTGCTGCACGTCAAGGACTTTCCAGCCTCTGAAAGCAGAACACAACTGCAGTGGTAATCAGATTTCAATCTACCCCTGTTACTCAGCTCAGCATGATCTTTGCAGTCTCTCTTTCTCAGGGGAAGAAGAAAAGGACTTTTAAAATGTAATACCTTATGTAGGTCATAAGGCAAGAAAGGACTATTTTTGTCATCCAGGCTGATGTCCTATGCTGCAAAGGGAACAGAATGCCTCTGAACTGTCTTCTACCTTTATTTCTTATAGACAGACTTTCCTACTTGATTTTGAGTCATTCAGGGTAACTTGGTACCTAGGAAAATAGAGTGGTTAAATATCCTTATGTACCATAAATTAAGTCTGAAGTAACTTTTCAGTGTTCTTGAATGATGCCACAATTTCAGAATAATTTTGAATGAATTCTGGCACTAAGGTATACAAGTAACTCTCAGCTTTTCACAGGAACTTAGGAAAACCTGTCAAAGGCCTGAAAAGGTAGAAGGTATGTTACAATGCTGAATAGGGATTATGGTTTTGACACACAAATAGACTCAGCATGAGGGAGAGATAGCATGTGGGTGCTGTATGGCTCAAAATCAGAGCTGTGATCCAAAAAATAGCAACTGAACTTCAAATTAAAGGTGAAGGTTAAAAAGAAAAGGAGTTCCTGGGCAGAGCATAGCTGTAATACTTGATTACATCCTGTACTGAAGCGGCACTCAACTGATCTGATAAAGTTAAAAGGCTTCAGGTTTACATTTATCTGCTCTTTCTGTTTGAGAAATTTTCCTGAAAGATTAAAAAGACCCTGTGAACTTGAAATTGAGTCAATTTCAAAACAAGAGTAGAAAGTTTTTTCAGTTATTTCATGTCCTGCAATCCAGATCCCAGCCAATTTTTATAGGTTCCAAAACTTTACAAAAACTTTATAAGAACATTTTCATACTTAAAAGATGTTTTTTCCAGTTACTCTTACTGAACAAGAAATGAAACCAATTGGTCAACAACAGGAGCAAATGATGGAAAAGACCATGTCAAACCTACAACACCAGCATTACAAAAGCACCTATTTTTCTTTCCAATCCCTTTGTTAGAGCAACTGCAGCCCCAGCCCTGCCTATCCTTTAGAGTGTGACTACTGCTGTCCTCAATACACATGAACAAGAAGTGTTCCAAAGATCAGGTATCACTGACTCTTTATAAACAGCCTATTTTTACAAACCAGTATCTCTTTTTCAGTTGGTAATTAAAGACAAAATATTTCCGATGTGGTACGAATCGTGTAGGCAACTGAATACTTACTTAGTAGTCCTGAGAAAATTAAGTAATTTAAACCAATGGGAGCTGAAGATCTGATCCTCTGACTGTGAGGTCACTCTAATGACAAGAATTTGGAGCTAGGTGCTTTGCTTTACAAGCCCAACTAAAGAGATTCAGTGCCTCCTACTCAGCCAAATCAGCCTTACCAGTAAAAAGCTCAGATCTCACTGAATTTAGTTTTGGCTGAATTTGATTCAGTACAGATTTTTAAGAGGGATAAAGATTTATACCAAAAAGTCTGCTTAATCCTTGTCTCATGTTTATTCCTTAATTCAGCTGTTAGGTGATTTTTTAACTTTTAATTCCTATGGGAGGACATAGGGGAAAGCAAATAAATATGTTCCTTTTGTCACCAAGGCTTATCAGCAAAGTAACTTGACTAATCTTCCAGAAATTCTCCTCCTGAACTCGAAGTAAACATGCTGAAATCCTTGATTTCAAGAACTCTTATCCCCAAACCAAGGTATAACTTGGGATAGCCCCAGGACACAACTGGCTGGACAGTTCTGTCGCTGTGCCTGGCTTCAGGACTAACTGGTGTGCTGCTTTGATCAACAAGCCAAAGTGTTCCATGCCCAAACTCTTGTGCAAAGAGATGGCGCTCCTTAGCTCAGGCACACCTCTGAACTCCAGGCTGGAGCTCATTTACATCCAGCTCACAAAGAACACTGAACTAGAGATTGCAGCCACCCACATAGATTTGCCCCCAAGGAAATGAAAATTCAGGACATTTCCTTCACTGTTTTCAGCGAGTTCTTGTCACACCTAAAACTGGATCAAGCACTTCAGTGTAAAACAGATCTGCCCACACTAACAGATCAGGACACACAAACGTGTAAAGCCAGTGGAAATTTTCTGCGTGAGTTTTCTCACATTTTTTCAAATTCAGAATTTCAAATTATAAATAAAAAAAATTTAGATAGTTAAATATGCTGGTGATTAATACAGACTTTGCTGTTTTATCCTTTCTTTTTGTACTACTGATTGCTTTTTCCCCTGGACAAAAAAAGTAATGATGTATAAGCAGCTCAGCAGTTTTGATTTGAATTGTTCTAGACAGTAAAATCTTTCAGCGTTGTGTTACTTACACTAAGTGGATGAAAATGAAATTTAAATGAAGAATTTTAGGTTGCAATCATGAAACATAACTTCATTGTAACATTTATTACCTACAACTTCTCTGGTCTCTATAATAACATGCAAAGTTATGTAGAATCCTTTGAATATGCAAGATGTTTTCTACATATTAGGATTAGCAAAGACAGGGCTAAACAAAGGAACATAATTCCACACATCATTAAGATAAATTAATCCCATTTTTGATATTATAGAAAAATATACACTGTTCTCTAGACTTGGTTAGTCAGGACTGTTCTGTTAAAGAAGAGGTTTTACATCAATTCCACCTTGCTGGCCAGTGCAGATTTGTTTCAAGTGTAACGACTGGTATTGCAGAACTGCTACACTAACTCCTGACCTACACCGTCTCCTAACACACTATACAAGAAGAGGTTAAACATGTAATTAAACACCAAAACATTTTGCTTAGAGACATAGCAATGTCTTCAACACTCCAGCCTTTATGTGAGAGATATGCCTTGATGTGTTTCAGCTAAATTTCAAATTAGTGAAAGTGTAGGGAGGAAAAAAAAGAAGGGTAAAATGGAATAGTCCACGTTATGCAAGAGGTCACACCCCATTAATGTGTTTTCTTTTGGCCTCCAATATATAATCCTATGGAAACAGAATAGGGAGACTGCAATTGTTTTTTATGTACTGAGGATGTCTATTTTCAGGGCATCCCATTGTAGCTACTAGTAAATTTTGAGACAGTTGGCCAAGCATAAAGCAGATCCCAATGCGAGCTGCAGTGACCACACCATGGCTAAGAGTTTTAAGATCTGTCACAAAACTTTCTTTTTTTTCAGTATAGCCAAAGCTCATGCTACTGTCCTTTCACTACACTGTGATAACTAATGCAGGTTTTATAGTGAAAACAGTCACAAGAGTAGAAAAAAAATCCACCAAAAAATCAAAACAAAACAGAAAAAAAAGCCCCCAACACAACAAAAAATTGCAGTTTTCAATTGTGCTCCTCTCAGTTATGACAAAGCTGAGCACATTCTGACAAAACACAGAAGACTTACAGGAAAAGGTGTGAAACACTTCTGTCTTTACTGGCACCACTTGAATCAAGAACAGGCACTAACAAGCAATGGCCTTGAGGAATTTACTTGTATTCCCTTGCCAGCCTCTCCCAGCAGGTGCTGCCATGTGGGGATTTGTACTAGGAAAGAAAGCCCAGATGCACACAGTAGGATGGGAGGGAAGGGATGTGTGTGTGTATATGTAAGCTCTAGATGTAATTAAAAAATTATGATCAATGAAATTAGAAGGTTTAATGGAAAGGCAAAGATCATTCTGCTTTCTAGTTTACCCAAGGAGAAATTCCATTTCCTGTATAACTCCTTGTCATGCTATTGTGTGACCTACTACACCTTTATTAAGTATCATTTGTGTTACTATCATTACAGATCAAATTGGAATCTAAAGATCTGGCTCAACTGAAGTGAATTATTTTATATCTGAACATACCAGTGAAATTTCATTCATTGGTTCATCATTACTGTCAAAATAGGAAGCAGAAAAGCAAGGAGATTATTTGCCTGGGCTAGAAAGTTTTCCTAAGGGTTTTTGCAAGGCTATATGAAATCAGCTTTCCCAGTGGCTTCTCAATTCACAAAGCTAACAGCCTAGGCTACCTCAGTCAGTGCTGATTATTTTCCACTATGCTATGCTTATACTGATTCATTAGGAGATGTAACTGTTTCAAACTCTAACCTTTCCCAAGATGAACTACACACAGACTGAGTAGAACGACCAGGAGTGGCACACACCAAGGCAGAGGTTTGTTGCTTGCCACTTTTCCCTCCCCTTCTTTCCCCATAAAGGAGTAAGAGAGCACCAGAATTAGAATACATTAAGAATTAGAATACATTAACCCTGTTCCTCATGAGAATTTGCAGTGCAACAGTTCAAAGATGTAGTGCAATAACAAGACCAAGGCTTGCATTTAAGTTAAAAAGAATACTGAAAAGACACAGAGTAGCTTTTCCAGACTCCACAGGAAAAAAAAAAAAATTGCTGCAAGAACCATAGGCAAAGACAGCTCTCCAATCCCAGAATGATTAATCATTTTTCTAATCTGCATACTGTGCCTCTATAGAACATTTCTTTGATTACCATATTTGAAATTTTTTCCAGGGGGGAAAAAAAACCCACAAAAAAAGTTCAGTGAACACCTGAACATAACACTGTTCCTATTAAAATGAGAAGTTCTACATTGACTTTAAAGGAATTATGTTCCTAGGAATGGAGTACCCTAGAGATATTGAATAAAGAGTAATATGAACAGCAAACAAAGGAAAACTTGGTAAATAGGATCCTAGAGTGAAGTGGAATAACTAAGCAGACTCATGCTTTGCAATGGAAATGGAGCAACTGAGCAGCTCAAGCCTCACTAAAAGTGCACCTTAAGGAAGAGCTCCATTAGTCTGCACAATGGCAGTGAGGTAGGAGGTACAGATAAGTTACTGCTCAACTGCTGGCAGATAAAAAAGGTGACAAAACAAACCCATGTATCTTAGGACACTTTATTTTCAAAATCAATTTGAACATTGGGATTGAAATGTAGCCTGTCCTGAGCAACTTCATACAAATTTATGTTGCTATGCAGTAAGGTGCTATTCACATACATATGATGACACTTGCATTGACTTCATAAAATTAATGCTTTATTAAGTAAAGTCCTTACTTTGACCTGAGGGTATGATTTTTTGTTCTTTTCACTAGAAGCACCAGGAAGTCCACCATGCGAAGGCCCTTCACATACGTATCGGAAACGAAATCCCCTCTGTAGAATAAAGGAAAAGAAACTTGAAAGCTGTACAGAAACAAAACTAAAAGAGAAACAGCACACATGATGATGAGCATGCACACCCACAAACAAGACTCACCCAAATGGAAAAGTTACAATTCTTCATCTGTGAAATGCTTAGTGCTGGTTAACAAAGCATCACTGAAGTGTAGCCTATTGAACTTGTAGGTTGGAGAACCTGTCCAATTCTCACTTTAATGCAGAGCAACAATATTTTATTTTTTTTTTTGGGTTAAGTAAAGATATTTTCAAACAGAGAACTATTGATACTCTTAAAATAGGATAAAAATGCTCATGAGAATGCAAGAGCAGATACCCGCTCCCAAGACTGCTGCTAGGTAGAAAAAATGAAACAAATAATAAGGAAGTCCAAAGCATAAAGGAAAGTAGAGGGATGAAACAGAAACACTTCCCCCTTCTGGGAAAAATGCATGAAAGCTGTATCTCTGAGTGAAATCCAGAAACAGCACAAAAGCTTCAGGGGAGTCTGGCTGATTTTCATCTCAGCTACAGAAATAGACATCTAAATATACTTCAGAGAACTGCAGCATACTGAAAACCAGTCCAGAGCACAGCTCTCCATTGACTCCATTGATGAACATTCCCTTTATTTTACATGGTGATCTATAAAGCAGGAAAGATGCAACTCTGAAGCAAAGGTGTCTGGTAACTCAAATTCTACTTAATAATATATAATATGTGGTCCCCAATTTCGCTTTCAGACCTACTCTCCAGTCCTCCAATTTCTGACAAAATCCCTATTTTATATAGGGCTCCCAATAGCACCAGTTAGTGTTGTAGCTTTTCCAAGAATCATTCAGCTTCTTTCTAGTAGTAGACAACTCTGAATTCCAAGTCTGTATTAGCTGAAAGTGAACAACAGGTCTTAAAATTACTCCATAAGTAGTAGCTTCAATACCTATCTCACCAAAGCCTTTTCAGGCTAAGAAGTTGTTTACCAAGCAAATGTAAACTTTTATGACTTTTATTCTGACCTGACCCATTGCCTTCCTAGGGTGAACTGTGTGACCCAGAGTACTGTGCGTGAAGTGCCCAGCTACGATGAGCTTGAACTCAAGTTGATCAAAAGGCAAATCAACCTCTGCAGTCAGGACACATCACTCTGCTGATGGATCACCCTCATCACCCTGCTGTAAACCCCTGCCCAGCTTGCCACATGGATACACCACGAGAGGAGCCACTTGCTGAGAAGTCACACACGGAAACAATGGTTTCTCCTTAGGGACTGTGCACTGCAGGCCCCACCATGCAAAGACATGGCCTGATTTGGGATGAACTTAAAACAATGAGGAAGATACAGCATATTCTTCCAAGAGTTCACAGTACCCTGCTGTTTCACTTAGATGTGATGAAGAGTCCTATTCCAGGAGGGATGCTCAAGCACAAAAATGTCTTTGGTGTGTGATTGAAACCAATGTTCTCCACCGCCTCCTGCCTGGGAGACTGGATTGCAGTATGCTTCTGCAGAAGAGCAAGGGAGGATGGGACAGCTTTTAGCCGCTGTCTTCCCCTGTTTACTGAACAGCTCTGTAAAGTAGGATTTTATGCAATTCACTGGGACAGACAGGAAAGGCATCTCCATACTGTAACAGCTTCAGGAAGGATCCTTGTACCTGCTGGTGACACCAGCCAAAGGGGAACAATACCCAGGCACACTTCAGGCCAATCTTTACCCAGCAATTACTTTGTACATCACTTGCATGAAAACTAACCACTGCACTGAAACGATTTCTCTGCTGTCAGAGGAGCATAGGTCAGTGTTTGCTACATAACAGAAAAAAAAGTTTCATTCAAGTACTTATCTTCATTTTTCCTTGATTATTCAAAACATTACAAAAGACAACCATTACAAAAAGAATCTCAAAGGATAACTGCGTTTCTTTACAACAACAAAACACAAGTCAGTAGTTCGGGTAACTTGGGAATTAAGTGTTTTTACTTTCAACTTCCTGTGTTTCAGAAACTATGAAACAAATCCTAAAAATCTTCCATATTTGATCTACTAGTTTATGTTTCCAAATACTGGGGTACTGTGACAATCACTTCTAAGATGAAGAGTGTACACTTAGCAAGGCATATTTTTTAAAACCCTTAGGGTTTTTTGTATTATGACACTTCCAGAGAGAAGTAAAGATGAAAACTGAATAAAACAGGAAATGCTTTAACTACAAAAGTAAGAGTTAAAACTCCTCATGTTCAAGTGCTGCATTTGTTCTGAGAGGTCAGTTTTCTGTGCTCTTCTTTATTTAAGTATTAAGTTTATTCAAAGCTGAATGCAATAATAAAGCTACCTCAGACATTTTCAAAACGTAATCTTGTACTTACCTGTTTTGGCTGTTCTATGATTTGAAGATAAGGTCCATCTGCTAACATAAAATAAAGAAATAAAAGTATTAATAGAAACTCTATTACTATAATTAATAGATCAGTTGTAGGGGTAAGATTATGTTCTTGAATGACTTGAGATAAATTTTTTGAAAGCATCTAAGTCTCTTCAGAACTTAAATTTCAATAAATTATTTAATCACTTGGCAGTCTGTCATTCCCAACTAAAGACCAGTGGAATAAGAATAGGAAGATTTAGTCAAAAAAGTTAATTTTAGCTCAGAGAGCCTAAATGGGCAACTGATCACTCAGTTAAAACTTGCAATGGTGAATAAGAACAGGATCTTCCCCTTGCCACTGACAGCAGTCTGGTTTCTTGAGCTAAGGTTAACTTTTGTATTTAAACCCCTTGGGCTCTAGAGACTATACTACCAGCTTTTGGCCCTAGGGCTTCCTACGGAATAGGTGCTTTTGAAAGTCAAGGAACAGCCAATGGGAAGCTCTGAGGCATGGGAATACAGAAGGAATTCAAGCTGTCTCAACATGCCCCAACAGTCAGAACTGCTTTCAAAAAAATTCTGGAATTGAGAAGACTAAACAATTTACATTCTTTTAGTAATTGCAGGTACATTTTTAAATACAGTGTTCTGCTGAGCATCTAAAAACACTGAATACACTCAATTTGACTACAAATACAGACTCTATATTGATCCATCTTGAGCGTGGTGCCAATACATAGGATTATGTTCTACTAAAATTCTATTTGTATCTTTCAAAGAAGGCTTCATTAAACAACTTTCAGTCTTGTACAGTGGCTAACTTCCTATTATAAACCTCAGGCAAAATTCACCAGTTTATATAGCTTTTGAGTAGGCCCTAAATCCAATGAGAATTGGATTAATTGCTTAATCCAAAGTTAAGCATTCATCACCTGATCAAAGCTTAGCTCTAACTCTGATAATTTAGATTATTTGCATTAAAAAGGAAAGCTCTCTGGGTGGATGGCTGTGAAATACCTCTTAAAATGCAAGCCACTCTCAAAATGACCGTTCCAAGAGCTACGATTTCTTCCCCCTCTCCTCCTAAGCAGTCAAGATGATTTGTATTTCAATGCTAAAAGATCAGCTGCTTTTAAAGTAGACCCCAAATGACAGCTTCACTGAGAATACCTACATAATATTTTCCCATCCATATTCCTGCTGGAATTCTGTAACATCACTTCTACTCCATTACAGGTATTAATGCTAAGGAATCAAGCACAGGTCTTTACTGAACAAGTTTCTCTCAACATGGAAGTTTAATAAATACACAATAGATTAAATTAGAATTCTGCTGCTGCAGTTAGCTGACTCAGAAACTGAACTAACTTCATCTTGAAGTTATATTGCAAATGTCAGTCACAGCAATTTCACATTTAAAGATAAATTATTTCCCAAGTCCATCAATTGTACTTTAAAAATAAGTGCTACTTGAACTCATGAAAAATGATTGCCTCAAGACCACATCATCTTGCATTACAAAGCAGGAAAACCAGTTTGGATTTCAGAAACTTTAAAAGATGTAGAGTAAAATTTAGCTTTGGCCTTGTGTTTCAGTTTTTGTCTGTAACAGAGTCAAGATGAGGTGAGTTGAGTTAAAGCAATACATCAGCACTTAAATTCAAGACCTCTCTTCACAGACCTCTAATCCTCCTCATGCTTTAGGCACCTGAAAATTTATACTTTAACAATCCAGAAGCCATGTGTTTTCTGGGCATTGGCAGAAATAATGCACCTGAAATAATACAACAGTGTGTAATTCAACTTTCAACCAAGCCTCCAGGGCATGATTTACCAAACAACTTTCTTTGGCTCTTCTCCTCTTAGGAATTAATTTTCAAGACATGTGTGTTGGGTTAGCATAAAATACTACTGCTTTCTCTCAAACATTAGCCAGAAAAGGAAGCATTCTCATCCAATGGCTAAATGGTTGGAAAAGTTCCCCAGGACACATCAGACCCAAGTTCCAGCTTTTCCCCAGCATAAGGAAATTCAAACTCCTAAGAGAAGAATAGATATGCACTGAAAAACTAAAGGAAAATGCTTCATACCACTGAAATGGTTTGACCTTACATGGCACTTGTGAAAACTCAGGAAAATTAAAAACTAAGGACTGTGGTTATTCTGACCTCTTGGAAAAAAAGTTTCTAAAAAGCATACAAATATGCTGATAAAAAAATCAAAATGTTTTATACATCATCACTAGTAAAGTGCAGAAAAGATGAAGTGTAAAAGTACAAAGCTAAATTAAGTATCTGTTATCATTAACCCACATTATACAAATCATATAGCAATGTATTTAGAACAGTTTTTTGAGGTCTTATTTTAACCTTTGGGTTCCGTGACTAAAGATTTTCTTTTTTTTCTTTAACAGTGACTGACTAAGTAATTCTCTGGTACAGCATCTGAACCAGACCAAAATAACAGTACAGAGAAGGGCATTCTAAGGCAAAGCACATAATAATATCTGAAATGCTACTTAAAAATAAACCAGCAATGTTCAAGAAAACATCCAGACATAAATGGCATATTATTTTGATTATAAAAAGGATTTTACTTGGTGAAAGATCTCATATAGCTGTTTTTACTGAACTCTAAATACTTCCCAGAGGCACATTACACAGCCTAACATTGGCTATGTGTGGTTCATTCTTTCTCTTATCCTTTCCCATGGGGAAAACACATTTAGTGTTTTGCACGCGGAAGTTTTTAATATTTTGTTTCTATTAGTAGGCATGTCTTTGTCTAAGCAGACAAAGAGCAGGAACCTGTGGATGAACACCTTGTAAGAGGAACTAACAATAACGAGATTTGTGATGATCCTTTGTTCCTACCTGGAAGGTGCTTGCTTCAAGTTCTCGTTTAAGGAGGAACCCCTTTCTGAATGCTAAACAGCCACAAGAAGGACTTAATGCATAACTTATGTTCTACTTTTGCCTGCAGAGAGCCTGGAGGACACAGTCATGGAGCTGCCTCTACACAGGCATGGCTCTCATGGTGCCAAGAGCCAGGTTTTGACAGGAGCACTCCTCACGCTTTGCCTGGCACTGCTACAGCTGGGAGGCCAAGAACTGCAACTACAACATGCGATCCTCCAGCCTGGAGGGGCTATGATGCAGACTGCCACATCCTGGCCATGCTTCAGGGCTTCTTTTTCTGTCTTCTCGCCTCGGTTGCCACAGACTGACTCGCATCCCACTCCAGTCTGAGTCACAGTCCCACTTCCCCACGTCTTCTTCAACTGCCAAGTTTCTTCATTTTCCTTCCTGCCTGAGTCAGAGGCCCTCCTGCCCCTTGACACTCCTATAACTTGCATTCTTTCTTCCTCTTGACAGGCCTCACCCTACACACACACTTCCAAGGAGCACCCATCTTAGGCTCTCCCTTGACTCCTTCTTCCCACCATAGCAAAGTCAAGGAAAAACAGGTTGCCAGGCTTGCAGGGATATCCCTGCAAACCTGGCAACCCAGCTCTTCAATGTTCAAAGCATGATGTTTAAAGCAAATGGCACATGAGACTTTGTTTAACTTCTTCCCTTGGTTCACTCTTCCAAACAAGAGCACAGAAGATCTAAAAAGAACACCAGAAACTGTATGCAAGTCTGCCCAGGCTCCCAAGATTTAGGGCCACTGCTGTGGAACAAGGAAAATTAACACTCATCTCATTTTTGGTGGTGGTCAGGTTTTCTTGAACCTCTAACATTGTCTCTCTCTGAAGAAATACGAAAAAAAAAATAAGTAAGTGCCTTCTTTTTCCCTCTAGAACCTTCTAATTTTTCACAGCAAGTGTCACACAGGGTTGGACAGAGGAGGTTAAAGAAACAGCAGAAAATTAATTTTCACAGCCTCCAGGCAATACTGTTCAGCTCCTGACGGCTCTGCTTCAACGTCAAAGTTTTAAAAAACACCACCTTAATGCCAAGAGCTAGTAAGGCCAGAGCCTCTCAAAGCCAAAACAACTACGCAGCTCCAAAACCCACCTCTAACTGGGGCACATTGCATGGTTGTAGATGGCTTTGGATCATCATGAGGGAGTACAAAACGTCCAAAATTACAAAGTGTTTAGCTCAGAGCTCTGCCCATTTTTTCTCCAACGTAGGCCATCACTTTGTTTCTCCACTACATAGTGGACATCCCACTGATGTGCACCTGCTTTTACTCTGCCTAAATACATGCTGTGGGTAATGCTCCCTCCATCCCCAGTGCCACTAAGGATCAGTACCTAACCTGCCTAATCAAAGGCAGCATCCTTCCCAGCAAGCCAGAGAAGAGGTTGACTTCATGAGGTACTGCCTTTTCTGCTGGTAAAATTTGAACCATGTAACTACAACAGCTTTACAGCCAAAGTAAGAAAAAAGCCTAATTTTTATTTAAAACAGACATATGAGAGAGAAAAAGATGCACGCAAGGACACTTGAGCAGTGGCAATGATGTTGAGAAAATACATGTCCCAACGTCTCAAACATTTTCTACTGTTACTGTAAAGATTAATGTAACAGCAGAACATCTATCACCAGAAAGTCCCCAAATTCCCCACCTACTTGTTGATTCAGCCACGCTGGCACAACATGGCAATCCATGGTTACACATTAAACCTGTCTGCCAATGTAACAGGTCTGACACTGTGCATTTATGGATGCACAGACTGAAAGATGCATGCACTGCAGCCAGATCATGAGGAACAATTAATGTCTTTCGTTCTTTCTGCCTTAATCATCCATCTGTCCTTGAGAAAAATCCTTTTATTTCACTCTCTGCATATCTCAGCTGAAAATACTTCTGGAAAATCCCACATGACTTTTTTAATTGACCTTGCTGTGTAGAAAGAAATCATTAGTCCCTGCTTGAAAACCACTAAAGTAGAATATAAAAATTATTATATTATCTTATAACTGAAGAGCCAGTCCATACTAACAATGCACTATATTTTCAATAAGGGGAGCAAGTAAGCATTATTGGGATACTGTTTAAGAAACAAACCAACTGTGGCATCATCAGATGCTGCTGAAATGATCAACCTTTTCTGAAAATTTTTGATTAACTTTTTGTTTGCAATAACCTGAAATCCACGATCCTTTATTGAATCCCATTTTGTGCACAGTGAACTTGTCACTTATAGTGCAGCAGTTGACAAGAGCAGTGGAACTTATGAAAAAAAGGCTTTTTTCAAAGCAATTTTGCAAATTAGCCCAGTAAGAGTTTTCTGTGGCTGCAGCACTCAGTGAATCCTTGACTCCCTGACATGGTTTTGAAAGCAGTTGTTTTCTACTTTAGATGAGACATAGCTATCTGAAAATTAGTTTTATATATCTGAATAATTTGTATGGAATGAGCCTGGCATGAAGAATACAGAGTAAGCTTAAAAGGTACACATAAAAGAGCTCATTACGGGGAAATTTCAATAACCTTATTTCTTCAACAAAAACTGGGAAAAAAACCCCCTTGGTCTACAATGATCAAGACCTTTAATCCTACACAGATGAATCTTACTGAATAATTTTATCTGCCTTAATAAAAATATGCTGTAAACAAATGATTGCAACACTAATTTGTCGAATGTTTTTCCATATTTGTCAAGAGCTTTGCTCATGAGAACATTTTATCTTGAAACAAAATTATCTGTACCATGTGTTTTTTGATGCTTTCTTGCTACTACTCATTTAAGAAAACAAGGAAACACTGAAACAGTAAGCCTGCTTTAATTTTTATTCTATAAGCAGCATTTACTGTTACTTTAGGGTGGAATTTTACTTATGAAGGAAAACGTTAAATGCTGATTTCATTTTACCCTTAACACCTTCACTGCTGTGAAAGTGTATCAAATATTGGAAGCAGAAGTGGTTTGCACTTTCAACCAAAGAAAGTGATTTGCAATACCTAAGATACCAGCTACATCCTGATACAACGGAGTCAAACAGATAACAAGAGAAAGCTGGCATGGTGAAAGAGCTGTATCGGAGCTATATTTTGGGAAAAAATTCCCATGCTGAAATAAAATTTTATTTCCTTCTTCCTTTTGTATCAGCTGTTCTAATAGACTAAGCAGGAGAAAAGAATACTAGAAGTAGTATTTATAAATGCAAAAAGTAGTATTTATAAAAATATTTAATAAGCAGAACCAAGGTTGATCAAGCAGCTGATACTGACTGAGCTATACAAGACTTGTACTTGTTCTTACTGCTCTGGAAGCATACTGTAAGAACTGCTTATCAGACCTTTGCAGAGAACTATTTGCTTATTTTCAGTGGTTGCAAAATTTGTCTGTGCTTTCAAATTAGTGTTATTGTTCAGGAAATTGTCAGGTGCTTCTAATACCACATTTCCACTTCACAGGAAACAGAGAAGACAGCCAGAAGAAAAAACACATTTGAATGGTACAGGAAGTCCATATTCTCTACATTTTATTACTAAAAAACAAGCACCTTAAGAACTACTTCAACAAATGCAACAGCATTCAAAAGGAAAACAAGCACATGTTGCAGTCTGCAAACTGGCAATAGAAACATGTTAACTCTCTGAAGGTTCAAATTCAGAAAAAAAACCTCAACAAAGTAATTTATAAAATCGGGTCACTCAAAGCTTTTTGGCCACTGTCCTTGTTTCACCTGGGAAACTGCTGAAACTTTCAGTTTCTGTACAAGCCACAACAAAATCCAATTTGCCTCACTGCTGAAAGTTTCATGAGGGGAAGAAAGATGCAAAAAGGCGCAATAAAAAAATCTAGTTGACTACTTTGCAATCTACTATTATGACACACAAGTTGATAAACAACAACGGGCTCTGAAAAGAACTTCTCAGAAGAAAACAGGAAGAATCAGCAGGACAATAGCACCATCAAGTACTAAGGGTTCCTACCTGTTCGTAGTGGTAAGTCTGAAGTGATGTAATTTGTACTATTAAATAAAGCATTCATTCCCATGAACTGATCCACTGCAAACATCTATATTGAAAGAAAATACTCTTCATTATTACATATACACATAGTTGCATAAAACATCTATCAGCACAGAACTTCAAAGTTCTCTGCAAATATTGAGACTGCAAACACCTTGTTGAAGTACATAAACATTTTATAGTTATTTTATTTTTGCTGGCAACAGCACTGCAAGCAGAGCTGACAGCACCGACCCAAGTTTCACCAGAATCAGGAGACCGCATCAACCTCAGCGCAGTTTCTAAACACCCATTTTGCTTACATGTACTAACAACTATAAATTCTAAAGAGCTTATACAGTAAATTCTGAAAATCTGCCCCTAGATGTCTTGCCCAAGGCCTTGCTAAGAACCTGCGAGTTTTCATTTCCACTTCTCTGATTAAACCCCACCAGACTACATTCCTTATGTAAATACATTTACAAGCTCTAATGCAAGAAAACAGTACATCCAGGTTAAAGTTTAATTTTATTTTTTTTTTAAACACTGACATGCTTTAACTTACTCTAACTGTTGTCAGGTACAAATCTATCTTCTTCCAAGGTGGAGCAAGCATAAAGGAGAAAATAGTTGCCTTTTGAAAATTAAGGTGAGTAGGAACGATCTGTTCTTCATTTAAACTTTTCACCCAAGCACCCTTCTCACAGTTCAAGTAATTTATGAAATGATCTAAGAAGATCAGAAAGACCTCCTGAAGAGCTAGGCTTATGGATCTGGGCAAGTGAAGGAACATCTTAGTCATCACTGTCAATGCAATCACACTAATGTACACAAAAGGGTCGTCTAGGACATAAGGGGCTTTATTTTCAGAAAGACTCCAATGTCCACCACAGAAGAAATTTCAGAGCCGGTGTCACAGGCATGCAGAGCATAAAAATAAGTATTTTTTTCAAATGCTTAATTCAGCAGGCCTACCTTTCTTCTCATATTAGCCATTTGACCAGTGGCAAGGCACTTTACAGGTCACATAAAAACCAGCTTAGGGAAAAACAGCCCTGATTTCTGCCAATGCAGAATTATTTTCTACGTCCCTATTAAGTCTAGGAAATTACAGGAAAATGTGAGAGAAGGCCTAAACAGACAGCTAGGAGAGAATACAGGGACACTGAAAACACAGAAATTCACTTACTTGGGGATCAGATACTCCCATAATATAGGAATCTTCAGCTGCCATTTTAAGTCCTGAAACACAAAAACATGATTAGAACCCCCATTTTTTTTCCACTGTAGAGCAATAGAGAAGCCTGGAAAACAAAAGCCCAGTCTCTGACACTTTTTATTTTACTCAGAACATTAATGATTTCTAAAATACTTCTAAAATTCCTCAGAATCTGGAAGGGGCAATGTAAGGACAAGATAGGCTACAGCTAAGATTCTGCATTGCTTATTGCCAAGAACCTAAAAATTACAGTCAAAGAAGTCAAAATTTCTTAAAATCAAGAATTGTTTCTGTCATTGCTCTCACTATTCTGCCATTAGACTTTAGGCAAAATCATTACCATAGAAATAGCAAAACTCCTCATTTCTATCCAATAAAAAGAACATCATGAACATTCATGAATGAACCCTAACAGCTTTCTTATGAAGCAATACTAAATGCAAAAAAGATGCCCAAGAACAAACAGACAGTATTTAAAAAGTAAATAAACCCAGGAATCAATTATTGACCAATTTTGGACACCTTTATTTCCAGAGGTCCACAAGTGCTTAGCACACACAACAACTCTGTGCTCAAAATTACAATTATGGATGCACAGCATCCATCACAACTCTTTCTCACAGGTCTACATGTAAATGCTGGAAACTGGAAAAGTTTAGCTTGGCTTAGTTTTACTGGGACCAGTAATGGGCCAGTAGCAGAACCTGTGAATTTTCTGAAGAATTTATTAGAAGATGTTAGCAGTAGTGTTATTAGTGTTATTTTCTTTCATGTACATGTTACTAAAATAACTAAACTTCACCTATGCTGAACTCACTAAATAAAGCTCTCCAAGGGACTATCTGAAAATAACAATAGGACTATTTCGAGAGACTCATGTCTGCATTCAACAGACACTAAATAAGGTTAATAACTATCAGAACAAAGAAACAGGTCACTGTCCCTCATATTCCACCACACAGTGAATGTGAGCCACCTTTTCCAGAAAAGAGAACTGTGAAAACCTACTGCAGTATCAAAGAGAGGTACAAGAGATCAGTCAGTCATTAAAGGAAAACTGAGTCACCATGTACCTTCTACAGGAACTAGAAAGGCAATTATCAAAAGGAAAATTGGAATACTTGGGTACTTCACCTTGATGGAGGCTCAACTCTGCTTGTTCATCCCCAAAGACAATACAGTCACCCATTCCCCACAAAACAGAAAATGTAAATTTAAAAGCAAAGAAATAAGAAAGACTTAATACCACAGATGACTTCAATGAAAAATACGTTTATGTGGATACAACTATTTTTTAACCTAGGAAATAAAAGCACCCACCGGACTGTAAATCTGTTTTAGAAACATTTACTGGGCACTATTTATTTATAGCATTTGTGCAAATATCAAATAACTGGTCATAAGATTTCAGCCAAAAATTAATAACATATACAACCAGCAGTCAATGTCACCAATGCTGTACTTCATCACCTAATACAACAAGATTTCAACAAGATGAAAAACACCAGTCAATCACACTATGCCATAGACACATTCTGCAAAGTATTATTTTCATCAACCATTTGCCATTGTTATTATTCATCTTTATGAAAAAAGTCAACATACAAGGCATGATGAAACCTTCACGAAACAATAAAATCTACTAAGATGTTTTTATTTGACTTCTGTTCCATGGAAAAAATAAAAATAACATTATCAACAACTGACAAGTTACTTAAATCACTGAAATAACTTGTAACATTTTTTGTCAAACACTTCCTATTGAAAGGTGAAGATATTACAAAAAAAAATTCCAAAAACCTCAGCAGCCAGCTATTTTTTTACAAAGTGTCAGAAAATACCCACCCTCTTGTTACACCCTAATTAGGTAACTGTGAGTGCAAATGCCACGTTTCTTCTGCATAAATAGAATAAAAACTGGTCCTAAAAGTCTTGTTTTGTGATATCTCATATTTAAACACTAACAATTTCACAAGTCACATATGCAAAATTGTGTTCCAAAATCCTGACATTTACAGTTGACATGGTCAACATGCTCGTTCAGAAAAATAAAATATTCTGAGGAGCCAACATGAATGGCATCTGCCCACTCGCCTGTTTGCTCAACTTTGCCAAACTTTCAAACAAAGCATCTCACAGCTTCTTCTGTAAGCCACAGGATAAACTTAATAGTATGTTCTATTTTCTTTGCCCTGTTTTAGTTCTTCAGACTGACCCCTCTCCCTCCAGCAGAACTCTGGGGGTGAAAGGCAGTGTCCTCACAGCTGCCACACACTTCCTGGTCACATCTACAATACATGACTTTCCAACAAAGTGCAGAAATAGAGCCGATGCATCACTTCTGAAAACTTTTCATTTAAAGTATTTTGATGTAAAAATTAGAACCAATATAGAAAAAAATAAACCTCCTACGTCCATCTGAATCAGTCCTCCAGTTTCAAATCTTGAAAAGAGCAATTTATGGCTTTTTGGCTGATGCAGTGAACAATGTCATGACACAAAAACTGCAGCCTTTAAAGATGTTCCCCCTGCAGTGCTGCGTTCAGCTCTGGGCTCCACAGCACAAGGAGCACATGGACCTGCTGGAGTAAGTCCAGAGCAGGCCATGAAGATGCTCAGAGGGCTGGAGCACTTCTCTGCAGACAGGCTGGGAGAGCTGGGGCTGTTCAGCCTGGAGAAGAAAAGGCTTCAGGGAAACCTTAAAGCACCTTCCAGTACCTGAAGAGGGCCTCCAGGAAAGCTGGAGAGGGACTTTTCACAAGGACGTGCAGGGACAGGATGAGGGGGAATGACTTTAAACTGACAGAAGGTGCGTTTAGGTCAGATATAAGGAAGAAATCCTTCACTGTGAGGGTGGCAAGGTACTGAACAGGCTGTCCAGAGAAGCTGGGGCTGCCTTGTGCCTGGAAGTTCAAGGTCAGGTTGGATGTGGTTTTGGACAATCTGGACTACTAATTCCATTGGTAGTGGAAAGTGTCTCCACCCAGGGTATGTAGGGAGGTTGGGACTAGATGATCTCTGAGGTTCCTTCCAACCCAAACTACTCCAATATTCTATGAACATTACACTTGGAAGCAGCAAGGTAACTACCCACATACCACCCAGTCAGCTGCAGGTAGCAATGAAGGTAATGAATGTCTAAGCAGGAATTAAACACAATCTCTCTCACATCCTAAGTGCAGATGCTTCTTACTTGAGATCTTTCGTGTTCAGGTCAGCTGCAGTGCTTGGGGGAGAGGTTAAAGACATTCTCTCTGGCCAGAATGTTAAGCCAGTTTATTATAAACAGATTATAATTTAGATGTGTAAACATACCTTTGTGTATGTAAACTCACACTTAATTGCCTTATCAGGGCCTAGACAAAGATTAACCCAGCTGCTTAAAATAATCCCCTGAATGACTGAAAACAGTCCCAGTTTCACTATGTTTTTCCCCTCCAAAGCCAAACAGAAAGCAAAAATGTTCTGGGAGCCCTACCTTCAAATAACAATTCGTTTCTTTAGGACTTACTAAGTTAACAAATTCCTACACTTTCTCTTACATGAAAATTGATGCAAATCCACAGAGTCAGCAACATGATTAAAACCCTAAAAAGACATGGGAAAATAGACCCTAACACTAACTGTGTGACCTTTAATTGGCCTTTTCCCTTACTGCTCCAGTTTCTAAGCACCTTTCCCATTCACATGAGATAGAAAGTTCAGCATCTCCCTCAGGTAGCTTTGTTCATTCTCCCATTACATGAGCCGCATTGAGGGTCAGAGATTGCCACCTCTCGCATTTGAAGGTGACGGGACTAAAATTGTTTTGTGGAAGTTCATGTTATGATAGATACCTGCTTCCTGCATAAGCTCCAATTCCCACAAATCGTACTGCAAACTAAAATCTACAATAAAAAGATACCCCAACACCTGCAGACCACAATCAACCACAGCAGTCTCCACCCTGGAGACTGTCTGAAGTTTTTCAGATAATTGGGCACAGGAAGCTTGCCTTTTCAATTCACAGTATTTATTTGTAAGTGTGAAAATTCAAAGGTCAGTGAAGAAACTTCATTTAGCTCCTAGTGCAAGAGGAAAACATAAAATCCAGCTGAACTTGCCCAAACCCACACAACTGCACCTTCTGAGTGTGTGTGATGTGTGTGCATATGCATACATATTACTTTCTCCTCACAGCAGGTCAATTGCCATTGTGAAAAAGGCTTAAATTGGGAGAAAAAGAGAAAAAACAAAAACCTAAGAAGCCACATGTACACATCTCCATATATAGGAGATGACTGTGTTGCATCAAACAACCAAGCAAACCTGACAGCAGGTACTTTGCACCACTGCTCCTCCTTAATAATCAAATGATACAAGAAACAAGCAACACAGCTGGAATAACATGATTTATTGTATTCTGAATATTTGTTCTAAAGCTTCAAAAGGCACAGCCATTTAAAATGAAAACAACATAATTAATGTAGGAATGCTGCAATCCACAAACAAGAATTCTCATTTCTCTTTATCTCAATAATTTCATTTCAGAGCTCTTCTTCATTATTCTTCCACATCCACTGTGTTTACCTTTCAAAAAAGCAAGATAACTTTCACTACCCAACTGTTTTCAGCCCTCCCCTGATTTTTTCAAGGGTACACAGATCCTTCCCTTATCTTCAACTTTCCAGCCAGAATTTTAATCATGAGGTAAACTCTTCTTGTCTTTGAAACCAGTATCCAATCCAATCCCTCCAAATTTGGAATGGGACTTCTCCCTGCTACCTTTCTACGGACAAACGTGATCTTTATCACCCAGTTCATTGCACTTGAGAACTGAAATTAGTGAGATGGATGTTGTTCCATAGTGAGATGTATGTTGTTCCATGTGGAAATTTATTTCAACCATCTCTTACTTCATGAGATGTTTCACATCAGCCTGTTCACACCTTTTAAGGCTGGGATTCAGAAAATAAGCCTCTCAATGGGAAACTCAACTACTACACTTCAGCTGACTTGATAAACAGAGAACAATTCTTCC